GATCCTGAGTGTATTTCATGGTATTAAGCGAATGGGTGTCATCTTGAAAATGACTGTTTAGCTCTTCGGTGTTATCCTCTAACATTTTAGGGATTATTCTGAAGGAACTGTGATGATGTCCTTGAATTATACATAGTCACTTTCAATTTAGTATTAAAGACAACCCATTTCTGAAAACACCTCAGGGCATACTCCACCTCTCAACAGATACTCTGTGGCTGCATTTAGAAAATAAACATTTATTTACAGAAGACGCCAAATGAAAGAACTGTATGGATGAATTTGCTTGTCAGTGTGTTGAGAAATGTGGAGGGAACACATCACTGTAGCTTCTTATTGTGTGAGTCTGGCTGATGTGTGGGAGTTTGGGTCGCTGTTACACAAGAAGTCCTCAGATAAAGGGTCACATGCTACTGTCAATACCAGTCACACCTACAGAGCACCACAAGGTACTCTTCTGAAAAGACACTGATTATTCCATTCCTCTGTTCATCTCTGTATTACAGAGTCTTTAAAGTCATCCGTTCTACACGCTGCAAATAGCATTGAAATCGTTTGGTTTCTTTCTCCCTTCGTCGGGCAACACTTACAGCATTGAATATTGCATGAGTTGCTGTTTGCATGGTTGAGAGGAGCTGTTTCATTGCACTCTCTGTGTGGGAAGTACGTGCCACAATGCACAGTAGGAAACACTAGCATCAATACTAGACACTGCCATTGTTATTAAACCTGAGGGAAATCTAGCACATGTCAAGACAAAAGGCTTCTGGGTTTACAGGAAGTTGAACAGAGTCTTCAATGTGTATCGTAATTTTCCTAAAGCTTATTTTCTGGATATTATATATATATATATATATATATATATATATATATATATATATATATATATATATATATATATATATATATACAGTACCAGTCAAAAGTTTGGACACACCTACTCATTCAAGGGTTTTTCTTTATTTTTACTATTTTCTACATTGTAGAATAATAGTGAAGACATCAAAACTATGAAAAAACACAGATGGAATCATGTAGTAACCAAAAAATTGTTAAACAAATCAAAATATATTTGAGATTTGAGATTCTTCAAATAGCCACCCTGACAGCTTTGCACACTCTTGGCATTCTCTCAACCAGCTTCACCTGGAATGCCTTTCCAACAGTCTTGAAGGAGTTCCCACATATGCTGAGCACTTGTTGGCTGCTTTTCCTTCACTCTGCGGTCCAACTCATCCAAAACCATCTCAGTTGGGTTGAGGTGGGGTGATTGTGGAGGCCAGTTCCTTTTGGTAAAATAGCCTTTACACAGCCTGGAGGTGTGTTGGGTTATTGTCCTGTTGAAAAACAAATGATAGTTCCACTAAGCCCAAACCAGATGGGATGTCGTATCGCTGCAGAATCTGTGGTAGCCATGCTGGTTAAGTGTGCCTTGAATTCTAAATAAATCACAGACAGTGTCACCAGCAAAGCACCCCCACACCATAACACCTTCTCCATGCTTTACGGTGGGATATACACATGCAGAGATAATCCGTTCACCCACACCGCGTCTCTCAAAGACACGGTGGTTGGTGTCCTTTAGTAGTGGTTTCTTTGCAGCAATTCGACCATGAAGGCCTGATTCACACAGTCCCCTCTTAACAGTTGATGTTGAGATGTGTCTGTGACTTGAACTCTGTGAAGCATTTATTTGGGCTGCAATTTCTGAGGCTGGGAACTCTAATGAACTTATCCTCTGCAGCCGAGGTAACTCTGGGTCTTCCATTCCTGTGGCGGTCCTCATGAGAGCCTGTTTCATCGTAGCGTTTGATGGTTTTTGCGACTGCACTTGAAGAAACTTTCAAAGTTCTTGAAATGTTCCTTACTGACTGACCTTCATGTCTTAAAGTAATGACGGACTGTTGTTTCTCTTTGCTTGTTTGATCTGTTCTTGCCATAATATTGATTTGGTCTTTTACTAAATAGGGCTATCTTCTGTATACCCCCCTACCTTGTCACAACACAACTGATTGGCTCAAACGCATTAAGAAGGAAAGAAATTCCACAAATTAACTTTTAAGAAGGCACACCTGTTAATTGAAATGCATTCCCGTTGACTACCTCATGAAGCTGGTTGAGAGAATGCCAAGAGTGTGCAAAGCTGTCATCAAGGCAAAGGGTGGCTACTTTGAAGAATCTCAAATATAAATTATATTTTGATTTGTTTAACACTTTTTTGGTTACTACATGATTCCATATGTCTTATTTCATAGTTTTGATTTCTTCACTATTATTCTACAATGTAGAAAATAGTAAAAATAAAGAAAAACCCTTGAATGAGTAGGTGTACTAAAACTTTTGACCGGTAGTGTATACGTTCTTGTTTATTGAAGAGCTTGAGACTCAAACACTGCCTATGCTGTTAGTGTTGACCCAGCTTCAGGGCTGTGAGCACTGTCTGGGGCCGGGCCCCGAGAGATATGGAGAGGCCCCTAGCGTGTGTTGCCCATCCGCAGCGCTGAGGGACTCGCTGCCTGTCAGAGACATCACCGATGATTCTGTCAGGGGCTGGTGCCTAGGGATGCACCACTATTAAATATTCAGCCATTACAGGCATGCTCTCAGGACAGCCCTCCGGAGTCCTCCTGTAAACTCTATTGGTCTGGCCTAGGCTGCACTAAGCTAGGCTGAGGAGGGAGAGGAGTTGAAAACCTTTAGGTAGTGCTGTAGTACTGTAGGGTTACTTTACCTGAACTGTATATTAGGTATTACTATATCTCTAGTGCATGGGCGGGTCTATTTGTTTATCAATATAAACAAGGAATTAATTCGCCCCTGTCCTCACGTGCTTCATAACAATGTATTGACAATGTAATCATACCCGGTTTAAGTAACTCACTTTTATTCTGAGATGTGTTATCAGGAAATGTCCCTTCTAACATTATGCTTGATTTATAGGTCACTTTTTGTAAAGTATTATTTGTCTTTCTAACTACTCCTTCCTCTAGCCAAATACAATCATTTTGAATTACACATTAGAGACAGTAACTTAATTAATGCGATTGACTTACCACCACAAAGGAGGATGGTAGAGAAATCAAAAGAGTAAGTTAGCGTTACGATTATAGGCTTTTTTTTTCTAGAACAATCCAGATCGCCCCAAGTCTGTGATAGTCAACACGTTCTAACTGGGACAAATTGGGGTGGAAAATAGCAGAGAATTATAATCTTATTTCCCAGCACTTTGTAGACAAATTAATATTTATTTGGAGGGGAGGATTATCAGCATTGTGTTACGAAGACCACCGCAGGAGGGAAGAGGGAATTGTACCCAATGTGTCACAGCCGAGAGTGAGAGAGGGACAAATTACTCACTTTTAGAAAATAATTTGAAGGCAGTGGAGTTTTTAATAAACAGCCATCTGTTTTAGTTCTGCTCATTAGTGTGGCAGGCAATAATAACACAGGCTATGAATCAGGAAGTAGCTATTTGGATATCCAAACAGTATCACATGGATAGATAGTCAGCCTTGACTAACAGCTAACAAGTGATCACTATCTCACAACATTTTCATACCATTTCCTTGAAAACCAACCCTGTCATTTTGTGATTTGGACTCACATTGGGATACAGTGTATAAAAGCAAGGATTGCTTTTATACACTGTATCCCAATTTTCACAGGATATTAGTCTCCCCTCTCTACTCAATCATCTCAAATAGATAGTGCTACTGTCGATGTTATCAAAAGTGATGGATTTGATGGGGGGAATTGAAAGTATATCAGATTAAAGAGAGTCTTTCCTTTGTCTGGCCTTCTCTCAAAGAAGACTCACCTTACAGATTGATCAGGAGTTTGATGTCTAAGATTGGGCATAATGGACGATCATCGCTCTTAAAAGACCCTCTGTCTATTGACGCTTCGCTGTCTGTTTATAGCAAAAGCCATCTTTAAACTGTACAGTAGTATAGTATTTAACTCATGAAATTTGTAGTATTTATCTAATGTATTTATCATATTATTAGTAGCATAGTATGTACTGTATGAAATGTTTGTTAAAAGTTTAGGAGCTCTATTTTGTCTTAGTGTTCTGGCCCAGTTGCCTACGCAGTAATCCAAAGGTATTGATCATCAGAAAGGAGATGCAAGTCATCTAAGGGCCGGTCTCTCATCACTTCCCAAAACGGTGCTTTTGGTATGCTACCAAGTCCCTTGAGACGGTGATGGATTTATATCCTTATATACATCCCAAATGGCACCCTATTCCCTTATAGTGCACTACTGTGGTACAAGTAGTGCACTATTTAGGGAAAAGGGTGCCATTTTGGACGCAGACTTAAACGTGTCTCTGTCTGCCCTCTTCCTGTCTGTCACCCAAGGATGTCTGGTCTCTGGAGAAGTTTAGGAAATTGACATCACATTCCCCCTGTTGGTATTATAGTTGTGAAGAACACTGTGCCGGCTCTAGCCTTTTAGAGTCCCTAAGCGAGATTTATTTCAGTTTAAAAGCTAATTTCCTGTAATTCTACACATTTTGCCATGACTTATGCCATGTTAGTGATATCTGAGTGAGAGTGACTAACAAAATCAATGGGGGCCCCCTGGAGGTCAGGGCCCCTGAGCACGTGCCCTGCGTGACCGGTCGGTCGGTATTCGGCCATGATTATTACAAGTTTAGATAGGTGGCTAGATTTTTACCAATCTAAAAATTGGTAGCTGACATGGCTTATTGAGTGACTGTCAGTGACTGACATAACAACAGAATAATTGCTGACGTACAACCACATTTCGAACTTGCACCTTGTGTATTTTTCGATTCTAACTCTCAACAGTAAGTTGAGACCCCGACTGAGATTATAAACGTGTTGGGGGCCCCCTAGCGACCTGGGGCCCTAAGCGACCGCTTATGTTGCTTATGTCTGGAGCCGGCTCCTGGAACAACAGGACAGGTTTCTTTATTTTCAGAGGGGCACATCTAAGTAGAAATACGAGGTGACCTGACAAAAGCTGCTGTCACTATGGAAACGCAAGCGTTAGCCCCGGGTGTATTCTTGATCCTGAGTGCCATCATCGCCGAGTCAGAAGTTTATCTCTCCACGTTGCATTCTGGGAATGGAAAGTCACTGTCAGCCACCACAAGTGCTTTGGATGCTGAAGCTCATCGTAACAACTTCCAGGCAAGGTTAGGAGGCTATCGATTTCCTTGTCTTTGTAGAATCCTATTGGGGAAAAGATGCATAGCCATTTTCACTTTAAGCACCATTTGATTTTTGTTTGAGATCATTGCAGCTCTTGTGGTGAAATAACAATTACACGTTTGATGAGTAGCTTCTGATCTTTGAAATGGCTTGTTCACAAAGTAACCACTCTGATTGATTTGATGTAAATACATCCAGGCTTTTAATGGGATGCAAACTAGCTTGATAGTTTAGCTACACAGAAGCCCCATATATTTCTGTCCCAGACAATGGGTACGTCTACATGCACACAATACTATGATTATTGTGAATACTCAGATTGTGAATACCTAAAATTCGAAAGATTGCAAAAAAATCTAGGTGTTTTAATCAGAGTATGCTGCTTACTTAGATTATGACCTTACGCTGATTAAGATAAGCATGGCCTATTGCCAGAATCAGTTTGTTATTGAATTATTAGTGTGCATATAAACATACTCAGTGGAAAGTCTCAGCTCAACTGATGCCATTTAACCGATGCTACTAAGCACCTGTCCTGAATCAGGACTTAACGAGGGGTGTGGCCAATTACCGCCTACAACATTCTCAACCTAGACACAATGAATCAACTGTAGAGATGTAGATGGTAGTATGCTTGTAATATTGTAGAGAATGTGTAATGAAAATAACATCTAGGCCCCTTGAAGCGAACAATCAATACCAACATCAATTAAAACATTGAGGAAGTGAGTAAATGTTTCTGGTGAAGATTTGCATCTTCACACATGATGATTCAATCACTGAGCCTGGGCACAGTCCTCATTGAGACTTCCTCCTAATAATAGAGTTTGGGGAGAAATGAAATGGCAGAATGAGAAATTGGTTATCGTGAAATGGGATCCATTCCAGACACAGGCCATAGGCAATTTCTAGTTTCCATTTATTTGTTCAGATACCTATTTTGCAAAAAGATGGAGGGGCTAAGAAATCCCATTAAATGTCAGGGATTCCATTTGTACACTTCAAACTTTTGCTCAAATCGAAATTGTTTCCAACTCTAAATACAGTACAGTAAGTAAATAGTGCTATGAACAATACCTTTCCTACTCTGTTAGCAATATCCCTGTCTTCTTAACAGACACACCCTGTTAGCGTTGCAAAAGGGAATGATTTGTATTGTTGTATAACCAACTGTGAACTTGATATTGAAACGCTTGGTGTTATCCAATGCTGATATGAGAGGCTGGAAAAATCAATAAGGACATATTTTCTAGGGAGAACGCACCCGTGCACGTCCACACTGCTATATCTTTCAGAGGAACACCCACACATCTCTCCCAACACCCATTGTGGGCCTTTCATACAACTCATTATTTTCTCATTTTGAGCCTGTCTTTGGGTTTCATCTTTGTCTTGGATGAATTATAGATGTCAGAATTAATGTTCACGTGACAAAAATGTAATTAGCAAACTATCCTAGCAATGAGAACTGATTCAATTTTCTAAGGAATTGGATGTCATTTCTGATCTGTCATCTCCGTAATGTCATCTCCGTAATGTCATCTCCGTAATGTCATCTCCCATATGTGGTGGAGGACAGTTGTTCAGTCACATATGATTGAATTGAGACTACAATACATCAGGGATAAATGTTTGATGTCCTTGAGCAGGTTATATCCTCTCCTCTTTCATCTCTTAGACACTTGATTAGGTTCCTACACGTTGTTGGTTCATTTGTTGTATTGCTTTAGTTCCCTGTATGTATGACTGTAGCTGTGGTGGGTCAAATCGGCTGCATTTTCCTCTGAGACTCAGTTTCCCAATGTTAATTAAGGCTAGAGAGACATACACACACAGATTGGCATGGCAACCATCCAGGGTGTGTGTGTGTGTGTGTGTGTGTGTGTGTGTGTGTGTGTGTGTGTGTGTGTGTGTGTGTGTGTGTGTGTGTGTGTGTGCGTGAGCCTCAGAGGGAGAGAGAACTAATGCATTATTATTGAGGGGGATTTATTAGGTGTGATAGGAGAAAATGGGATTGGACATGACTGAAACATATTCCTGGAGATCCCCAATCTCTGGAGCTGCGGTAATTAAACATGTGTGCAGAAATGATCACTGGTTGAACCATATGGCCTATGTTTAGGGCTTCTGGGCACATCACCTGCATAATAACCGGACCAGTGTTCAAATACTATTTAGTCATTTCAAATACTTTATCTGGGCTTGATTCCGCTTGCCTGACGCAATGGAACCGATAGAATAGTTGCAAAACTGAAAAACCCACCCTACCCGCACTCCGGCCAGGCTCAAACAAACGCTCAAAGTATTTGAAAGATTTTAAATAGTATTTGAACCCAGGTCTGATAATAACAAGGTCAAAACCACCCAATGATGTAATGCTAACATGATCCATACATCCCATATACAGTCATGATCCATACATCCAATATACAGTCATGATCCATACATCCCATATTCAGTCATGATCCATACATCCCGTAAACAGTCATGATCCATACATCCCATATACAGTCATGATCCATACATCCCATATACAGTCATGATCCATACATCCCATATACAATCATGATCCATACATCCCGTAAACAGTCATGATCCATACATCCCGTATATAGTCATGATCCATACATCCCATATACAGTCATGATCCATACATCCCGTAAACAGTCATGATCCATACATCCCGTAAACAGTCATGATCCATACATCCTGTATATAGTCATGATCCATACATCCCATATACAATCATGATCCATACATAGTCATGATCCATACATCCCATATACAGTCATGATCCATACATCCCATATACACTCATGATCCATACATCCCATATACAGTTATGATCCATACATCCCATATACAATCATGATCCATACATCCCGTAAACAGTCATGATCCATACATCCCGTATATAGTCATGATCCATACATCCCATATACAGTCATGATCCATACATAGTCATGATCCATACATCCTGTATATAGTCATGATCCATACATCCCATATACAATCATGATCCATACATAGTCATGATCCATACATCCCATATACAGTCATGATCCATACATCCCATATACAATCATGATCCATACATCCCGTAAACAGTCATGATCCATACATCCCATATACAGTCATGATCCATACATCCCGTATATAGTCATGATCCATACATCCCGTAAACAGTCATGATCCATACATAGTCATGATCCATACATCCCATATACAGTCATGATCCATACATCCCATATACAATCATGATCCATACATCCCGTAAACAGTCATGATCCATACATCCCATATACAGTCATGATCCATGCATCCCGTATATATAGTCATGATCCATACATCCCATATACAGTCATGATCCATACATAGTCATGATCCATACATCCCATATACAATCATGATCCATACATCCCGTAAACAGTCATGATCCATACATCCCATATACAGTCATGATCCATACATCCCGTATATAGTCATGATCCATACATCCCGTAAACAGTCATGATCCATACATAGTCATGATCCATACATCCCATATGCAATCATGATCCATACATCCCATAAACAGTCATGATCCATACATCCCATATACAGTCATGAACCATACATCCCGTATATAGTCATGATCCATACATCCCGTAAACAGTCATGATCCATACATAGTCATGATCCATACATCCCATATACAGTCATGATCCATACATCCCATATACAATCATGATCCATACATCCCGTAAACAGTCATGATCCATACATCCCATATATAGTCATGATCCATACATCCCATATATAGTCATGATCCATACATCCCATATATAGTCATGATCCATACATCCCATATATAGTCATGATCCATACATCCCATATATAGTTATGATCCATACATCCCATATATAGTTATGATCCATACATCCCATATACAATCATGATCCATACATCCCGTATATAGTTATGATCCACACATCCCATATATAGTCATGATCCATACATCCCATATATAGTCATGATCCATACATCCCATATATAGTTATGATCCATACATCCCATATATAGTCATGATCCATACATCCCATATATAGTCATGATCCATACATCCCATATATAGTCATGATCCATACATCCCATATATAGTTATGATCCATACATCCCATATATAGTTATGATCCATACATCCCATATATAGTCATGATCCATACATCCCATATATAGTTATGATCCATACATCCCATATATAGTCATGATCCATACATCCCATATACAGTCATGAACCATACATCCCATATACAGTCATGAACCATACATCCCGTATATAGTCATGATCCATACATCCCATATACAGTCATGATCCATACATCCCATAACAATCATGATCCATACATCCCGTAAACATTTATGATCCATACACCCATTAAAAGTCATGATCCATACATCCCATATTAGTCATGATCCTACTCCCATATATAGTTATGATCCATACATCCCATATATAGTTATGATCCATACATCCCATATACAATCATGATCCATACATCCCGTATATAGTTATGATCCACACATCCCATATATAGTCATGATCCATACATCCCATATATAGTCATGATCCATACATCCCATATATAGTTTATGATCCATACATCCCATATATAGTCCTAAACCCTACCCCATATATAGTCATGATCCATACATCCCTATATAGTCATGATCCATCCATCCCCTATATAGTTTTTGATCCATACATCCCTATATAGTCATGATCCATACATCCCAATATAGTTATGATCCATACATCCCATATATAGTTATGATCCATACATCCCATATATAGTTATGATCCATACATCCCATATATAGTTATGATCCATACATCCCATATATAGTTATGATCCATACATCCCATATATAGTTATGATCCATACATCCCATATATAGTCATGATCCATACATCCCATATATAGTCATGATCCATACATCCCATTTATAGTTATGATCCATACATCCCAGATATAGTTATGATCTATACATCCCATATATAGTTATGATCCATACATCCCGTATATAGTTATGATCCATACATCCCGTATATAGTTATGATCCATACATCCCATATATAGTCATGATCCATACATCCCATATATAGTCATGATCCATACATCCCATATATAGTCATGATCCATACATCCCATATATAGTTATGATCCATACATCCCATATATAGTTATGATCCATACATCCCATATATAGTTATGATCCATACATCCCATATATAGTTATGATCCATACATCCCATATATAGTTATGATCCATACATCCCATATATAGTTATGATCCATACATCCCATATATAGTTATGATCCATACATCCCATATATAGTTATGATCCATACATTTGTTTAGTTTTTTTTATTTAGCAGACACTCTTATCCAGAGCAACTTACAGTTAGTGAATGCATACATTATTTTGAATACTGGCCCCCCGTGGGAATCGAACCCACAACCCTGGCGTTGCAAACGCCATGCTCTACCAACTGAGCTACATCCCTGCCGGCCATTCCCTCCCCTACCCTGGACGACGCTGGGCCAATTGTGCGCCGCCCCATGGGTCTCACGGTCGCGGCCGGCTACGACAGAGCCTGGATTCGAACCAGGATCTCCAGTGGCACAGCTAGACCCCTGCGCCACTCGGGAGGTTACATCCCATATACAGTCATGTTTTGACCCTGCTGGTCATCTATGAAAGTTTGAACATCTTGAAGAACAATCTGAGCTTAATGGCCATGTACTGTTATAATATCCACCCGGCACAGCCAGAAGAGGACTGGCCACCCCTCAGAGCCTGGTTCCTCTCTAGGTTTCTTCATAGGTTCCTGCCTTTCTAGGGAGTTTTTCCTTCTACCTCTGCATTGCTTGCTGTTTGGGGTTTTAGGCTGGGTTTCTGCATAATCCCTTTTTTGACGTCTTCTGATGTAAAAAGGGCTTTATAAATAAATGTGATTTGATTTGTTGAGAAATTATCCCAGGATCCCAAAAAAAAACACAACACCCAGAAATCAATAGCCTAATGAAGATTTAAAGAGGGGCACCGCCACTCAATGTACTAATTAGAGAGGATAAATGATCAACGACAGTGGTGGAGAGAGGAGGTGATTGGAAATTGAGCGAATCACCCCACCACGACAGAGATTGCTTGTTTCCGGCATATCTCGTGGCTCCGTAGGGACTGGGTAGGTTTCATTAAGGTAGCATGATAGGAAGCCAGGTCCAGGTACAATGCATAGTGCGCCTCGTGGTGAAGTTTCCCCTAGGTACAGATCTAGGATCACCTTCCCCTCCACCAATCATTAAGTTAACCATTAGTCGGGGAAATGTAAAACTGACCCAAGATCAGCGTCTAGGGCAACTTCACCCTACACCAGTGTGCCGAGTGCAGTACCTGCAGGTTGGATAGGGTTTATCTTTTACACAGTGCAGAGATACACATATCTGTTTACCTGAAGGGACTGTAAGGGTGGAGGAGAGGAGTTGGTATTAGTGGAGGGATGACTAAATGGAATGAAAGATTGATATGCTAGGAAGATGGATGGCTTCTGTCTTTATCAATCATCTCTGACACCCCCCCCCCCTCTCTCTCTCTCCCTCTCCCTCTCTCTCTCCCTCTCTCCTGCTCCCTCTTTCTCTCTCTCTCGTAGTTGGGATGACAGCAGTTCGGTCAGCAGCGGTCTCAGTGACACTGTAGACAACGTCAGCACAGACGATCTGAACACGCCCACCTACCCCGCCGTCACATCGGCACCACGCAAGAACAAGGCATCCCAGGTACAGTGCACCATGGAGTGTAAATGAATGAAGTAGACTTGTCCATAGGGTAGGAGCCTATCTCCTGTTTATTCTCTTGGAAATGAACAAGAAGAGAGAATATCCATGCTTCCAGACATTGAACTAACTATGAGTAATGATACTGAAGCACCACTGTCTTTGCACTTGCTTCAATTAAAACAAGGACATCTGCCATTCTTTTTTTGTATGTGCAACAATGAGGTATTTCACTGTAGTCTGGAAATGAATCTATTTACTTAGTTTTCCTTGGCTTTCAAGAGAGCAAGCCAATGGAAATGTACAGCGGAACCCACTCCTTGTGCAGTGTTCAGGGAGCATGGTAAAAATAGCCAAGTATGTTTGCCTTGTGGAAACCTCAACAGATTGATCTCTTAAGAGACTGTTGGTGTGGCTAGTGAGGGAGGGTTCACCATCTGTCAGGTGGCTTACTCATACTGTATGGTGTGTGTGTGTGTGTGTGGTTTTGTTTTACTATCTTTGTGGGGACCAGAAGTCCTCATAAGGATATTAAAACAAGGAAAAAGGCTATTTTAGGCTTAGGGGTTAGGAGTTAGGGGTTAGGAATTAGGGGTTAGGAGTTAGGGGTTAGGAATTAGGGGTTAGGGTTAGGGGTTAGGAGTTAGGGGTTAGGAGTTAGGGGTTAGGAATTAAGGGTTAGGAATCAGGGGTTAGGAATTAGGGGTTAGGAGTTAGGGGTTAGGGTTAGGGGTTAGGGAAAATAGGATTCTGAATGGGAATAAATGTGTTGGTCCCCACAAGGATAGTAAAATAAAGGTGTGTGTGTGTGACTGACCTAGGGGGACACACTCCAGCATGTGGAGCAGGAGGTCAGCAGCAGCTGGGCCGGAGCTGAAGATCTGAAGAAGGTGGACGAGGAGCTGGATGTCAGCATGGAGCCCGGTTCAAAGTGGAAGCCTTCTTCCTCCTCCTCTTCCTCCTCGCCAGCGGGGCAGTGCGGCGAGGATCACGGGCAGAAGACGGGCCTGCCCATGTCCCAGACTGGCTCCTGGAGGAGGGGTATGACCGCCCAGGTGGGCATCACGCCCCCCCGGACCAAAGGCACCAGCACCACCCTCAAAACCCCTGGTAGGACCCGCCCTACTTCTTCTATCTACTTCGGAGCTCGCTTATTTCTTTCTACCATGGCCCTGTTTGAATACTTTAGAAATGCATCCTTCCTTGTTTCCTTGAGGTGAGCACAGATCTATAAGTGATTGGATAGGTGTTTCCAAAGTTACCACCATATTACGTTCACCAATCCAACCGATTCAGATCTGTGATTACTTCAAGGAAGGTAGGAAGGATGTATTTCTGACCTATTTGAACAGGGCCCAAGTCTAACTGAGGATTGATGGTGGTGTAGATTATTTTCTGACTGGTCATTCATTCAGTCAAACTGCCTGTCTGGTTGATATTAAGTCCAGGAAATGTCCATCCTAGCTTAATTGATCAATGAATTTCAGTTGGTGATGTGTTCCAGTTTGACATTGATTAGATAACAGGGTCAAAGATTTCGGCCAATCAGATTAGTCATTAAGAAACCAGTGCCGTTGCCCTTTGAGGCCCTCGGTAATGTTTGGCGTTTCTCCGTTTTACTTTAGCTTTTTCTCCATCGTGTTTTGGTTTGCTCAGCAAGTCTTCTTATATTTGGATTAGTGTGGCTTTCTATTTTAGCTGAGCTTTGTGAAAAGAGTTGTAAAATGTTAGCCAAATGTAAAGTCATTTGGCACACCTGCCCTGTAGCCCTGCAGGTGATGTCGAAGATGAGTCCCGTTATTTACAAATAAACTGCGAGGTCCGCCTCCCCTCTGCGAGGTCCTAGCTAAATTATTCAGTACCCAGCAGTTTGCAGAGGGCAAGGTGTTTGCCAGCTTGTTAATGACTGGCCTTCGTATCGACAGGTAAAACTGATGACGCAAAGGCCTCAGAGAAGTGCAAGGCCCCCTCCAAGACCTCCGCTGGCATCCAGCGCTCGCCCTCCGACGCTGGCAAGAGCAGTGGCGACGAGGGCAAGAAACCACCATCGGGCATCGCCCGCCCCCCCACCACTGGGTCGTTCGGCTATAAAAAGATGGCCAGCCCCCCCTCCGGTGCCCTCATCACGTCCAGTGGTGCCACCCTGGCCAGCGGCTCCGCCACCCTGGGGAAGGTGCCCAAGTCTTCGGCTATAGGCAAGGGGACTGGGATCAGCGGAGGCCGCAAGACCAGCCTGGACGGCTCCCAGCCCCAGGACGATGGGGTGCTGATGGGCTGCGGAGGCTCCAAGGTGCCCCTCCAGTACCGCTCTCTGCCCCGGCCGGCCAAGTCCTCCAGCGGGGGGGTGGTGGGGCGCAGCGGCCACCGCTCCAGTTCCAGCAGCATCGATTCCAACGTCAGCGGCAAGTCGGCTGGAGGAGGGGGGGGCGCCACAGGGGCCAAGCGGAGGGACGCTGGGAAGGTGGGCTCGGGGCGCTCCAGCCCTATCCCCATCACCATCAACCAGACGGACAAGGAGAAAGTAGCCGTGTCGGACCAGGACCCAGCAGGTTTATCCACCTCCCCCAAGGCCAACCCCACCTCCACGGGCCAGTCTGGCCTCAGGCAACCAGGGTCCAAGTACCCGGACATCGCCTCGCCTACCTTCCGCAGGTCAGTCAACAATGCTCACTTGGTTTCCCCTGCACTCATAGAAGAGCTTGAAAACATAGCCAAGCAGCTGCCATTTTTCATCTCTGTTATAAAGGTGGAGGGTAGCTTGTTGTTCCCTCGGTACTCTCACCGACGGCATGCTCGAGGCCACCACAGAATAATGAAGTGTTGTCTGTGAGGTGCAATGTTGTTTCTCAGCTTCAAGATGTTACTGATAGATAGAGGTGTTCTTGGTTGCTGTCAGAATTAGAGGCAGAGTTTCACCTCTTCTCTGAAGCGGCGCAGAGTTATCATTCCGAAGTCTCATATATTTATATATTTTTTAGGTAATAAGAACTATAAAATGAACATTAGACACTAAATCATTCCAGCACAGAAACATTGGTCTGAGTTTGTTCATTGGGCTTCAGAGCCGGGGAGGCAAAGGTTGCCCCCTGCTGTTCGGTAGATGTCATCACAGACACTGACGGCATTTCTCTCAAGATGAACATTAGATGATTTGCCATTCAAGTCAGGCTAAACTAATTCACTGGACTTGATTTATAGCTGACAGGAAGAAAGCTATTCCGCTCGCGAACCCCTGTCTCAATAGTTAGGTGCGCTCACAAGGCGTGTCCGGTCACGGCCGCGCCGTCCGACCTGTCGAGGCGCAGAGTGCGTTTTTGATTTGTGCGTGTACCCCTTAGAGAGAGTCACCTATTAATTGATAGCCCGTTTGATGGCAGCCCCACGTCAGACACGACAGGAAGGACCTGTGAACAACATATGTGTTGCTGAGTGACCAGACAGACAGATTGGCTGATCACATGCACGGAATGGAAATGGGGCAATGCTGACTGAATGCAAATCACTGAGAGCTCCGGCTGAGGTCGCGTCTCAACTGGCACCCTATTCCCATAGGGCTCTGGTCCTAAGTAGTGTACTAAGTAGTGCACAATATAAGGAATATGGTGCCATTTGGGATGCAGACATAGTCTAGCGGAGGCTGTAGGGAAGGTGTACTTCTTCATAGTGTCTATCTGAAAAATAATATGGTAGGCTTATGAGAGGGGATGAAGATAGGGGAGGGGCAATGTTGAGCGGAATTCTAACTTTTCCAAAGCTCCTATTTCCTTGGTGTAATCAAGTAAATGTATTACTGTTCTATATCAAACAACCTAGTTCTCAACCTAGAGACTGAGTTAGATCAGTCTTTGAGGGGATCATGATTGCCATAGATAGTCTGTAAGTGAATGGAGCCATCTGTTTCTCTCTCTGCCAGGTTGTTTGGCACCAAAGCCAGTAGCAAGGCCAGTACCCCAGGCACACCCGACTCAGGCAAGTGCCCCTCTGCGTTGGGCAGCCCTCATGGCACATTGGCACGCCAAGCTAGCCTGGACTCGCCCTCCTCGGGCACAGGGAGCCTGGGCAGCGCAGGCGGGCAGAGCGGGGCTAGCAGCCCGCTTTATGGCAAGGCCCCAGACCTGAGCATGGACTCGCCTGCCTCCAGCCCGGCGTCAGGCCTCTCGCTTCCCTCTAACGCCCGCCCCTGGCCCACCAACCTCAGCAGCTCGTCGGCATGCTCTGGCAGTAAGGACACACTGAGCTGCCAGAGCATGACCAGTCTGCACACCAGCTCCGAGTCCATCGACCTGCTGCTGGGGTACCACCACGGCCCCAAAGTCACCCGCACGGCCAGCGTCAAGTCCACGCTCTCTGAGGGGTGAGTCCCAATGTAGAACAATGTAACTCCATTAGTTTCCTGGCCAGCGGGTGTAACATGCACATCAGTGGTGGCTGATGGGAAGAGATATTGTAATGGTTGGAATGGAATGAAGGGAACACTATCAAACACATCAAATACAGGGAATCTACGTGTTTCACTCCGTTCCATTTATTCCATTCCAGCCATTACAATGAGCCCTTCCTCCTATATCTCAACACACCAGCCATCTCTGATACACAGCCATCAATGTACAGACACTTTGAAAATGGACTTGTAGACTGTATGTATGGAATACAACGTCATGCTCATCTTATCGTTTCAGTATAGATCACTGTTGTCATAGTGGTTTGTAACATTTCCTTCATTCACAGATTGTTGTTTAGATGGAGAGTATCAAACTAACCAAAATGTTACGTTTAATGTGTGCTCGCCGAATGTTTCTATTAGTCCTATGTCTCGGGTAACATTGCCCATTGTAGTGATTGTCCTTAAGCATTCTCACCTTAGAAAATGTGTGTTCTATCAATCAATAGATGTGAATTGAATCTATCTCAACATGTGTTCTTATAGATGTACAGTCGTGGTCAAAAGTTTTGAGAATGACACAAGTATTGGTCTTCACAAAGTTCGCTGCTTCAGTGTTATGAGATATTTTTGTCAGATGTTACTATGGTATACTGAAGTATAATTACAAGAATTCCATAAGTGTCAAAGGCTTTTATTGACAATTACATTAAGTTTATGCAAAGAGTCAATATTTGCAGTGTTGACCCTTCTTTTTCAAGACCTCTGCAATCCGCCCTGGCATGCTGTCAATTAACTTCTGGGCCACATCCTGACTAATGGCAGCCCATTCTTGCATAATCAATGCTTGGAGTTTGTGGGTTTTTGTTTGTCCACCCGCCTCTTGAGGATCAACCACAAGTTCTCAATGGGATTAAGGTCTGGAGAGTTTCCTAGCCATGGACCCAAAATGTTGATGTTTTGTTCCCCGAGCCGCTTAGTTATCACTTTTGCCTTATGGCAAGGTGCTCCATCATGCTGGAAAAGGCATTGGTCGTCACCAAACTGTTCTTGGATGGTTGGGAGAAGTTGCTCTCGGAGGATGTGTTGGTACCATTCTTTATTCATGGCTGTGTTCTTAGGCAAAATTGTGAGTGAGCCCACTCCCTTGGCTGAGAAGCAACCCCACACATGAATGGTCTCAGGATGCTTTACTGTTGGCATGACACAGGACTGATGGTAGCGCTCACCTTGCCCCAAACAATCGGAAAGGGGATTCATCAGAGAAAATGACTTTACCCCAGTCCTCAGCAGTCCAATCCCTGTATCCTTTTGCAGAATATCAGTCTGTCCCTGAAGTTTTTCCTGGAGAGAAGTGGCTTCTTTGCTGCCCTTCTTGACACCAGGCCATCCTCCAAAAGTCTTCGCCTCACTGTGCGTGCAGATGCACTCACACTTGCCTGCTGCCATTCCTGAGCAAGCTCTGCACTGGTGGTTCCCCGATCCCGCAGCTGAATCAACTTTAGGAGACGGTCCTGGCGCTTGCTGGACTTTCTTGGGAGCCTTGACACCTTCTTCACAACAATTGAACCTCTCTCCTTGAAGTTCTTGATGATCCGATAAATGGTTGATTTAGGTGCAATCTTACTAGCAGCAATATCCTTGCCTGTGAAGCCCTTTTTGTGCAAAGCAATGATGACGGCACGTGTTTCCTTGCAGTTAACCATGGTTAACAGAGGAAGAACAATGATTTCAAGCACCACCCTCCTTTTAAAGCTTCCAGTCTGTTATTCTAACTCAATCAGCATGACAGAGTGATCTCCAGCCTTGTCCTCGTCAACACTCTCACCTGTGTTAACGAGAGAATCACTGACATGACAGCAGCTGATCCTTTTGTGGCAGGGCTGAAATGCAGTGGAAATGTTTTTTGGGGATTAAGTTCATTTTCATTGCCTAAATGAATTGCAATTCATCTGATCACTCTTCATGACATTCTGGAGTATATGCAAATTGCCATCATCAAAACTGAGGCAGCAGACTTTGTGAAAATTAGTATTTGTGTTATTCTCAAAACTTTTGACCACGACTGTAGGATCTTAATTTGACCAGTTTTTCACAGCAGGAAAATAATCCTGCAAAAAGTGGAAATTACAAACTTAAGAAGCCTTTTCAAACCTCAAATACAGTTTGCATTTCCTGCTGTGCAACAACAGGGTGATCAAATTAAGATTCTACACCTGTAGGTAATTCTAATGTTTTCGTTCTCTGTGTCTTAACAGCATGCCTCTTGACAGAAACACACTCCCCAAAAAGGGACTGAGGTAACTCATCACTCATGTGTTGTCCTTTTGGGGTTTCCTTCTTTTGTCATTTCATTCATTCTCACATTTCATTCAGACATGTCTTTCTAACTGCCAAAATCACCTTTGTGTCTAATGACATGTTGTTGTAGGAAAGCAGTGTTGCATAATGACATTTAGCATTTTGTGTGACATTTGTTTTAGGAGATTTAGCTGATGAAAGGAAATACGTTTTCTTTCACAGCAGGCGTGGAGTCAGTTTATTTCTATTGATCTCAGAAGCTGCTCGGCAGTTTAGTAGTGGGTTGTATTTCTTGCCCCTGCCTTTGTTTTCGAGCCCAGAGGGATTCAAAGCAACAAATTGCCTTTTTTCTTGCCCCTGCCTTTGTTTTCGAGCCCAGAGGGATTCAAAGCAACAAATTGCATTTTTTCAAGCCAGAGAATAGCTAAATGGCCATGATATTCATGCATTCAATGCTCAGTTTTAAATGCACATTAAGCAGACTTCAAAACATACTCTGATTGAAGCGTTTTCTCCTCTTTGAACTCCAAGTGGAATTCTAAATCAATGGACAATTATGTGAAAAAGAGACCATTTGATTTGAAGTCGAACATGCAGACGCCTGTACATTATATAACATTCAATACCTTTTACTGGCATTAGATGTCAATCAGTGTACCTTTCTTTGTCTGAAAGAATTCAGAGTTGGGTATTAGTATGACAGACAGAACAGAGGTCTGTTATGAGCTTCAGTGTTGAAAGGATGAGCATGAACTCAATTATCTTCCTTTAAGGATTAAATATGGCTGCCTATCAAGCACTTAGATAACACTCCCCCCCCCCCCTGCTAGGAACCGCTAGAGATGAGGAGAGCAAAGACTGACAGTGTCTTTGATCATGTGTGTGGGTGTGCGTGCATGCTTGCACATAGATGGATGGTTGGCCGTGACTGTGTGTGGGTGGATGCATGTGTGTGTGTCTGTGTTCGCAGAGCTCGATTTGGGCGGAACACACCAGAACTCTGGCACCTTCCTCCAATGCAATACTGCTTGAGATCCAGCACCTCTTTTAGAATATTGACTTATAAATATTGTGGTGTTCCGGCACCTATATATAAACAGAGTACCGGAACCTATTTCAGTCCAAGTCAAGCACTGTGTGTACGTACATAACTATGCATGAGTTAGTGAATATATTTGTCACCACACTCCGGTCATGTGATCATGATATGTGGATAACGCAGGTGCATGGTTCAATAGATGCCATGTTGAATCAGTGGTGCCACAAGTTGACGTATACCATGTCCTCTCTAGGTACCCTCCCTCGTCCAGACAGACTTCCCATGAGGAGGGAAGGAGTGGCTGCGCTCTCATTCCACTGGGGGGCTACAGGACACGGGGAGTCAGTCCCCTCTCTCTCCCCACTGGAGTCGCATGCACAAGCACCGGCAAATACCACTACTCCAACCTGCGTAAGCACTACTCCAAATACCACTACTCCAACCTGCGTAAGCACTACTCCAAATACCACTACTCTCCAAAACCTGCGTAAGCCCTACTCCAAATACCACTACTCCAACCTGCGTTAAGCCCTACTCCAAATACCACTACTCCAACCTGTGTAAGCCCAACACCAAATACCACTATCCATATATCACTACTCCAAATATCACTACTCCAAATAGCACTACTCCAAATAGCACTACTCCAAATATCACTACTCCAAATAGCACTACTCCAAATAGCACTACTCCAAATATGAACTACTCCAAATATCACTACTCCAAATAGCACTACTCCAAATATCACTACTCCAAATATCACAACTCCAAATATCACTACTCCAAATATCACTACTCCAACCTGAGTAAGCACTACTCCAAATATCACAACTCCAAATATCACTACTCCAACCACCACCATCAAAGCGGTGTCATTTTACTATAATCATATCATACTAGATCATCCAGCTTCATATACACTATTGATGTCTGTTCATCTGGAGGACAACACAGAAAAAGATACCAATTATTGATGAGGTAGAATATGTCAGTGTATGATGTGGTGTGGTGTGTGTGTGTGGTGTGTGTGGTGTGTGTGTGTGTGTGTGTGTGTGTGTGTGTGTGTTGTGTGTGCGTGCGCGTGCGTGCATGCGTGCGTGTGCGTATGTGTTTTCTCCCCCAGTGAGCCCCACCAACCTGTCAGCCTACAACCTGCCAGGACCCAGCAGTATGAGTCGCTCCAACAGCATCCCTGCCCAGGACTCCTTTGACCTGTATGGAGAAGCCCACCTGGGGGGCAGCGCCACCTCTCTGGAGGACAGACCCCGGGGCATGAGCCGCTCTGGCTCCTTCAGGGACAGCACCGACGAAGGTAGGCCCAGACTGTGGTCCTGTATGGCTCAGTTGGTAGAGCAGGACGCCAGCAACGCCAGGATCGTGGGTTTCCGATTCCCGCTGGTGCCACCCATACAATAATGTATACAAGTACTACTTTGGATAAAAAGTGACTTACAGTAGTCTGCTTAATGGCATATATTAATATTATATATATATATAAATAACTTGTCTGTGGGACACTCTGCTTAGACCAAGAAGAAGTGATAGTCAGGGTTGAGCTCTCAGACTGAAGCTGAAAATGCACCAGACTAGGAACCCAGCTTTTATCTGCTTCTCTTTTTAAAGAGGTTGGTGTTTCAGTCAACATTTTGGTAACGTGACAGTGCCACTTGAGAGTAATGTTACTAGTCAATGACTAGGGCCTTTTATTGAATTATCCAAACGAATACTTCATTAGTACACCGTCACACACATGCCATTAGAATATGGTACTTTTACATGCAGATGAGATGGGGCTATTTGTGTACCATTACAGGACCACTGGTTATGTTCTTAATTCCTCCCTTTCCCTCTCTCTCCTCTATCGCTCACCAGCGATCGACCCCGTCGTCCCCTCTATCTCTCCAGAGCTATCGCTCCACTCCCCTCCCTCCTCTCAGCTCTCGCCACCGCGTCCTCATCCTCCCCGTCCGCCTCCACCGCGCCTCTCTCTCCGCTAGCTCTCCCTCTCTCTCCTCTATCTCTCGACCCATCGACCTCCGATCCTCTATCCCCCCTTCTCATCTACGGACCTCTCTCTATTTCTCTCTACCCTCATAGCCCTCTATCTCTCTCCTACTTCTCCTCTATCTCGCACCTCTCTCTCATATCTATTCTCTCTTTATCTCTCATCTCTCCTAGTCCCTATATCTTACCAATGCCTCGCTCTTCTTATCTATCCTCTAGGCTACTCTATCTCTCTCCCCTCTCTCTCTCCCCCTCTCTCTTCTCTATCTCTCCCCTCTCTCTCCTCTCTCTTTCTCTCTATCTCTAGTCCATGGATCCTCACTGTCGCTGGTCTCCAGCACCTCCTCCCTGTACTCTGCGGTAAGTAGCATTGTTTTCTCCCAACACACACAAACAAACATTTAGGCAAACATGCTTATGGCTGCCATGGGTAGTGTGTGTGGTGTCGGTTGATTGTCATTAGCCTAGAATTATTTTAGGAGACAATATGTCATTTTTTTGCTATAAAGCTAAGGCTGGAGTTATGGATGCAAGGACAGAGTCCATGAAATCAGAGTAATATGTTTAAACATATTTTGGGTTATGATGAGGTAGAACAGTTGCACTTTATAACTTACATTCTTCAATAATAAATAGGTATATAAATGGGTAAATATCATTATTTTTATATATTTTAGCAGTGCATCCAAGGTGATTTAGGCTAATTCAAGCTTGGTGAAGGTGTGGATTGTTTTTTTTGCAACAGGCAACACTCCAGCTGCAGTCAAACTCAATGAGAAGGCAGATCAGTTGAGGAAGAGAATCGATTACTGGCTCTCTACACCTCTTTCCTCCCCAGCAGAAAGTTCTAGAAAGGCCTCGAGACGAGTTTAGACTTTCACTGATTTAAGAGACTTGTTTTGAAAGTATTCCTATTGGGGCAGCAAGACAACAAGCAGTTATTGTTTATTCCTCATTTCATTGTGTTGATGTTTGATTGTGTTAATATTTTAATATTTTAGTTTTAATTTAATGTTTATTTGTTTCCATTACTATAATAGTTATGTCAGTTATGATTTGAATTTGATCCTATACTTTTCTGTTTGCTATTTTATCATTTCTTCTCATCTTTGGCATTATCTGGTCATCAGTTTTGTTTTATCTCATCTGTTATCACTCAACACCTGGGGCGTGTTCAGTAGGCACAAAACGTTGTGAAACGGGGAGGTACTATTTCAACCTATCCTATGAGAAACGCTTGTTTTCTGTTGCAAAGCGTTTTGCTGCGATGCGCCCTAATGAACACGACCCTGATAAACACAACTGATAAAGAGCAATTTGATTAAAATCTCGCACTAAGAACACTATGATAAAAGTATCATGACACATTTTCCCAAAGTCATTACAACGCCAATCATTCAGCCTAACATTATAAAGGTAGACAAAACATATAGATGTAAATCAAAAGGCCATAGATGATAACCAATGAGAATGCTTGGCATACACAAAAGTTCAGCACCCTGTTTTCAGGGCAGTGCAAAGTGTTGAGTTGCCATGGTTTCCCATTGCTGCAGCTTGAACCCACGTTTTCTTACTTCCAGGTTCTTTCCTTTCTGGCCAAGGTAAAGACTATGATGCTGTCAGCTATGATCTCTCCACACCACACAGACAACGTGTTTGTATGCCCACCACATGGTCTGATGCTGGTTGAATGTGGCAGATGTTCACACAGGTTTTTGGTTGGTGTGAAGAAAAACAACCAATGTTACCAGTGTATATATTGTAATACATTCATACAATGTATTATGTTACTTCTCCCTGCCACATCGATTACATATTACTTGAACGGCCAAAATAAAAAGTTGTGTAAGTTCTTAATACAGTCTGACCTGACTTAGAGATGACACCACAGTCAACGATTTCGCTACAACCGCAATAACATCTACTAAATATGTGTATGTGACCAATACGATTTGATTTGATGCATCAAGACCTGCCTTTGCATTTGCTTTCACTTACTGGCGTCATTTATGGCCTTTTGGCTCCTGCATCATTCTCGATCAAAAGCTAAACCCCAATGATCTACTCATTATGACAATGGGTATTCATTTGATTATTGCATTCATAAAGAAGCTGTCAGGAGTGAATCATTGTTCATACAACGTGGTTTATTCCTGCACATCTTAATGACATGTCTTCTCTCCCAAACAGACAGAGGAAAAGGCACATTCTGAGGTAAGAGGCTTGGCTTTGTGGGGGACGAAATGTCTCTGGTCTGTCTGTCTCTCTGTTCTGTCTGTCTGGTCTGGTTGTCTATCTGTCTCTCTGGTCTCTCTGGTCTGTCTGTCTGTCTCTCTGTTCTCTCTGGTCTATCTGGTCTGTCTGTCTGTCTGGTCTGTCTGTCTGTCTCTCTGGTCTGTCTGGTCTGTCTGTCTCTCTGGTCTCTCTGGTCTGTCTGTCTCTCTGGTCTCTCTGGTCTGTCTGTCGGTCTGGTCTGTCAGTCTGGTCTGGTCTGTCTGTCTGTCTGGTCTGTCTGTCTGTCTCTGGTCTCTCTGGTCTGTCGGTTGGTCTGGTCTGTCTGGTCTGGTCTGGTCAGATCTCCATAATGAAAGATAACAATCAAAGTACGAGCAGTGATATATGTATCCACTTCATCCAAAATCAGGTTGTGGTCTATCAGTGACGGACCTGAGCATAAATCTGTGTATATAACCTTAGACCTGGTGTCCAAGTCAGATCTCTTTGACCCTATGGTGCATTGCTTGACATGGGCCAGTCTTTTAAACAACCAGCCATATGAATATAACCAAACAGCACTTTAACATTATCTTTACCACACGTCATACTGACAGTCATGGACAAACATCATTAATACACCCTTTATTCTACTCTTTGGTTTCAGTTCACACCCTATTCAGTTATAACTGGCTTTTATTTCAGTTCATTTTTTACTTTATGTTTCTGTTTGAACCATACATTAACATTTTAGTTAAAGCCCACAGGTATAATGCTTTATTACTTATTAGAACCATGTTTCAGCCTTTTTAATGTATTTTTAAAATGCATTATACCAGTCAGGTTTCGAGAAAGTGTTACCAAAGTGACAACTACCCTAATGTGTTTAGGTGCTTTTGCACTTTTTTCCTTTTATTGGCTAATTTGTCCAAGACTGTACTGTTGTTAATGTGTGAGAGATTGCCTTATGCCTTATTGGCTAATTGTTTAAACTGCTAACCGTGAGGAAACATGCTGCTTTTTCGTCATCATAACAGACCTCTCTCTCACCATATCTTCTGTTTGGACTAAGCATGCATCATAGAGTTAATTGTATTCTTCTCTTTTCAATCAAGGGTCAAACAGGCCAAAATACCACGGTAATCCCACATTTACCTTCACACTTACATTCACCCCATTGTTTTATGCTGTGGCAGTGAGACAGAGACTTTACATCAATGTTTTCAAATGGATGTTTACAAGGCAGCTGATACACCAGATTTGGATTTGCTTGTAAAGGGATGGAATCAGAAGATAGGCATGCTCTGGTGTATTTTCAATCAGTCCTGGTTTTTTAGGAGAGACGTGATCGTCATGGTAATATTAAATTTTTTTCCCCACCCAAACAGCAAATCAGGAAGCTGCGGCGAGAGCTGGACGCCTCCCAGGAAAAGGTTGCGACCCTCACGTCTCAGCTGTCTGCCAATGTAAGTGCCTCTTACTTCAACACACACCGAGCAGTCAAAACGTCTGCCTCGTGGTTCATTTGCATCCTAGCCTGTCAGAAAGGTTAGGGGGGAAACTCTGCCTTTGCCAAACCCTTGAATGTAAATCAGTCTAGACGCCCAGTAATTTCCTTTCTCTCTCTGACTCAAAGGTTTCTTAAGCTTCTGATGAAATGTTGGGTTGTTGTTTTTTCTGAACACGGCTCGAATAGGCGGCTTGTTTACCGGGAATTGTCCTGCGAAGCGGGCCTCATCCGGCAGTCTAGCAAGAACATGCAGATTCAACAAAACAGAGAGATGGAGAGAGAGAGAGGAAAGAGGGAGCTAGTGAGCCCAGTTTGGAGGGAGGAAGTGTATTGTACAGAGTGAGAGAGAACCCTGAGAACCCAAAGCCTGTCAAAGCCTGTGTCTCTCTCAGTGCTGGGCCCTGCATAAAGCGTCTGATCAAGTGCGAGGCTGACAGGGTCTTCACCAGGGTCTCTGGCTTTGATCGCTGAGTTCTACATCTCTAGGCACTAAGGCACCACACTGCCAAGAAACTTCCAACTAGCTTTTCTGTTCACTGTGTGACTCACACAGACCCCAGATGTCTTTGTAGAAAAGTTGCAATGTTTAATTTATGAGAAAGCTTTTTTTAGATGCTTTTGTGTATATATACTGAACAAAAATATAAACGGAACAGTGTTGGTCGAATGTTTCATGAGCTGAAATAAAAGATCCCAGATATTTTCCATACGCACAAAAAGCTTATTTCTCTCAAATTTTGTGCACACATTTGTTTGCATCCCTGTTAGTGGGCGTTTTCCTTTGCCAAGATAATCCATCCACCTGACAGGTGTGGCATATCAAGAAGTTGATTAAACAGCATGATCATTACACAAGTGCACCTTGTGCTGGGGACAATAAAAGGCCACTCTAAAATGTGCAGTTTTGTCACACAACACAATGCCATAGATGTCTCAAGTTTTGAGGGAGTGTGCAATTGGCATGCTGACTGTAGGAATGTCCACCAAAGCTGTTGCCAGAGAATTGAATGTTCATTTATCTACCATACACTGCCTCCAACATCGTTTTAGAGAATTTAGCAGTACGTCAAACCGCAGACCATGTGTAACCAAGCCAGCCCAGGACCGCCACATCCGGCTTCTTCACCTGCGGGATCATCTGAGACGATCTTGTCTTGCCCATTCACCCTCTGAATGGCACATATACACAATCCATGTGTCAGTTGTCTCAAGGCTTTAACCTGTCTCCTCCCCTTCATCTACAGTGATTGAAGTGAATTTGGTAACAAGTGACATCAATAAGGGATCATACCTTTCACCTGGTTAGTCTATGTCATGGAAAGAGCAGGTGTTCCTAATGTGTGCACTCAGTGTATATGTATGTATGTGTATATATATATATATATATATATATATACATACAGTTGAAGTCGGAAGTTTACATACACCTTAGCCAAATACATTTAAACTCAGTTTTTCACAATTCCTGACATTTAATCCTAGTAAAAATTCCCTGTCTTAGGTCAGTTAGGATCACCACTTTATTTTAAGAATGTCAAATGTCAGAATAATAGTAGAGAGAATGATTTATTTCAGCTTTTTTTTCTTTAATCACATTCCCAGTGGGTCAGATGTTTACATACACTCAATTAAATTGTTTAACTTGGGTCAAACCTTTCAGGAGCCTTCCACAAGCTTCCCACAATAAATTGGGTGAATTTTGGTCCATTCCTCCTGACAAAGCTGGTGTAACTGAGTCAGGTTTGTAGGCCTCCTTGCTCGCACACGCTTTTTCAGTTCTGCCCACAAATGTTCTATAGGATTGAGGTCAGGGCTTTGTGATGGCCACGCCAATACCTTGACTTTGTTGTCCTTAAGCCATTTTGCCACAACTTTGGAAGTATGCTTGGGGTCATTGTCCATTTGGAAGACCATTTGCGACCAAGCTTTAACTTCCTGACTGATGTCTTGAAATGTTGCTTCAATATATCCACATAATTTTCCTTCCGCATGATGCCATCTATTTTGTGAAGTGCACCAGTCCCTCCTGCAGCAAAGCACCCCCACGGCATGATGCTGCCACCCCCGTGCTTCACGGTTGGGATGGTGTTCTTCGGCTTGCAAGTTTCCCCCTTTTTCCTCCAAACATAACAATGGTCATTATGGCCAAACAGTTCTATTTTTGTTTCATCAGACCAAAAAGTACGATCTTTGTCCCCATGTGCAGTTACAAACCGTAGTCTGGCTTTTTTATGGCGGTTTTGGAGCAGTGGCTTCTTCCTTGCTGAGCGGCCTTTCAGGTTATGTCGATATAGGATTAGTTTTCCTGTGGATATAGATACTTTTGTACCTGTTTCCTCCAGCATCTTCACAAGGTCCTTTGCTGTTGTTCTGGGATTGATTTGCACTTTTCGCACCAAGTACGTTCATCTCTAGGAGACAGAACGCGTCTCCTTCCTGAGTGGTATGACGGATGTGTGGTCCCATGGTGTTTATACTTGCATACTATTGTTTGTACAGATGAACGTGGTACCTTCAGGCGTTTGGAAATTGCTGAACCAGACTTGTGGAGATCTACAATTTTCTTTCTGAGGTCTTGGTTGATTTATTTTGATTTTCCCATGATGTCAAGCAAAGAGGCACTGAGTTTGAAGGTAGGCCTTGAAATACATCCACAGGTACACCTCCAATTGACTCAAATTATGTCAATTAGCCTATCAGAAGCTTCTAAAGCCATGACATCATTTTCTGGAATTTTCCAAGCTGTTTAAAGGCACAGTCAACTTAGTGTATGTAAACTTCTGACCCACTGGAATTGTGATACAGTGAATTATAAGTGAAATAATCTGTCTGTAAACAATTGTTGGAAAAATTACTTGTGTCATGCACAAAGTAGATGTCCTAACCGACTTGCCAAAACTATAACTTGTTAACAAGACATTTGTGGAGTGGTTGAAAAACGAGTTTTAATGACTCCAACCTAAGTGTATGTAAACTTCTGACTTCAACTGTGTATATATATATATATATATATATATATATATATATATATATATATATATAACCGCCAAGCCTTTCCTGGGCTCCTGATCCCAATCTGTTCAGGTAGGGGATGTGACGGTCGAAATCTCATCCCCGCCAGACCCTTACACTCTCTCTGGTACCGAATGGTGTCTGGTACCCAGGTTTCATGGCCCGATGCTGTGCATCGGGACAACATTTCTCTACCAGGACTCCAGTGCTTGAAACATACACTGCAGCGTTGGTTAAGGCAGTGTTTTATATGCTGTGGGCTGGTTTGTCTGGCAGAGATACTGTATCTTCAGCAGGTGCATACTGTATGTTTGCAGTCATGTAAGGAGGGACTGGTGCACTTCACAAAATAGATGGCATCATGAGCCCTGCTGTAGCTCAGTTGGTAGAGCATGGCGCTTGCAATGCCAGGGTTGTGGGTTCGTTTCCCACGGTTGGCCAGTATGAAAAATGTATGCACTCACTAACTGTAAGTCGCTCTGGATAAGTGCGTCTGCTAAAATGACTAAAATGTAAATGTAAATGTTCTCTTAAATGTAAATCCCACTTAGAGCGAGGCACTGTTTTGTAATTGAACGAATGAGAAGAGCTGTGAGTGTGGTGTCTGCTGATTGAGGTCATTGTAGATTGACCCTAATTACATTTACATTTCAGTCATTTAGCAGACGCTCTTATCCAGAGCAACTGACAGTAGTGAGCGCATACATTTTCATACTTGTTCCCTATGGGAATCAAACGCACAACCCTGGCATTGCAAGCGCCATGCTCTACCAGCTGAGCTACACGGGACACTAATGTGCTGTACGTAAGACGTTCATTTACTGTATCTACTCACACTCTTTGTAATATGTTAATATAGAGATGAATCTTTTGACCTTTTTTAATAAAGGACTATTCATTGTGTCACCTTCAGCATGGTCTTAACAGGTCAGTCTGGCCTGACTTGTAGCTAAAATGGCTGCCACATCAGGCACATAGTTGTATGTGCGTAGACACATATGGTTAGAGAAGCTCTCCCATGTCCATGTCAATCTAGTTCATGTTTGTTTAGGGTTTCTTTGATCAGAACAAAACATAATTAGCAAAACCAGCATTTTCTCTCTCATTCCTTTCTCTCTCTCATTCCTTTCCCTCTCTCATTCCTTTCTTTCTCTCACTCCTTTCTTTCTCTCACTCCTTTCTCTATCTCACTCCTTTCTCTCTCACTCCTTTCTCTCTCTCACTCCTTTCTCTCTCTCACTCCTTTCTCTCTCTCATTCCTTTCCCTCGCTCACTCCTTTCCCTCTCTCACTAGATTGCCCTCCCTCTCTCTCTTATCCCCTCCCCTCTACCTCTTTTTTGCCCTCTCTCTCTTTGGGGATTTGGGAATTAGTATATCTAGCCGTCTGTGCTGGCTTAGACTACATTAGTGTGTGTGTGTGTGTGAGTGAGTGAGTGAGTGAGTGAGTGAGTGAATGAGTGTGGATGGGTAGAGCAGAGAGGGCTCTGAGGATGGCGTCGACACTGGGCAGCAGTAGTAGTAGGGGCAGCTCTCTGGCCGGTTCGCTGGTCTGGCCGACCCTCAACCATTACCCCGGCTCCCAGCAGAGGCCCCAGGGCAGGGGTCGCAAGGCCAAGGGTGGCCGGGGGGCCCAGACTGCACAGACGGCCCAGCCGCGGGACGCGTGGGCAGCCGCACAGCCCTACCCGCAGGGCAGACAGGTGGGCAGCAGCGGTGGGTGGACGTCACATGATGGAGGGGGCTGACGGGATTGGACGGATGACATTTTGCAAAGGTTAAATGCGATTCAGCCAGAGAGGAGAGAAGAGGACCAATATGGTGGTGTTGGCTTATTGGTGTAGGACTGTGAATACTGTGTTGCTACTTAGCCCTGTTGAGCTGAGCTTCTCTTATCTGTGGGCACACTGCCTGACTCTGTGTGACTCACTGGTCCTGACAGGTGTCTGAGGCTCCATGCTGTGGAGGGGCGGGGGTGTGAGCTCACACTATTTGTTCTGTTTCTCTCTCTGTCATACACATGCACATACACAATTGCTATTCCTGTATTTTTTTGGTGAGGACTTATCACCCCCGCACGCACGCACACACACACGCACACACACACTTTCCCTCACTGTGCTATCCCATTTTCATGGAGCTTTACTTCCATCAGGCTCAGTGCAGCAGATGGTGTCATGCTGCTAAACATTTGGCACCCTTCAGTTTGTCGCCGGTGTTTCTTCAGGTGAAAAATTAATTCAGGCGCCGTTAAAAAAATGCTAAACCTTCTCTGACCTGTGTACAAGAAGATATGCCCACCTTTCTCTTTACTTTAGGTCTCGGTTCAGCTGTGTTTTTGTGCATGTTCAAATCACCAGTTGGCTGATAAAATCGGTCATAATCATGGATGTTGTTGTTGCTGCTGCTGTTGTCTTCAGTTTGAACCACAGTGAAAGTGAAGGTTTATAACTTTCAGAAGAGCTGACGTAGTGTAGCTACCACTTCTTCTGTAGCACAGCAGCAACTTCCCCAAGAGGTTACAAGTTTTGTACATCATGTCTCCTTTGAACCTCCTCATGTTAACTTCCAGTTCATAACCCACTTCAAAGCTATCACCCTGGACCAGTGGGGGAGTGGTTAGCTGTAGCATGCAGCAGGCTCAGCTTTGCCATTGTAAAGTGCAAGCTGTAACTAGGGGGAATGTTCCTAGTGTTTTGGTTCAGATACAGAAATAAACATGATGGTCCAGCCAGTCAGTCAGTGCTGGTGGTTCAACAGAGGGATGGCTTGACTCAGTCTATCAGAGCTGAGGGTCCCTGGGGAGAGTGATGACTCATGAGAAACACGAGGGAACATGAAAAGGGCGAGAGAAAAAATTGCCTACACCCTCAGGTCGCGTCGATTCTTCTTCTACATGTTTAAGTGGCTATCTAACAATGGATTTTCCACACTGTGTGCTAAATGTGTGTTTGTGGATCATCTTGAATCCACCTGGTTAGAGGTTGTTCCAACTACAAAGAATGGCATATTTATAGGACCTCAGGAAAATGTGACAATTTAATGTTGTCCCTTTATGCCTGCTTTTATGACCCGTCCAGTGCTTGTGTTGACTGTGCTGCTGTGTTGAACTCTGACCTCTGTGTTGACAGGCTCACCTGGTGGCAGCCTTTGAGAAGAGCCTGGGGAACATGACCTGTCGCCTAACGAGCCTCACCATGACAGCTGAGCAAAAGGTACGTGCCATTTTCTGTTGCTGCGGCCCACCGCTTCCAGATACGTTCTCATGTATAAAGCTTGTATCAGGCTATAGTGTTTAATTGTCTCTGAGAAGTCTGCCTGTCTGTGCATATCACTGTTAATCCATGGTCATTTACACCTTACAATAACAGTAATTTATAGAAACGTTATAGAGCATTCATAAGGTCTTCATAAGCACTGCATAATGTACCATAAATCATTTATAATCATCCTGTGTCGTGCCCGTGGCACATTTGCCACCCTTTATACAGCATGATATTTGCTTATGAATGATTTCTGTATAGACCTTTTTATGAAGGCTTCATTAAGTTAAAAGCTATGTTAAAGGAAAATTATCTATCTTTTGGTATTTGTTTCATTAGTCCATTGTCATATGATGCAAAACGCATCATGCAGGGATGATTTCTGTATTTTGAAAGTTACATACAGTATCTTGACAACTTGATTGCTGACAAGCAAAACGTTTGGGGACTATGTCAACAATGGACTAATGAAATAAATACCAAAAGATAGAGTTGTCCTTTAAGGTTAGTGTGGGACCTTTTCCCCTCTTAATATAAGATATTCATGATATATTGATAGAACTTGTCTCATATGTATCCTAATCCAGGACATTGGTTTTGCTCCATACTCTGCAGAGTTATTTCTTCAGGCATATATGTACTGAATGATGCTATACTCATAGCCAGATATCAGACCACATTAGAGATGACAGAAGTGTTTCTTATGGTCTGTAATTGGCAGCGCTTGAGTGAGATTAGGGTCTGGAAGAAGTACCCAGAAAGAGTAGCGTCGTCGAGCTCTAAAACGAGGATCAGTGAAAGAATGGTACATGTGTTGTAAATGTAAAGCCATCCTTGTGATGAAACGTGAGCGTCTCCGCCTGTCCGCCTGTTGGTGGAAACCCTACTCATAACATTGAAGAGCTGTGGCAGCCTTAATCCTGGATAAATTAAACGAGAGATTCTAGAGGGACGTCTTTGTTAAGCAAGCCGCCTGCGCCCTCCCAACTTTTAATTAAGGCTGAAACCCTATCACAAGCCCACAGTGGTTTTGGGGGAATTGGAGCGCTGTTGCCTTTTTATCTAATCATGTGGATTTAATAGAGAGGTACTGTGCCATGTAGGTTTTATCCAATCAGGTGGGGCGGAGGGTAAAACTCTATTGCCAAACCTTATCCTCTTAAACTTGCTTAAGGCCTAGCTCTGTGTGCTTTTGAAGCAGGAATATTTTACTGACATATCGTACGACTGTCATTGAGTTTTGGATTGAGAATTGAGAGAGTGGTGCCCCCGACCGAAATGAAGGGTAGACCGTTAAAAGAGATTTAGAGGCAGAAAACAAGATTTTTCTCTTTCAATAGGGTTAATGATCAAAAAGGTCTATTCAAGATCCACATAAAGCACATTTGTTATTTTTTTGGGACACCAGATGATGTTTCTACAGTATATCTATAATCAAACACATTCTGCCATTGTTTTCAATTGAGCAGGTTAGCATTGTCTGTGGCGGTGTGGTGCTGTGGAGGTTGATCTGTGTTGCTGCTTCTCTTCCCTCAGGAGTCGGAGCTGGCTGAGCTGAGAGAGACCATCGAGGCGCTGAAAGCCCAGAACACAGATGCCCAGACAGCCATCCAAGTTGCCCTCAACGGCCCCGACCACCTACACAAAGGTAGCGGCGCCAGAGGAGAACCCTCCATATGCGCTTTAGCGTGGGCAAGAACCGCACCTCTTCCTCTTGATCGGCCCACACATTTCAAACTCTGTCCCTCTTTACTCATGAGAGCAGCCATACACCACTCTAGAATGTTCACCCTCTTTGAAAGTTGATCTTAAACACCTGCCACTCAGGAGTTAGACTTGGTAGAAACTAAAAAGAGGATTGTCTTGTGCTTCCAGACCTGCGGATTAGACGGAAACACTCGTCGGAGAGCATGTCCAGCATCAACAGTGCAGCCAGTCACTCGTCCCTGGGCAGCGCCAAAGACCCAGAGGACAAGAAGAAGAAGAAGAGCTGGGTGAGTTAGTGAGTGAAGAAATCCCACGGGAGAAGGAGAGGAGGAGGGGTTTTCTCAGGTCATATAGACGTCTCCGTGCGGTGCACTTCACTCTAACCTCTGAACCATCTAAACCATGCCATGTCTCACACTCCCACTGAGCAGTCATACATTGTCATAACTGTGACTTTTAATTCCACTCCCTTTTCTCATGCTCTCTCTAACCCTAACCCTCTGCCAGGGAAAGGAGAGAGGCAACAAGGTGAATATGAACCACCCCCATCCTCCTGCATGTCTGTATGACAGAGTGAATGAGTGTGAAAGAAAGACAAAGAGGTGGAACACTTTTGTACAAGGATCACATAATGGGCACTCATTTCCTAAGTGTAATATTGTGTATATAAGTAGTTAAATAGGACCTTTATTCTGTAGTATTAGCCAGTTGTTAGTCCTTCATTCTGTGTTTCCTGTATTCATTCATGTGTGAATAAGAAAACACTACATAAATGCCTAATAAAATGTGTTAATAATACAGAATAAAGGCTTAATTCACTATTTCAAATTGTGCCTAATGTGGTCCATATACCCGAAAGGGACGGATGCATATTTGAGCGTCAATCAGTGCTGTCCCGCTTAGTTTCCTTCAGTCCCCCAGTCAGTGTACCCCTTGATTAAGCGTACAGTCCATCTCTCCTAGTAATATTAACCTTCCTTCTCCTCTCCTTCTGTGTGCAGTTACGGTTCTGCCCCACCGTGGAGCCAATATGACAAACCCTATTTGAGAAACGCATTCATTCAAAATCAATGTTTTTGTCAATCCTACCCTGTGTTTTTCTGCCCATTATACAGTGTGCATGTTTCCTGCTGGTTAAGGACTGCTATTTGTCATGACCCTCTGAATAATTTTTTATTACATTTAATAATAACTCATACATTCTTATATTAAGTTTCAGTACAGAAGACAACCCCACTTTAAGAGTTTACAATCTGACCTCCATACTATCTCTTCTGGGAAACAGACCATGATGAACTGCTAAATGTACGGAGTACGACCAGCATCTTTACAACTGCTAAATTCTCTTTCCCAATCCTTCCCAGACTCTGAGCCAGAGAAAAGCTCAACCCACGCTCATAAATACAAATCAGGTTCTTATTTATGCCGCTATTCATTTGCATATAAATTCTGCCTCTGTGCCCCTGAGGCCTGAAATACTGGGAGTGTGTGTCTCAGAGGTTAATGAAGAGCTTGTGATCTGGCTGAAGAGGGCATCGCTAACAGCAGGGAGAGGGACATGGGCTCACACACACACACACACACACACACACACACACACACACACACACACACACACACACACACACACACACACACACACACACACACACACACACACACACACACACACACACACACACACACACACACACACACACACACACACATCAGGTGCTGTTTCCCCTTCCTGGAGCCATTCTTCACCTTGTACAGGAAACAAAATGCAAATGCATCAAACCTAAGGAACTAATTGCCAGTTAAATTAAGTTTTAAAGGGGCAAGGGAAGTATTTTGGGGTATGACAGTTGAACAAAGCTCATGAGGCATTTATAAGCTATATTCTTTAAGAATCAATCTATATCATTAATTTGAAAGTATAAAAATGGATGTACCAATTCCAGATTGCCACTTTAAAGACAATGGTGGCCCTAGCGGTAATACAGTAGGGATGATGTGTGGGTCAGTGGAGCGGGGTGTCCCTGTGGTAACAGTAGTGATGATGTGTGGGTCAGTGGAGCGGGGTGTCCCTGTGGTAACAGTAGTGATGATGTGTGGGTCAGTGGAGCGGGGTGTCCCTGTGGTAATACAGTAGTGATGATGTGTGGGTCAGTGGAGCGGGGTGTCCCTGTGGTAATACAGTAGTGATGATGTGTGGGTCAGTGGAGCGGGGTGTCCCTGTGGTAACAGTAGTGATGATGTGTGGGTCAGTGGAGCGAGGGTGTCCCTGTGGTAACAGTAGTGATGATGTGTGGGTCAGTGGAGCGGGGTGATCCTGTGGTAACAGTAGTGATTGTTCTATCCGCAGGTGGCTGATTCCATCCCAGCACAGGTCAGTTGTACTAAAGCGTCTACCGTCCGTGTGCTGTGGTGACTTCCTCCTCTTCCTCCTCCTCAGTTCCTCAACGTTTTCCCTTCTACAACTGTTCGGCATGGAAACAGCCCCCTCTCCTCCTCCTCCATTTTGACTGCCTGTTTGTTTCTAGTTCCAGGACTTTAAAAAGTCTGGCTCCTCCCCTGCATTCCTAATTTCTCATCCATACAGTCTGGCTCCTCCCTGCATTCCTCATTCCTCCTCCATACAGTCTGGCTCCTCCCTGCATTCCTCATTCCTCCTCCATACAGTCTGGCTCCTCCCTGCATTCCTCATTCCTCCTCCATACAGTCGCCCCTGATTGGATCCCTCTCTCGCCCTTGATTGAGTTTCCTTGCTTTCCCTTTCTCTCAGATGGTGACTGTTGCCTAAGAACAGCACTGACTTGGCAAGACAGGAACGTTGATGTACGTTAATGATGTACGTTAAGTTGAAGAGATGGGCGAGGTTTACGTTTTGGTTGTTTCTCTTGCAGTTGCGGAGCTCGTTCAAGCAGGCGTTCAGTAAGAAGAAGGGCAACAAGCCTCAGTCTCCCCACGATGACATCGAAGAGATGACGGATTCATCGCTGCCGTCCTCGCCCAAGCTACAGCATGCTAACAGACAGGACAGCTTTCCCCACACTCCTCTCCTCAGCCTCTACCACAGAGTGAGTATACTGCAATATACACACACACGGCAGGTAGCCTAGCGGTTAGAGCGTTGGGTCAGTAACCGAAGGGTCACTAGTTTGAATCCCCAAGCCGACAAGGTGAAAAATATGTCAGTTTGCCCTTGAGCAAGGCACTTAACCCTAATTGCTCAAGGGTCACTGTTGATAATGGCTGACCCTGGCCGTAACCCCACTCTCCGAAGGTGTCTCGGGGGGGAGTTGGGATATGCAAAAATCACATTTCTAATTCACACATGCGTATAATACACACTTGTCTATGTGAAATGGTACAAATATAAGCACCCACCTAATTATTATTATTACACACACAGGCTACATCCCAATCTACATACATAACATAATTCAGCATCTTCCATTTCTTGGCACAAATGTTGTTGTTTTCCTTCTGAATTCACCTGGTCTTTTCTTTTATGTCTCTTCTTGTTCACCTTGTTTCTCCATTTCACATGTCTGTCTATCTGTCTGTCTGTACAGTAACAAGTGCTTCTGTGATAGCAAGCCCCTCCCCATGTGGATGTCAAAGAGAAGCCTAAACGGTCATGTGGTCTACAAGCACAGATCTCGGTAACAGGCAGTGTGTGGCTGTCGGGGTGTGGAGTGCTTTCATCATGCATCTCTCTTAACACCATCAAAACTCAGCCTGCTTTTATATTTGGTTGTGTCCCAAATGGCACCATATTCCCTATATTGTGCACTCCAGGACCCATAGGGCTCTGGTCAAAAGTAGTGTACTATCTAGGGAATAGGGTGCCCTTTGGGACGCAACCTTTCTCTCACAAATGGCCCCAATTAGGCCACGACACAAACATATAATGCACCAGAAAGTGAGCCGCGTACACAAATATTAAAATCACTTGTTGCAGTCATGGGAGGTTATATTATATTTCCGTGCTTACTGACACTGCTGGTGAATTGGCCATGTACGGAAGGCCCCTCCATCTTGTTAATATCCTCAGCTGGCCTTGCATTTGCCAGACAGTGACACAAGCATGCTAGTTTAATTCACATCTGCTGTGTATGGGCCAGCTGACAAGTTGGTTTGCCCTAATTTCTTTGGAGGACCGCTGACAGGCTTTCCTAGCCGTGGCGGGTGATGCTCATGGTGTGGGTTTTGAAGTAAATTTCCCCATTTCAGATCGTAAACTCAGCTGTGACCTGCAGAGTTTGATAGTAGTGAATGGTAGTAGTAGTAGTAGCAACACTGGGACTGTAGATCGTCTTTGCTTGGTATGCCAGATGGAAAATTCCTATGATGGAGGATTCACTCATCCCCAATGCTCTCCTGATCCCTGTGTGACCCCATACCACCTGTGTGTATGTGCGTTCGTTCGTTTTCTAAGTATGTCTGCCATAACGGTTTTCTACTGACTCCAATGGATCCTCTTTGGTTTTACTGTACAGCCGAGTTCTCTCTCTCTCTCTCCCTCGGGGGTTGAGGTTCCCTGGTTCCCTCGGTGGACACTTCCCATGCCTGTACTGTACTGTATGTGTACCTATCCCTGTTTGAAGTATTTCTAGCCTGTATGTGTAACTATCCATGTTTGAAGTATTTCTAGCCTGTATGTGTAACTATCCCTGTTTGTAGTATTTCTAGCCTGTATGTGTAACTATCCCTGTTTGTGGTATTTCTAGCCTGTATGTGTAACTATCCCTTTATGTAGTATTTCTAGCCTGTATGTGTAACTATCCCAGTTTGTAGTATTTCTAGCCCTGTGACCCCTGTGTGACCCCTTGCAGGCTGTGTGAGTGCACGGAGGCGGAGGCGGAGATCATCCTGCAGCTGAAGAATGAGCTGAGGGAGAAGGAACTGAAGCTGACAGACATCCGCCTGGAGGCTCTTAGCTCCGCCCACCACCTGGACCAGATCCGAGAGGCCATGAACCGTATGCAGGTGAGGAACCAGGTAGCCTGCTAAACGAATGCACAACCCAAACCATGGGGGACCACCAATGTGAATTAGCACTGATTTATATATAAAATCTCTAATTGTACATAAAGCCTTCTATTGTTGTGTTTAACACTAATCCAGTCATCTCTTATCTGTTGTTTTATCTGTATGTATATTGTTTATGCTGTAAAAAATACTTCAGGAAGGAGACATTATTGGGTCGCACTCAGAGAGACCTGTTTCCCAGGGGCCAGTGAGCCGTGACACTACGCAGTTAGGGAGCTAATACCAGTGTTTGGGGATTGTTCTGGCTCTTTGATGCCATGCCAGGGGTGTCAGTGGGGGGTCAGGGAGAGGCTTGTGCCCGTCTCTTGCTCTCACCGGGGCCACGGAAGCCAACAAGCCGCGATGGCACCGTGGTCAATTTACAGTTTAACCACTCAGACCACTAATTAGGCTTAGCTGTCAGTGGGGCTGGCTGTACCATACACCCAATCACCTTTCTGGTAGAGCACTGACAATGAAGCTCGTGACAAAGTCCGGGGGGACAGTGGCTTGGCCGTTGATGTCAACTCCCATGACAAAACGGCAACAACTGGAGAAGTCAGCGCTCTCTCCTCAAATGTGTAGATAATCTACCCAGGCCCTTAATCTGGGGTTTAGACTTGTGAACAGCCCAGTACAAAGAGCTCTGGTGAGATTAAAGGGGCTCTCACAGCCAACAATGAGGCTAATACTGATCCACAATGATAACTATGGCCAGTCTGAATGAAAGGACATTTCCATATTCTCCTAATCGGTTTACCTCTCAGTATAATTATTTTATTTTACATGGGGTTGGGCTGAGTTTCTGGATTGCTCTATAAAAGCGTCCATTTGTGGTGATGTCATTGTCTCCCAACAGGTGGCGTAGGCCTACATGATGAGTTATAACCATAGAAATATAATTACTAGACAGGACACTCAATACGGTCACTGGTCCACCCATCACAGAACATCGACTTGAATGGGAATGTCCATTCTGGTAATTCTGTTTCAATGGTTTAGAACAGCATCTGTCAGGAAACGCCGACAGTGACATTTAGAGTATCCTCCTGATGTTTATTCTCTGTCTTTGGGCAGAACGAGATCGAGCTGCTGAAAGCGGAAAACGACCGGCTCAAGACGGGAGGCACCACGCCAGCCGCCACACCCGCCAAGACGGGCCGGCCGCCCTCTGAGACTTCCAGCACATCCTCGTCCTCCTCGCGACAATCTCTGGGCCTGTCCCTCAACAACCTCAACATCACAGACACCATCATGTCAGGTGAGCCACAGCTCTGGGCCTGTCCCTCAACAACCTCAACATCACAGACACCATCATGTCAGGTGATCCACTACAGCCCCATGAATCTACAACATGACAGACCATCATGTCAGGTGATCCACCACAGCCCCATGACTCTACAACTCAGTAGAACAGTTTACATTATATTCTCCTGGATGATGGTTTAGTAGAACAATATAGAATATATTGTCCTGGATGATGATGTAGTAGAAAGATATGCAATATATTGTCCTGGATGATGATTTAGTAGAAAGATATGCAATATATTTACCTGGATGAAGGTGAGCCACCACAGCACGTTTGTCCATGAAGAGTTCCTGAAGTTGAAGTAACATCTGCATCAATCAAGCAGACGTCAGAACAGAACTCCTCTGAGAGTTGTGAGACACAGAGACAGAGACAGAGTGAGAGAGAGAGAGAGAGAAAGAGAGAGAGAGAGAGAGATTAAACCTTGTATGCTCCTCTTCTCCGAGTCCGTCCTTGTCGATGAGTGGAGCGCTCGTTGGTCTCCTCGTCTGTCCTGTAATTAAAATAGAACACTCTCAGAGGACTTTGGGGCTGTTTAATTGATGGGGGGATGAGTTGGGAGCAGCAGCGCGTGGGAAGACGAGTGGCAGAGGGCCCTTATCACCCCTGCACAGAGCCTAAGTGCCAGCAAGCCAGCCGAATGCAAAGTAGGTCCCCTTCCTCCCCAGTTCAATGGAAATAAAGCAGAGAGAGAGAAAAATAACCTGTTTATAATTCATATCTGGAGCTCCAAGCAAAGTAACTTTTCCAGCCTGACAACCATGTCTTGCAAACAGGCAGAGGGACCGCTCTATATTACATTTAGTCTCTGTTGTTTTTTCGTCTATATTTTGATGACGCTTTTATTACAGAGATGTTTTTCCCCAAGATTGTTTCCTCCCTTGATAGATAGTTGTGTTTGTGCCTACAGATATTCTCCTGGACGATGGTTATGAGGGCAATCTACGCAAAGAGGGGCGCAGTGTCCGCATTGTGGTTACAATCAACAGTGGCTCTAATAAGACAAGTACAATAGATCAGTGGAGATTGGGGCCTAGAAGAAAATGGATCTAAAAGGTAGGTTATTTGAGATAGAAAAGACCAAAAATAATAGAAAAACGTGATTCGGTGAGGCTACCCCCTCTCAATAGAAGATTTGGTACTCCCAGTGCGTACGAGCAACAGATAACAGTTGGCTCTAGATAAGACCAATAACCTGCCTAAAATCTCCACTAATATAGGACAGATTGTAGACCTACAAAAGGCTGGAAGGGGGTACAAGACCATCACCAAGCAGCTTTTTGGAGAAGGTGACAACAGTTGGTGCGATTATTCGCAAATGAAGAAACACAAAATAACTGTCAATCTCCCTCGGCCTGGGGCTCCATGCAAGATCTCACCTCGTGAAGTTCTAATGATCATGAGAACGGTGAGAAAATCACCCCAGAAACTACTGGGAGGGTCTTGTCAATGATCTAAAGGCAGCGGGTCCATAGTCACCAAGAAAACAATTGGTAACACACTACGCCGTGAAGGACTGAAATCCTGCAGCGCCCGCAAGGTCTCCTGCTCAAGAAAGCACATATACAGCCGTCTGAAGTTTGCCAATGAACATCTGAATGATTCAGAGGAGAACTGGGTGAAGTGTTGTGGTCAGATGGAAACCCAAAAAAAATCGAGTTATTGGCATCAACTCAACTCGCCGTGTTTGGAGGAGGAGGAATGCTGCCTATGACCCAAAAAACACCATCCCACTGTCAAACATGGAGGTGCAAACATTATGCTTTGGGGGTGTTTTTCTGCTAAGGGGACAGGACAACTTCACCGCATCAAAGGGACGATGGACGGGGCCATGTACCCTCCAAAACTGGGTGAGAACCTACTTCCCTCAGCCAGGCATTGAAAATGGGCGTGGATGGGGATTCCAGCATGACAATGACCCAAAACACATGGCCAAGGCAACAAAGGAGTGGCCCCAAGAAGAAGCACATTAAGGGCCGGAGTGGCCTAGCCGTCTCCAGACCTTAATCCCATAAAAAACTGTGGACGGAGCTGAAAGGTTCGAGTTGCCAAACGTCAGCCTCGAAACCTTAATGACTTGGAGAAGATCTGCAAAGAGGAGTGGGACAAAATCCCTCCCGAGATGTGTGCAAACCTGGTGGCCAACTACAAGAAACGTCTGACCTCTGTGATTGCCAACAAGGGTTTTGCCACCAAGTACTAAGTCATGTTTTGCAGAGGGGTCAAATACTTATTTCCTTCATGAAAATGCAAATCAATTTATAACATTTTTGACATGCGTTTTTCTGGATTTTTTTGTTGTTATTCTGTCTCTCACTGTTCAAATAAACCTACCATTTAAGTTATAGACTGATCACGACTGATCACGTCTTTGGCAGTGGGCAAACGTACAAAATCAGCAGGGGATCAAATACTTTTTTCCCTCACTGTAGGTGCCTAGAATAACAATGTGAGAATCTTATGCTGTCGTATAATCAGATGCTTCGGTACCAGCGCTTGACTTGGGCAGGAACTCACCGGAGCCGAGTACCGGCACCTCATTTTTTCTCCTGCTTGAGCTCCTGTTCCTCTCATAAAACATTAGCTCAAAAGTATTGTGGAGCTCCTGCACCTTAATATAAACAGTACCGGCAACCAAAATAAATACCGGCATCTATTTCAGTCCAAGTCACTGTTCGGTGCAACAATTTTGTCACTTATTTTCATTAATGTCAATCAATCAATCAAATGTACTTATAAAGCCCTTTTTACATCAGCAGATGTCACAAAGTGCTATACAGAAACCCAGCCTAAAACCCCAAACAGCAAGCAATGCAGATGTAGAAGCACGGTGGCTAGGAAAAACTCCCTAGAAAGGCAGAAACCTAGGAAGAAACCTAGAGAGGAACCAGGATCTGAGGGGTGGCCAGTCCCCTTCTGGTCTCTGACATCCTACATTTTCTAATTCCCTATCGTACACTCAGGGTATGCAAAGCCAGGAGTACCTCATTGGTTCCATCGGCGTGAGCGGAAAGACCAAGTGGGATGTGCTAGATGGAGTAATCAGACGATTATTCAAGGTAAAACCTCCATCCCATGCTCACCATATGATCAATCACTGACTGAACCCTGCAGACGAAAAACCAAATATGAAGCGCTCCATTTCCATATATATATATATTTAAGTGTGTATAGCAGGAATTTTATGGGTGAAAGATAGTTGAGTCAGACTCTATTCTAAGTACAGTTATTTGTGTCTTGCTTCTTGTTTTTAATGAGGAAGTGTCATGTTTATTTCAATAGTCACAGAAAGCTCATGATATATGGTTCTTCATCTGTATGATTGACAGAATATTTATTTGTTGTGGAAACATATATGGATAAACACTGAGATATTAGATAGAATGTGTCTTTATCTTAAAATCCTATTTGGCCATTTCCCCTCCAGGAGTATGTGTTCCGGGTGGACCCACTGACCAGTCTGGGCCTGAACTCGGACAGTATAGTGTGCTACAGGATGGGTGATGTGGTGCGAGCCCACGCCTCTGAACTGCCTGAAATGCTGCCCTGTGGCTACCTGGTGGGGGACAACAACGTCATCAGCGTCAACCTCAAAGGTACTAGGATGGCCCAGACTAATGGCATGATGCATTTGACTGTTTCTATTATTGTGTGTTTATGTATTACTGTATGTCCTACATCCTTTTAAGGACATGAACAAACACATTTCCCCTTGCTGGGATAATAACGTTTATTAAATCAAAATACCACAGATATAGGAAGGGCTTTGAGTCTTGACCATAAGACCTGACCAGGAACAACCCAGGGCCCTATCTATAGGATGGCACATTTCCAACCATGACAAAATGGAACCCCAGAAGGTTTAAATAGAAGGTCCAAAAGCTTCTTAATCCTGACATGACACTACCCTCATGCACATAGAAAAGCACTTCGGACACTTCAGTCAACTTTCTGCTCCTGAATGGGCAAAGGTGGTGTTTTAAATGGACTAACATCAGCTTCCATTTTTATTCACCAGAGCAAAAAAGTAGACAACACGTCCTTTATTTCACCTGCATGTTGGCTGCTATATTCCTGTGGTTGTAATGGCCGCTTCTCTCCCATAGTCACAACAGTGGACATCAGCAGGAAAATGTAGTGGGCCAGGCCTGAACTGGGTGCCATTGAATCCGGTGTCAGCACTCTGCACTACAGTTGTGTTTTCACTGGAGGAGTAGTGTCCAAGCTCCCATCCACAGTGAATTATAGTTAGTCTGCAGTCATTGAAGCTGAAATATAGTTACTCTGCAGTCATTGAAGCTGAATTATAGTTACTCTGCAGTCATTGAAGCTGAATTATAGTTACTCTGCAGTCATTGAAGCTGAATTATAGTTACTCTGCAGTCATTGAAGCTGAATTATAGTTACTCTGCAGTCATTGAAGCTGAATTATAGTTACTCTACAGTCATTGAAGCTGAATTATAGTTACTCTGCTGTCATTGAAGCTGAATTATAGTTACTTTGCAGTCATTGAAGCTGAATTATAGTTACTTTGCAGTCATTTAAGCTGAATTATAGTTACTCTGCAGTCATTTAAGCTGAATTATAGTTACTCTGCAGTCATTGAAGCTGAATTGGATCTAAACGACACTGTGTGATCCATCATGAGAAAAGCTGCTTCAATGTCACATTTGAGTAGAGTGTGGCGGGGCCTATCATTCAACACGTCTTGGTGTTGGTTCTCCATTTGAATGGACGACTCTAAACAAACTCCTTTGCACCATTCGTATGCTTATTGCTAACCAACACTTATTTGTAGAATGCCGGCCGATGAGCTTGAGATGGTCTCATAAATGTGATTTATTCCGCCAGGGTCTATTAAATGCATCGCTATTCAGCACTAATGAATTGTGTTTCAGGGACTGATTTGTTGTGTAATGTGGTGTGTTGCAGTACGGTCTATAATTGTTCACATTTCAGTGTGACAAACTGCAATTAGCTACACAACCTGAGCAGCTATGTATATTAAAACATGAAATCACAGCCCACTGACCTGCAGCTGACTTCTGGGGCCGTATCAAGCATCATAGAGTAGGAGTGCTGATCTAGGATCATGTCCCCCCTGTCCATGTATTCTTATTCATTGTGATCTAAAAGGCAAAACCGATCCTAAATCAGCGCTCATACTCTGAGACACTTGATACATACGGCACCTGACGTCCCAGTCCGATGTCCCAGAGAGTTGCACCATAAACAATAATCAACTCGTCTTCCCATTTCTCATGATTTATTATATGTTAACATAATGGATTGGCCATCGCACTGTCACAATGCATTTCATTATTAGAATGTATGTGCTATTACCTGAGTGAATGAACTCACTTAATTAATTCCATTTGTTTTAGAATGGCATGAATTCTATTCAGTCAACACAGGTTGTGAGAGGCTATGATCCATACAGTATACCGTTAGCATGATAATATCCTGTATTATTAGCACCTAGTATCATCAGACAATCACGTCTCCCTGCAGGTGTGAAGGAGAACAGCATAGACAGCCTGGTTTTTGACACCCTCATCCCCAAGCCCATCATCCAGAGATACCTCAACCTGCTCATGGAGCATCGCCGCATCATCCTCTCTGGCCCCAGCGGCACTGGGAAGTCATTCCTGGCCAGCAAGCTGGCAGAGTTCCTCGTCACCAAGTCTGGTCGAAAGGTCACGGAGAGCAACTTGGCTAGCTTCAACGTGGACCAGAAATCCAGCAAGGTAAGAAAACACTCAGCCAAGAGTATTAAGGAGCTAGTCGCTAAGGAGTCGGCATATTTGTCTATAATCGCCTCGTTTGGCACTGTACAGTATATCAAGGACAGTGGTCCTATTTCAAAGACAAAGTAGCACTTACTTACTGAATAATGGACACATCTTTAAGCTCACTGTGTGTTGTTTCTGTGCAGGACCTGCATCAGTACCTATCCAGCCTGGCGGAGCAGTGCAGCTCTGAGGAGAGCGAGACGGAGCTGCCCACTGTGGTCATACTGGACAACCTCCACCACATCGGCTCGCTCAGCGACATCTTCAACGGATTCCTCAACTACAAGTACCACAAATGGTGAGTGTAGCTCCACCCACCGGCACATGAAGCAAGTCTAGCCGCTATAGGATGATGATGATGGTGGTGGTGGTGATGATGGTGGTAGTGATGATGGTGGTGATGATGGTGGGGTAATGATGATGGTGGTGATGGTGATGATGTTGGTGATGATGATGGTGGTGATCATGGTGATGATGGTGGTGGTGGTGATGATGATAGTAGTGATGATGATGGTGGTGATGATGGTGATGATGATGATGGTGGTGGTGGTGATGGTGATGATGGTGGGGGTGATGTTGGTGATGAAGGTGATGGTAGTGGTGATGATGTTGGTGGTGATGATGATGGTGGTGATCATGGTGATGATGATGGTAGTGATGATTGTGGTGACCATGGTGATGATGGTGGTGATGATGATGGTAGTGATGATGATGGTGTTGATGATGATGATGGTGATGGTGATGATGTTGGTGATGATGATGGTAGTGACCATGGTGATGATGGTGGTGGTGGTGATGATGATGGTAGTGATGATGATGGTGGTGGTGGTGGTGATGGTGATGATGGTGGGGGTGATGTTGGTGATGAAGGTGATGGTAGTGGTGACGATGTTGGTGATGGTAGGGGTGATGTTGGTGATGAAGGTGATGGTGGTGGTGGTGATGATGATGATGGTGGTGATGATGGTGGTGATGGTGATTGTGTCTAACTCAAATACAACAGTTAGAGTTAATGTGTCTATAGTGTGGTGTGGCAGTTTCACTGTGAACACTGAGATTCTATACCAACAACCATGCCATTCGTATTCTATTCAAGATAGTTTACCTACTGTTCCCTGTTAAGCACAATCACTGTTGTGAAAGGAAAGGTAAATATCCTTATTGCCTGGCCCTGGTACGTAACTGCACTGTCCTCAGTATAATTGACTTGCAAATTGTTCTGTGTTGTCTGCAGCCCATATGTGATTGGAACCATGAACCAGGGAGTGTCTTCCTCTCCCAACCTTGAGCTTCACCATAATTTCAGGTATGTGTACCCTCACCAACACTCAGACCAGGATTCAAAAGCTTCATTTGCTCTTTGCTTTGTTTTTTCTGTGCAGACAACGTATTCAAGCAGATTTTTGCTAACTAACATTATTTTGGGGCCTTTTTCAACAATAAGATGTGCTGTGTTATTTAAAAAAGGGTTACTTTTTTGTTGTTGTTGTTGGTAAATCGGTTAAAAATGAATCAGTAGTCAATAGTAGAACTACCAATAAGAACATTGTGATTATGTACAGTATTTCATCAGCATTTCATTCCTGCTTCCACTACTAGAAATAATAATACCACCACCAGGTCTACTGCCAGAAAATAGTTGTGTGGATGTCTTTCAAACCATTGATCTGTCAGTCAACTTCAGATATTACAGATTAGAATGTAGAAGAATACATCTTTTATATCCTGGGAGCACAGTAATTAAAGCTGCAATATGTTACTTTTTGGGTGACCAAATTCACAGAGAAATATAGATCTGTCATTCTCATTGAAAGCAAGTCTAAGAAGTGGTAGATCTGTTCTATGTGCGCTATTTCTATGCTTCCCGTTCTTAAGTTGAGTTTTTGCGTCTTTTACTTTGGTTTTGTACACCAGCTTCAAACAGCTGAAAATACAATATTTGTGGTTATGGGAAAGATATTTCACAGCGGTTTAGATGGTACAATGATTCTCTAAGCTATACTTCCTTGTTTTGTCACATAAACTGAAATTAGATTAACTATTAGAATTTTTAGTAACCAGAAAATGGCAGAGCGATTTCTGCATAGTGCATCTTAAACTTGGCTAATTAGCTTCACTAATTTGACCTGATTTAAATTAGAGGCCTAACACACCTGGTCATTTTTTACGTGACATATTTGAGAAGATAATGAGGTCTAATGTGGCCACAGATATATTTGTCATTGGGTGCAAAATCACTCATTTATTAACATTTTCATCACACTGTTACCATGGAGTGTACAGTAAACATCCCAGTATTTCATAAAATGCCAGGAGGCCAAATGTTGCACAACCTCCTTCCTGACTATGAGATGTGCAAGCCTCAGAACATGCAGTCATCTTTATTATGACAACTGACGACAGAGCAGTCATCACCAATGGGGCTTTATTTGGGATACAGATTTCAAATATATGCCAAACATCCTTCCTTCAAAGGACCTTTCTATGAATGTAATTTAAGGAAGATCCAAAACATCATAATTATCTTTGGGCCAAACTTGCGTGGAATTTCCCTAATGCTGAATTCCAAATCGACCCCTAGTGTCATTCTCCCTGGGCACACACAGATCTGAAAGAATTGTATCGAGGTATAAGAAACATGGTGCTTCTTTCTTTTCGATAGGCTGGTTGGAATAACCACTAGATCCAATCATTTCAGATCTACCAGAATCATGTAGCGCTGTAGCCTCCAATGCAGTCACAGCTGCTCCATAGAGTGTGATGTCTTACATGATGTCTCGTCATCCTTCTCCGTGTCTCCAGGTGGGTGCTGTGTGCCAACCACACAGAGCCAGTCAAGGGTTTCCTGGGCCGATTTCTGCGCAGGAAGCTGATCGAGACGGAGATCGACAGGAACATGCGTAGCAATGACCTCATCAAGATCATCGACTGGATCCCCAAGACGTGGCAGCACCTCAACGGCTTCCTGGAGGCCCACAGCTCCTCAGACGTCACCATCGGTTAGACAATGCGCACACGCACACTTTGAGTTCACATATTTCGAATGATAGTTTGACCATTGCACATATGACACTTAATAAGTGTATTTTGGTGTTATGACTTTGGCTATGTGAGATAATGCCTTGCTCAAACTGAAATGCCCTGCATGGTTGATCCGACGTCTGCATTAGCCATGCAGCATTTACGGTGATATGGCCTCTGCAGAAGTCAGGGCCTTCATACTTCTTGCGCTTCGCGGAGCAGCGCAGAGCTGTTGTCAGTGAGTTTGTGTTTATACAGGACTTCCAGCCCCCACACACCGTCAACCTATCATGTCAATGCGGAGCTATACAGAGCCCTCCGCATTGTAAAAAAAAATTGAGAGGCGCATGGCGATGCGGTACAGAGCTCAATTTGGCTTCTGCGTGCCTCCGTAGGCTCCGCAATTGCGTCACATCATCCATACGGAGCCTCTGACCACATTTTCCAATCAAGCATAAATTGTCTCTGACCCCACCAACCACACTGAATGTGTTGTGTTCTGCCTACAGGTCCCAGGCTCTTCCTGTCCTGCCCTATGGATGCAGATGGCTCGCGGGTGTGGTTCACTGACCTATGGAACTACTCCCTGGTGCCCTACCTGCTGGAAGCCGTTAGAGAAGGGCTCCAGGTGGGTACAGACGGAGGTCAAAGGACACAAAGTAGAGGTGTACTGGTGTAGGGTGAAGTAGCCCCTATCATCAGCGTCTATGATTTCTCCCTTCGCTTAACTCATTGCTTGTTTTGTGGCCACCATTACAGCTGTACGGCAAGAGGGCGACGTGGGAGGACCCGTCCAAGTGGGTGAAGGACACCTACCCCTGGAGATCTGCCTCCTTGCAGCACGACAGCCAGGCCCTGCTCCAGTTACGGCCAGAGGACGTGGGCTACGACGGCTACTGCTCCACCAAAGAGGGCACCTCCTCCAAACAAGTGTCCCAGAGCGACACGGAAGGAGACCCACTGGTAAGGAGAAATTAAAACAAAGCCCTGAAGGTCCAGTATGGGGATTTCATTTCATTTCTGAAGAAGGCCACTGAAGGCCGAAACGTCAATCTTTTAAACGTTGAAAGTCTAATAAAACTACGTATTTTTAATGGTGAGTGAGCGTTGCACCTTTTCCTGTCCAATTATTTAATTTAGTTCAATCATGTTTCAGAGCACCGTGTCAGCGTTAAACATTATTGAAGATAATTAAGTTGCTGCACTGAACCCTTCTTTCAGCATTTCAGTATTACAGTCCTAGGACTGAGCACCACTTCTTGGTTAGAGAGCCAGCACACCACAATTATTAATATATACATCTTGGTTAGAGAGCCAGCACACCACAATGATGAAGATATACATCTTGGTTAGAGAGCCAGCACACCACAATGATGAAGATATAAATATTGGTTAGAGAGCCAGCACACCACAATTATGAAGTTCTAACTCTAATAGCTGATGTTAGTGACCGTTTTATTTGTACAGTGATAAAAAGTATTTGATCCCCTGCTGATTTTGTACGTGTCACGCCCTGGCTCTGGGGACTCTGAAATGTTGAGCCAGGGTGTGGATTTTCTATGTTTAGTTTTCACTGTGTAGCTTCTATGTTGTGTTTTCTATGTTTTGGTTTCTGTTCTAGATCGTATAGATCTATGTTGGGCAGGGTGGTTCCCAATCAGAGGCAGCTGTTGCTCGTTGTCTCTGATTGGGAGCCATACTTAGGTAGGCTGTTTTCATCTGTTCTTTGTGGGATCTTGTTCCGTGTTGGTTTGTGTTAGACCTAGGACGTCACGTTATCGTTTGTTGTTTTGTTGGTCGTGTGTACACTTAATAAAATAAGTATGTTTGCATTACACGCTGCACCTTGGTCCTCCTCCTTCGACGATCGTGACAGAAGATCCCACCACACCAGGACCAAGCAGCGTGTCCAGGAGCACACGCAGGAGGTAACATTAGTAGATGTCCTCCTCGGTTGGGGGCAGATTACGGAGGAGGAGGCCGTCCGTTGCCGGAGGGCTATGAAGGGGGAGACCCAGGCAGGAGAGGAGAAGCGGCGCCAACCGGGCCGTGGTCGGACAGGCGAGAGGCACCCCCAAAAAATGTTTAGGGGGGGGCACATGGCATGGACGACGGGGCAGCAGGAGGCAGCTACAGGGCGTATTGGGGGATTAGGAGAGGAGGCCACCGGGTTTGGGGGGCCGGAGGGGAGGCTGGCGGAGCCTAGAGGTAGAGCAGAGCCAACTCCCCGTACTCAGGCATGGCAGCGTGAGACTGGGCAGGTTCCGAGGGATGCGGAGCTGCGTACTGTGCCGCGAGTGGTCCGGCACAGTCCGGTACGTCCTGTGCGAGCACCCCGCACGTGTCGTGCGAAGGTGGGCAGGCAGCCAGGACGGAGTGTGCCGGCTCAGCGCTCGTGGCCTCCAGTGCCCCTCCTCGGTCCCGGATATCCTGCGCCAGTGTCACGTGCTGTTATGCCAGTACGTGTACACAGCCCTGTACGTCCTGTGCTGATGCCTCACACAGAGTGTGTGAAGGTAGGCATTCAGCCAGGACGGGTTGTGTCAGCTCTTCGCTCCAGGCCTCCAATCCGTCTCCACAGCCCGGTCCGGCCCGTTCCTGCTCCCCGCACTAAGTTAATGGTGCGCATCGTCAGCCCGGCCCGGCCTGTTCCTGCTCCCCGCACCAAGCCAATGGTGTGCATCGTCAGCCCGGCCCGGCCCGTTCCTGCTCCCCGCACCAAGCTAATGGTGCGCGTCGTCAGCCCGGCCCGGCCTGTTCCTGCCACTCGCACCAAGCCTACGGTGCACGTCGCCAGCCCGGTCCGGCCTGTTCCTGCTCCCCGCACCAAGCCAATGGTGCGCGTCGTCAGCCCGGTCCGGCCCGTACCTGCTCCAGCCACCAAGCCAGGGGTGCGCGTCATCAGCCCAGTCCGGCCCGTTCCTGCTCCCTGCACCAAGCCAGGGGTGCGTATCGTCAGTCCGGTCCGGCCCGTTCCTGCTCCACGCACCAAGCCAGGGGTGCGCGTCGTCAGCCCAGTCCGGCCCGTTCCTGCTCCCCGCACCAAGCCAGGGGTGCGCATCGTCAGTCCGGTCCGGCCCGTTCCTGCTCCACGCACCAAGCCAGGGGTGCGAGTCGTCAGCCCGGTCTGGCCCGTTCCTGCTCCACGCACCAAGCCAGGGGTGCGAGTCGTCAGCCCGGTCCGGCCCGTTCCTGCTCCACGCACCAAGCCAGGGGTGCCCGTCGTCAGTCCGGCACAACCCGTGCCTGGGTCACCGGTGCCGGGTCAGGTACTGGTCAGCTGCTCCACATCGGAGCCTAAGCAATCCGCTCCACCGATGTCCAGTCCAGCTCCAGCCAGCGGGGCCAGACCGGACCAGGGGCGCTACGGGGGGATTGTTGGAGGGTGGTGGTCAAGCCCGGAGCCGGAACCGCCTCCGAGGAGGAATGCCCACCCAGCCCTCCCCTGTTCGGTTATGTTTAGGCGCGGTCGCAGTCCGCGCCTTTGGGGGGGGGGGGTACTGTCACGCCCTGGCTCTGGGGACTCTGAAATGTTGAGCCAGGGTGTGGATTTTCTATGTTTAGTTTTCACTGTGTAGCTTCTATGTTGTGTTTTCTATGTTTTGGTTTCTGTTCTAGATCGTATAGATCTATGTTGGGCAGGGTGGTTCCCAATCAGAGGCAGCTGTTGCTCGTTGTCTCTGATTGGGAGCCATACTTAGGTAGGCTGTTTTCATCTGTTCTTTGTGGGATCTTGTTCCGTGTTGGTTTGTGTTAGACCTAGGACGTCACGTTATCGTTTGTTGTTTTGTTGGTCGTGTGTACACTTAATAAAATAAGTATGTTTGCATTACACGCTGCACCTTGGTCCTCCTCCTTCGACGATCGTGACAGTACGTTTGCCCACTGACAAAGAAATGATCAGTCTATAATTTTAATGGTAGGTTTATTTGAACAGTGAGAGACAGAATAACAACAACAAAATCCAGAAGAACGCATGTCAAAAATGTTATAAATTGATTTGCATTTTAATGAGGGAAATAAGTATTTGACCCCCTCTCAATCAGAAAGATTTCTGGCTCCCAGGTGTCTTTTATACAGGTAACGAGCTGAGATTACGAGTACACTCTTAAAGGGAGTGCTCCTAATCTCAGTTTGCTACCTGTATAAAAGACACCTATCCACAGAAGCAATCAATCAGATTCCAAACTCTCCACCATGGCCAAGACCAAAGAGCTCTCCAAGGATGTCAGGGACAAGATTGTAGACCTACACAAGGCTGGAATGGACTACAAGACCATCGCCAAGCAGCTTGGTGAGAAGGTGACAACAGTTGGTGCGATTATTCGCAAATGGAAGAAACACAAAATAACTGTCAATCTCCCTCGGCCTGGGGCTCCATGCAAGATCTCACCTCGTGGAGTTGCAATGATCATGAGAACGGTGAGGAATCAGCCCAGAACTACACGGGAGGATCTTGTCAATGATCTCAAGGCAGCTGGGACCATAGTCACCAAGAAAACAATTGGTAACACACTACGCCGTGAAGGACTGAAATCCTGCAGCGCCCGCAAGGTCCCCCTGCTCAAGAAAGCACATATACATGCCCGTCTGAAGTTTGCCAATGAACATCTGAATGATTCAAAGGAGAACTGGGTGTGGTCAGATGAGACCAAAATTGAGCTCTTTGGCATCAACTCAACTCGCCGTGTTTGGAGGAGGAGGAATGCTGCCTATGACCCCAAGAACACCATCCCCACCGTCAAACATGGAGGTGGAAACATTATGCTTTGGGGGTGTTTTTCTGCTAAGGGGACAGGACAACTTCACCGCATCAAAGGGACGACGGACGGGGCCATGTACCGTCAAATCTTGGGTGAGAACCTCCTTCCCTCAGCCAGGGCATTGAAAATGGGTCGTGGATGGGTATTCCAGCATGACAATGACCCAAAACACACGGCCAAGGCAACAAAGGAGTGGCTCAAGAAGAAGCACATTAAGGTCCTGGAGTGGCCTAGCCAGTCTCCAGACCTTAATCCCATAGAAAATCTGTGGAGGGAGCTGAAGGTTCGAGTTGCCAAACGTCAGCCTCGAAACCTTAATGACTTGGAGAAGATCTGCAAAGAGGAGTGGGACAAAATCCCTCCTGAGATGTGTGCAAACCTGGTGGCCAACTACAAGAAACGTCTGACCTCTGTGATTGCCAACAAGGGTTTTGCCACCAAGTACTAAGTCATGTTTAGCAGAGGGGTCAAATACTTATTTCCCTCATTAAAATGCAAATCAATTTATAACATTTTTGACATGCGTTTTCCTGGATTTTTTTGATGTTATTCTGTCTCTCACTGTTCAAATAAACCTACCATTAAAATTATAGACTGATCATTTCTTTGTCAGTGGGCAAACGTACAAAATCAGCAGGGGATCAAATACTTTTTTCCCTCACTGTATGTAAAATAGAGTGATATGAAAAGAGAGTTTGACGTTTACTGAAGCTAAGTGAAGTAATAAAAGAAGACCATGTTGGTGGACATATGGTTGTATCTTTTTTTATGGGGAAGACTACGTGTAAAAAAAATATATATATAAATAAATAATAATAAAATACAATAAAAAGAGACATCATTGAGTAAAGGTGGAAGCTAGTTTCCAAGGATACCAACGACAAACGTGATTATCTTTTGAAAGAAGAAAAGAGAAAGGGGGATTTAAACACACAACCCATTTAGCTCTGAAGGGGGGGTTTACACACACAACCCATTTAGCTCTGAAGGGGGATTTAAACACACAACCCATTTAGCTCTGAAGGGGGGGTTTACACACACAACCCATTTAGCTCTGAAGGGGGATTTAAACACACAACCCATTTAGCTCTGAAGGGGGGATATAAATACACAACCCATTTAGCTCTGAAAGGGGGATTTAAACACACAACCCATTTAGCTCTGAAGGGGGGATTTAAACACACAACCCATTTAGCTCTGAAGGGGGGATATAAATACACAACCAATTTAGCTCTGAAAGGGGGATTTAAACACACAACCCATTTAGCTCTGAAGGGGGGATTTAAACACACAACCCATTTAGCTCTGAAAGGGGGATTTAAACACACAACCCATTTAGCTCTTAAAGGGGGATTAAAAACACAACCCATTTAGCTCTGAAAGGCGGATTTAAACACACAACCCATTTAGCTCTGAAAGGGGATTTATACACATAACCCATTTAGCTCTGAAAGGGGGATTTAAACACAAAACCCATTTAGCTCTGACATTTCAGCAGCTCGTTATTCGGATGACTACACTTTAATTCCACTTTGTGCATGATAACCGGTGCGGTGGGCGATTCCTGGGGAGTTGAATAGGAATGGGCTTTCTCTGCTGGCCACTTAATCCTCAACACATTACTGTGTAATCATCAGAGTAGGCCTGCACGGAGCTGCCCAGCCCTGGCCGCTCGCCACTTTATAGGCCCACTAGGACCATTACAGGGAACATGAAGACCTCTGTGCCAGGTGCTTTCCATATATGGTAGGAATGGGTCACTCCGTTCCTCAGGGGCTCAAGGATCGGCTGGTTTTTCATCTTTCTTTTAAAACCACGTCTGATGTAGACCTGAGGAACCAGGTGTGTGCACTTGTGTGCAATTAAGCGTGAGGCAAGTGGGAAAATCAGCTGACACTCGGGGCCCCTGGTGTCTATCCCTGAGAAAGGGCCACTGCAATGTCACCTTAATGATAAACTTCCCACCAATGATAATACCCTGTCTAATACCTCATAGTTCTGATAGTGGACTTTGAATAGCTATGTGGTGTTGTCTCTCTTTTTGTTAACCAGTCTTTTTATTGGTTGTGTGTTTTCTGTGTTTTCCAGATGAACATGCTAATGAGGCTGCAGGAGGCGGCCAACTACTCCAGCGCGCAGAGCTGTGACAGCGACAGCGCCAGTCACCATGACGACCAGCTGGACTCATCGCTGGAGTCGACGCTCTAGACAAGAGCTCGGAGAGGAGACTTCAGATGGAGTGACGGAGCGGAGCACTTTTCAGCATGGCGTCAGTGTGGCGTCAGCGAGACGTGGCGGCTCGAACGCTTCCAGGCACCCCACACATAAGACAGAGAGATGTGTGTAGTCAGGAGATGTCTGTTAGGGGGGGTCGGGGGGAGTAAACCCTCTTTGACAAAATGGAGGAGAGTTTTGGTGGTTGAGACACATTTCTCAATTTCTCCACTGGATGTGGCATCCCAAGATGCAGGCTGCACGTACACAGTGAGAGACAATTATGTCTGTAGTTCTACACCATAAAACTGGAATTGACATTGTAGTTTTATTTATGTTGATTCACGGTTGTTGTATTAATTACAGATGTTTACAAGGGCAAATTCTGGTTTTGTTTACTATGGTGCTGAACAAAAAAGGCACACATCCCTCCCGTCAAACTCTGACCTCAGACGAGCCACATGGTGCTGGTCCCGTGCCTAAACCTGTCCCTGGTTTACAGGCAACGCCAAGACCCTTGCTACCCCACTCGCCAACAAGCACAAAAAGAGCATTGTGTGTCGTCCAACCAACTGCTACTGTGAAAGAATGGGCGAGTGCCAATGTTACCGTTTGATTTACTGCCAAGTGCACCGTGACGCGTCCGTCCACATCCGCAAACAGAGTCCTTTTGGGCTTTTCACACTAGCAGACCAGTTGTTCACCCCTTTCCTTAAAAGATCGACAGCACTATACCAACAGATGGGTGCTAAAGTGAGTGATGGCTCCTTCAATCCAAGGGCCAGGTCAAGAACAAGCCTGATATTGGTGCTTTCTAACTGCAAAGCTGTGTGATACAGGTGGTGTATTACTTCAGCCTCCCTGCTGACCATCCTGAGTGGATAGGGAATTGACAGGAACACACACTTCCTGACACACAACCATTCAAATGAAGTTGTCCCATATCGTCTCAGTGGGTGCTTTAATCTTAGTATAGTAAAGGAGAGTTTTATAACTACTTTTAGGCCAACATTTCTCACAAATCCTGTCAAAAAGTATGTTGCCCAAAACCCTACACTTTTGTTTCTGACAGTAATATTGTACAAGCATAATGGCTGTATTTGCAAGTAGAACTGACCAATTGTATAAAAGTTCAAAGGGGTGGGCATTTATTTGTTGTTGCTTTTACCCAGTTGAGCTGGGTTCACTTGAACTGTCATGAGCACAACCCGACCCTTTTGATTTTATAGCCTAAGGAGCATGTTTTAAGCTTTCTAGGGGGGAACATTTGAAGGAGACTTTTACTTTTACATAACAGCGTGTGTTAGGGACAGAAGCCATTTTGGATTTTGATTGTCCTTCCTCCATTAATGAGTGGGTTGGTTTTGCACAGTTTGAGTGGGGGTGGGGGTGTAAATAATAAAGTATTGCACAGTGAATCAGAGATGCATTCTTCCCTGTTGATGTTATATTACGCTTCACTCGCTGAGAATTATTGTACGTTGCAAAAAAAATACAAAATAGAAATGCAAAAACCAACAAGCTGTCAGAAACAGGTGTATGTCTTGTGATGATTGGTTGTCTTGGCTATGCAGGAGGCATACGATGTACAGATATTTTTTTTTAAATAACGCTGTATATTAATGTTCACAAAATCACTGATTTGGGGAGCAGAAAATTCAATTTATCAAGAAAAGCAAATCTGGTCATTGTCACAGCTTTCCCTTTTGTGTATTCTCTGGAACTAGTATTTGGTTACTCATCCCCCTAGTCAACAGGCGAAAATTCACTTCACAAAGCATTACACTGTGACATTTATTCACTTCCCAAAGCATTACACTGTAACATTTCTGAAATTACTTTAATTCAGTCTTGTATTCACCGGTTTTAGTAGAATCCAATTTTTTTGTCATCCCATTCCGAGGTACTGTTTGCCTGCTGTTGTGCTATTTACAATTCCAAATAACAGGTGCTACTGGTCAACTAAATCTATCAGATTCCATTTTCTGCAGACAATGTTGTCACAACCTCAGGACAAGCAACAAAGCCTCTTGTCATCACATGGCTGTGACAAATTTATTTTCTGTTTTGTTTTTGCATGCATCATTGTTGGTCTACGCCATCAGCCTGCATCTAAACTTAGAGCCTGACACACCCACATACACACACACACACACACACACACTCACACCCATCCATACCCTCACACCCACCCACACACAAACACACATTCACTCACACACACCCACCCACACCCTCTCACCCACCCACACACACCCACACACACTCATGCACGAACGCACACACTCAAGCACACATGCATGCAACACAGCAGAAATCTATTCATGATCACGTGCACTCCTCCCTGCTCCCCTAGTGCACCATCAGTTGCCAAGTTAACCAAAAGTTTTCACAACCCAAACAGTGTACCGTTATGTCATTGTGACACCAATCAATTGCAATTACATCTTAGTTGAAAACATTGCATTTACTACTTTGAGAGAAGAGTTTCTTTTTTGGTGAAACATTTGTCCTTAAATGTTTTATATTTTGTACATTTGTATGTAACATATCGTGTAAATAGACAGAGACAGCGATTTAAATCATCTGGAGGGATTTTGTAGTCTTTGTAAAGCCCTAATAAATGGTATTTGGTGTCACATGAGCAAACAGAATGTGTGTCCTGTTCTCTCTCATGTCTCTGTTCATTTTTTATCCACTTTCCCATATCTTCCTTCTAGTACAGACTTGGAGATATCCAAAACAACTGTTGAGACACACAACTGGTCTTGACTTTATTTACAGTCGCTCTTCGCTAGTGTGCAGATTTCTTTTAACATACATTTGTTTGGTAATTAACTTTGTTTCTGCCAGAACCAGGACCTGCATCTAGACATACAGCCAAATATTTTTTATAACTAAACCAAGATAGACCACAGCATGTTGTTTCCAATGGGAACAAATGAGTCATAGTGGGCAGGACAAGCAAGGACGTGGGCAGAGCCAAGCACGAGCTAGCGAGATCCTATTGGAGCGTTCTAGCATCATCTGCATATTTCCATTAGGGAACGCCTCCTCTGTGAAGTGCGCGTTGTGCTCATCCTTCTATTTAGACATACAGCTGTGCACAGGGTTTCCACATAGTTCTACAGTTATCAGGTACAGTGGCTTGCAAAAGTATTCACCCACCTTGGCATTTTTCCTATTTTGTTGCCTTATAACCTGGAATTAGAATTGATTTTCTGGGGGGCTTGTATCATTTGATTTACACAACATGCCTACAATTTTTGAATGAAAATATTTTCTTGAAACAAACAAGAAATAGTTCAAAAAACTTCGATTCACAAGTTACAGTTATCAGGTAACATTACCAGACGTCTTACCAGTGTACTTACAACCGTGAGTGACATACTTCTTTTATGCGTTTTTCATACTGCCCCCGGGAAAAACCTCAACCCTTGCTGAAACCCAGCTCTACCACACTGAAACACTGCGGCCAATTCACGTACCTAACCCTGCAAATTGGCCGATGGGTCACGTGTCGCGGACCTATTAGCGCAGAGCCTGGATTCGAACCAGTACGTCTGGCCACTCCAGGGCTTGACGCAAGGTTGCATAGACACTGCCTACCTGGAGAAATCCAAAGTTAGTCCCATGTCAGTGAGCACTGATGTTGAAAGCCTGTATACCATAGAGCCTGACTCAATCTCTGACCATACGGAGTGGTCCTCAACCAATTACTGTAAGTCGTAACCTTCCCTTATACCCAAACCCTTACCTCACTGAAACTATGCCTTAATTTAACAGTAACCTCTCCCTCATAAAGAATCATGTTGGGGATTGAAGGTGCTGGCTGGGTAACACTATTGTGCCCAATGGATTATGCCACTGTAACCGATTACTGTGCCACTCCAGGGCTTTGCCATCAAGTGTTTGTCTATCATTCAGCTTTGACTTACCTATCCATAAAAATGCACATTTGTGCCCATGTCAGTGAGCTACTGGATGAGTAATGGCCAACCCTGTGAGCCACTCCAGAGCTCTGACTGCAAGTGCTCTTGATCAAATACATATTTGAAATACTAAAAAGCTCACTGGTAAAGGACGGTACGTTCACATTCTGTTACTAGTCCCACAAAAGCTGGCCTCAATGTTCGGTAAGAAAGATGTCAGCAACTCCAGTTCCAGTTATGATGTTAAATGGTCAATTGTTATTAACAGGGGTTCCTTCAAATGTGTGGTTTCTGAAAGTACAGAATGAAGAGGAATGATTAGTAATTAGAATACAATATCAGGTTATCAGTTATAATAAATAATACAATATAACAATACATTAATATTATGAACTGCTATAATAGTAAGCGCATACATTGACAATGGGATATTCTAAATTGTATCCTCCTCGCGTCCTCTCTCTCTCCTTGCCGCCTCCTCAAAACCCATTGGATGAGAAAGCCCCTCTGACCCTTTCTTCCAATGGGTTTTGAGAAAGGGGTGATGAGAGAGGACATGAGGAGAGTGCAATTGAGAAAAGGCCCTTGAGTTATAAATGCACCAGTAGTTACATAGGGAAACCGGACAATTAATTGGAACCTGATTGGGGAAGAAGGGGAGTGTGAGAGAGGGTTGGAGGTCGGAAATGGCGGCGAGTAGTACGGACGAAATTGAGGAAATTTAGATAAAGTTGGTGAAGCAACAGCTGTGCTGGAAAGAGACCAATATGGGTGTCTCTTCTGATGGTATGGAGCGGGAGGATGAGGGTCAAGGACCGGAATGGTCGGTAGTGGAAAGACATAGGAAGAAGAGAGATCATGATACAGAAAGCAGTGGAACGTGCCTAGTAAAGAAAGCATAAAGAGGGTCAAAGTAGGAAGCAAGAGTAGTGATGTGTTGGAGTGGAAAGTGGTAATGGTGTTTGATGAGATCACAGGGCCTCACTTACACCCTATCCGACTAACTAATGCCGTAGAGAAAGAGGTAGGTGAAGTGAAATTAGCTTGGTTCATTGGAAATGGTAGATTGTTAATATTGTGTTGTAGCTAGGCTCAGCAAGAGAAGATACTGAAAATGGAAAAGCTTAATGGGAAGAAGATTAAAAGCCATGTCCGTATTGCTTATGCTAGATTGAGGGGAGTCATCACTGGGGTCCCAATATCTATGTCCACTGATGATATTAAAGAAAATGTGAATTGTGGCTGAAAGGTTGATCAGTAGGAAAGAGGGTCAAAGAAGTGAAAGCTTATCAGTGATGTCTTGCCGGGAAAAGTACAGATAGGATTCCTTAGTTTCAATGTTAGAGAATTTGTCCCATATGCACGGTGGTGTTTTAAATGCCAAAGAAGGGGACATGTAGCTGCTTAGTGTAAAGGAAAGAAAAGATGTGGCAAGTGTGGAGGAGCACATGATTACGGGGAATGTGGAAGCAATGTGAAGGTTAAGTGCTGTAATTGTGGGGGAGAACACAGTGCAGCATTTGGTGGATGCCAGGTTCAGAGAGAGGCTAGAGAGGCTCAGAAATATAGGATCAGTCATGATGTATCATATGCAGAGGCCATAAAACAGATTGGTAGAACTACAGTGTGGACTGATGGAGCTTACATGGGTGTACCTGTAGTATGTGTACCAACTGTCGGGGCTGGTGCTTCTGATGGTGTCAAAGGACACTTTGATAATGAATAAAGTTGACTTTCACAGCTTTTATTGGTAAGGTTATCAATACGACTCGGGTTGTGGAAAGCAGAAATGCCAGGTTGAAGGTTATTGTGGAGACAACAAAATAGATATTGGGGGTAACAGATGTTACTGTTGAAATGGTTGTTGACATGCTGAACAATCCTAAGGGTGGAGTGATTCAGCATGATATAGGTCAAGTTTATTGGAGTTGGGGAGGGGTTTTTGGGGGAGGGGGGAGGGTGTGGTAGAAGTTAGGGATTTATTTCGTTTTGAATTTTATTTTCATGGTAATACAGAATTGGACAGATCATGATTGATTGTACATTCCAGCACAGTAGTTGGCAGCATGCACTTTAAACGTTTGTTTGCGGACTGCCATGATATCATAGAAGAAGAAGACACAGAAGAAGAAGAAGAAGAAGAAGAAGAAGAAGAAGAAGAAGAAGAAGAAGAAGAAGAAGAAGAAGAAGAAGAAGAAGAAGAAGAAGAAGAAAAACGAAACCAGACTATAAGTGCCACTAGGTGGAGGCAAAGAGTAAGAAGAGAAATTGGCCCAGGGGCGATCGAGGAGGTAGAAACGGAGGAGGGAGGAATCCGGGAGGAAGAGAGCGCGCTTGTTTGAAATGGAAAAGCGTTGCGGTAGATGTTGATAAAGAAGAACATCAAGACAAAGCAGCTGCTTTACAAGTGGGATGCACTGTTGAGCGCTACATCCCGAGGGTTCGTGCTGATTGTACAGAGATTGTGACAGCCGGTTAAATGGAGTCCCTTGACATGGCAAGAACAAGATTTATGTCAGGAGAAGTGCAGTATTATCATAAGGAGAGGAATGGAGGGAAAAAGAGAGGCAGAGTAGGTCTAAGAGAGAGAGGGAGGAAGAGGGTGAGTTTGAGTCGGTTAAAAATGGCGGGGAAAAGGGATATGGTTTGTTAAAGAAGAATGATCGAAAGCAGAGTGAGTTGAAGACAGGAGGAGAAATGGAAGTGAATGAGGGCGAAGTATTGGAGATGGTAGGTGTTGTGAAGTTCTCAGAGCCCGAGGCTTGCACCGAGGGTCAGGATAAAGATGAGTCTGTGACAGTAGGAGTGAAGTTTTTGGAAAAAGTGGACCCTTGCCTTTTGGCTGATCCATTTGTGGTTTCAGGGTGGGTGAAAACAAAGTTGGGTGCTGTGGAATCGGTGAGGGTAACCAGAAGTGGTCTTGTGATAATTGTTTGTGTTTCTGCTGGTCAGAGGGAGCAGGTGCTCCGTGTTAAACGAATGGGGGACAAGAGATGTGAATTGTTTTGCTCTCAAGAAAAGGGTGCCATTGAAAGGAGTGATTACTGGGATAGTGGTAATGTGAAAGCTGACCAACTGAAGGGGAATATTCCCGGTGTTTGTGATGCTCGTTGTTTGGTGTGACACAGACAGGGTGGCGTGAGTGGAGAAACAGAAGAGTCATTGTCTGTTCTTTTGAGTTTTGATGTTGAGTCTTTGCCCGACAAAGTGATGTTAGGATATATAAGTTATCCTGTACAAGCTTTTGTGCCGAATACATTACGTTGTTACTGGTGTCAAGCTTATAGGCATGTGGCAGCAGTGTGTAGGAGGGAGGTTCCTAGGTGTGCAGAAGGGCATGAGACAAAGGAATGTGTAGCATTGGGGAAAGTAGTGGTATGTGTTAATTGTAGGGGTGCCCATGGGGCTGGGGATCAGAAATGTCCAGTGCCAGAGAGGCAGGTTGAGGTTTCCAGGGTTAGAGTAGTGCAGAAGTTGTCATATGCTGAGGCAGTGAAGAAAGTAGAGGAAGATGGGTCAAGGGGGAGGGATCCTGAGAGGAGTGGTGTGAGTAGTAGATATGTACCAGTACATAGGGATAAACCAACAAGTGATATACGTTTCAGTAAGATTGGATTTTTGGCATTTATATCAATGGTTATCAACTGTATGGCAGGGATGGAACGTAAGTTGCAGAAAAAAGAGGTTGTGGTGGCAGCTGCAGAGAGGTATTTGGGTGTGCGAGACTTGACATCAGAAGAGTTACAGGGTGTGTTAAGTGGTGGTGTCCCATCCTTTCAGGCTGTTGGCCTGAAGTAGGACTAAAGATTTAAATAGTGGAGTATGGTATTTTTAGTTTGTCGTATTTTTACATTTTATTTTTCCGTTTTTTGTGAGTGTAGTGTTAGATGGTAGGGTATTTGTTGTATTTTTTAAATATTTTTATTTTATTCTGTTTTTTTTTTTATCTAGCGAAGTATAAGGGAGTTATACTCCAGACTAGTAGGCGGCGGTAATGTAACATTTATTTGCTGCCAACCGCAGTTAAACCTCATCGAAGAAGAAGAACAACGAGTAAGAAATAAATAGGGCTACGATATCACTGGGGCGGTGCTCTTCTGTCCACACAGCTTCATGAAAATGGGTTCGGAAAGGAGTTTGGACGCGAAAGGAGCTTTGGTATCTTTACCAAAACACTCATACTGGTTTGACTTTTGGCTGTTTGTGGTGTTTGACATCGCATTTTTCCTCGTTATGTATTTCATAGTTCCGTAGCTAAAATGGTAAGTTTGAGTACTACTGCAAAACCCCAGAAAGCTAGCTACAAATGAGACTTGCTAGCTATGGTGGCTAAGGAAGTGAGAGTGCCAGTAAAGTTTGTTGTGTTTGGGTAAACCCTGTGTATTTTTTAATTTAGCTAATTTATCATATTAAAAAATATATACAAATAGCACAATGTATATAGTTGCCCACTTGAACATGTGTATTCAAGAGAATTAATCATTTGTTGAATTGTGTCCCTTGCAGGAGTGACTTGGAATTCTAAACCTGAAGTGCTGCCCCCTTTAACCATGACCCCCTGTTGGCTGAAATGATCGATATTTAAAAAGGAGTGTTTACACCATTTGAGGTATATGGTTTACACGCCTCGACCAGATTGAAAAGCAGATTGGTGATTCAAAGTTGTTAATTATATTGGTTGTCTTCCTTTGTTAGGCCTATGTTTTGTTTTTAACTGCCCACATTTTGTTGATATATTACCAGAGCCATATGATGGCGCAGTGTATTAGTTTAAATAAACTTTAAATTGAATAGTTTAACATTCAATAAAATAATGACTTTGGACCAATGTAGGTATTATATGGAATATTTACCAGTATTTGTCAGTATGTCCAGAAAAGTTCAAAATTGTGAGACCATAACATTTTAATATACCTGTTGTTGAAATCATGAATCAAGACAATGATTTGTGGTAGTCTGACTATTTCAAATGTGAAACTCAACTTCAAGACAACACCTCACTCTGGATAAAAGTGACTGCTAAATGACTAAATGATGTCACATGAACTGCAGGTTAACATGATGTAGCTAGTGGAACAAAGTGTACTCTCTCTAAAACGTGTATGTCTGGTTGGACATGAGACAAATGAAAAAAGGTGACTTTATTGAGCCACCTGAACACGATGATTGGAACAAGATTACAGCAATAAGGGAAAAGGGATGAAGAGATGTATTCCCGGCCTCTTGAACAAAGATCCTACTGAAACTGTATTGGCATAAACCGTAGATATGTAATTCCATGTTGTCTGGAATTAAAGTGATGTACACTGAGGTAATAAACTTCTGTAACTACAAATAAATGTGTTTATTTGTCACATTCTGAGATGTGCATAGAGTAATCATATTTAATCATAATTTGGACACCGTATGTTTTATACAAATATTTGTTTTTGTATCTGTGTTTTTTTGTGGTAGCATAGTAAATAAAGACAGCTAGATGTCGTCTGGTCGGTAGGTGGCAGTATAAGCGCCTTTTTCCCATTGATGGACCAGAGAGGAAGAAAACTTTCCCGGAAGATAACAAAAAAGAAGAGGCAGGACGCTAGCCTGCCAGATAGTGGATAAGCGAAACTGTTATACCCCTACAAGTCTTTCTGGGTTTAATATAAACCAAACTAGTTAATCATTTAAGTTATTATATAAGTCACAACTCAATTATTCATAATGATGGAAATCTGTGTCACGACAAAACCATTGGAGAATGCAGGTTCGTTTAAAATAAGTAGCTAGCTAACGTTGGCTAGCTAGCAACTTGTGGCTAGTTGTAGCAAAGAGACAGGCTGTCTAGGGTGGACTAGTCATTGGGGTAGACTAGCTACTAGATAGATTAGGGTGGACTAGTCATTGGGGTAGACTAGCTACTAGATAGATTAGGGTGGACTAGTCATTGGGGTAGACTAGCTACTAGATAGATTAGGGTGGACTAGTCATTGGGGTAGACTAGCTACTAGATAGATTAGGGGTGGACTAGTCATTGGGGTAGACTAGCTACTAGATAGATTAGGGTGGACTAGTCATTGGGGTAGACTAGCTACTAGATAGATTAGGGTGGACTAGTCATTGGGGTAGACTAGCTACTAGATAGATCGAATAGATAAGATAGTTGGGCAACTGATTCACATTTTAGCTACATCTTTATTTTCTAGCGTCTACTACCACAAATTATTGTCCCAATATGGTCTCATATCCCCTTCACCAAACTCACTGACCCATTTTTGCCCGTAGATATCTTCCTCCCGTTATCCTCTTTGCGACTGTTGATACCACCTCTGAGGCTGCTCTCTGCGGCCATGTGGCAAGTAGCGCAACGAAGGGATGTCATGGATTATGAGAAGCTAGAGGAGTTTGTCGGCCTTGTGACAGCGACAGTTCCAGACCTGCTGAATGAGAAACAGAGGGCCAAGCTCCTTCTGCGGCTGCGAACAAGGGTTAGTAGCGAATACATGTAAGGATAGATGTTAAGGATGTTGTTTATGTAAACTGGAACCCCTAACAGCAGTAGTTTTGACAGTGTGTTTAGAGCTATCTCTGATTCTTTATCTTGGGGTTTATGTAGCTGCTGATCGGTTATGGTTAGGTCCTGTACATTTTCCTGATTGCATGTGGGCTGTCCATGGTTCTGATCGGTTGGGTTCTGTCTATTGTACCGATTGCACAGATTCTGTCGGTGGTCGTCATTGGTTGGGTGCTGTTGTCTACTTTCTTGAATACTGTTATTCCTTTCAGGTGATACTAGAGTTGTGTTCCGCTGATCATACAGCCAATATCCAGATCATCCAACCCCACCTGGACAGAATTCGACCCCCTGGACACACAGGGGCAAGTGATGATACTCCGTGGAGGACAACTGTTCAATTTGGCCAGGGGCCATATGTATCAAGCTTCTCAGAGTAGGAGTGCTGATCTAGGATCAGGTCCCCTCTGCCCTTGTAATCTTATTCATTGTGATATAAAAGGCTAAACTGATCATAAATCAGCACTCTTACTTTGAGATGCTTGATGCATATGGCCCCTGGGCTTCATGGAACCGCCATTGCCATTCTTATCATTTGAAATGTGCTTATTTAAATCATTTATTTGCGTAGGATAGGATACAATTAAAACATTGACATATTGAATAAACAACCGTCAGATCCTTTGCACCAATTTCCAGTGCTTGCTCCTATATGTCAAGGCCATCAAGGACTGCAGTGTTGCTCCCTCTTACTTTCAGGCCTGGGTGACGGTGGTTTACTCTTCCCTTATCACTGAGTGTGACTTCTATTTCACAGAGTGGAGATGCTGAGGTGGATGCAGAGGAGGCCATCTTCCTGGAGCTCATCCAGACTCTGCTGAAAGATCCAGCGGAGAGAGAACACTTCTTCCAGGTCAGTCTGCCTCCATCATATGTTAATGTCCGTCTTCTCTCACTAGCTTCCTGGTTCTGTTTAGTTACCAAAGACAATATATACAGTCCTTGGAATTATATTCCTCCGGAGGGAAGTTTCCCCTAGGTACAGATCTAGGATCAGCTTCCTCGTCCCCAATCTGACCTTGACCATCAGTGGGGTAAATGCAGAACTGACCCAAGATTAGTATCTAGGGACAGATTCACCCTACACCAATTATATCCCCATCTATCTTGATTGCAGGAGGTGTTTCCAACGGAGTACGGCGCCAACTATGACACAGATATGCAGCTACTTGTGTGGGAATTCCTCTCTAAACTGGAGAAGATACTGCCAGTACCAGACCTTGGACAGGTACCACAAAGTAACACTTCACCAAGTCACCTTCAGCTGCGTTCAAGTCACCTTCTGTTTTTGTATTGTGTATTGGGAAAATAGTGCCGTGCTCACCAGGATGCCAACATTAGACTGGTTAAGTTATAGGAGGGTAATATATCTTCTGTATCTTATTAGGAGAAGATATCCAAGATGTACTGTCACTTTCTGCACATAACCTCTGCCTTATAGCCACCCTGGGGCCACACTGTTAGCCCGAGGTGCTAGCCAGTGGCTTCTCTGGGTTTCTTGAAATGGGCCTAGCATTGTGTAACTTCATCAAAATATAGTATGATGTGGGGCATTTTTATAAAATAGTTCAATTTAGGGAGAAAGAAACATGTAAACTTTCCAGCATATTGTCACTCACTTGTTTGTATCTCTGCTCCTATAGACTGTGTCATGGCTCAGTTCCGCCCCCTCTGTCCTGGATGAGTGTTTGCAGGCCCTCTCTCAACCAGAGGACCTGAAATCCCTGCTGCAACACCACACATGTCTTGAGAACTTGGGCACTCAGAGTAAGGAGGAAATACTGAATGTGGAGACTGGTATGCCCTGTAAAAACAACCACCTAATGCTTGTGCTGCCCCTGTCTCACTATTAGTCTCCCTTTCTTCTTCCCATTGTATTCCTTCAGGTCACACCGTTGAGATGTCTTCCCAGGTCTTTGCCTGTTCCCAGTGCCCATTCTTTCACATGCAGGAATCCTACCTCCTCCAGCACATTGAGCGAAATCACCCAGAGGAGTACAGCAAGCTCCAGAAAACTGAAGAGAAATCAGCGCCTCCCAGGAAAAAGTTCCCCCGTCCTGAATTCCCCAAGCCTTTCCCTATCCATGCAAGCTCTGAACCCGGTGCGCACACGTGCCACGAGTGTGGAAAGACTTTCACACGCTCGTCAGACGTGACCAGGCATCAGCGCATTCACACAGGGGAGCGTCCGTACACCTGCAAGGAGTGCGACAAGGGTTTCAAAAACTCCTGGGATCTGACGAGGCATCAGCGGATTCACACCGGGGAACGCCCATATATCTGCCCTCAATGTGGCAAGGGGTTCACCCAACTAGGCCTACTATCACTGCACTTCACAAGAACACCTTGTGGCCAGAGTGCTGATCCCCCGCTACAGTCCACAGAGCAGCAGGAGGAGGAGCCAAACGACAAAGGGAGTGGTCAGTACAAGTGCCAGAAATGTGGGGCTAGCTTTGACACCATACTAGAGCGGCTGAAGCATAGGCAAACCCATGTGGTGAATCGCCAGTACAAGTGTTCCCAGTGCGAGAAGATCTACGGCCGCCCATCTGACCTGAGGAGACATCAGATGAAGCACACCGGAGAGAGACCCTTCCCCTGCGCAGAGTGCGGCAAGGGCTTCACTCACGTGTGGCTGCTGAACAAGCACCGGCAAATCCACACCAAGGAGCGGCCATACCCGTGCCCGGAGTGTGGCAAGAGTTTCACCCAGTTACAGATACTGAACAGACACCAACTGATTCACAACGGGCAGAGGCCTTTCCAGTGCTCCTACTGCGAGAAAAGCTTCACTCAGCTCGCGGGCCTGACAAGACATGAGAGGATTCATACAGGGGAGAGGCCATATCTCTGCACCGTCTGTCAGAAGACCTTCCTAACACATGGGGAGCTGGTAAGACACCAACGCAGCCACAGCGATTTCAGACCATTCTCTTGCTCCCAGTGTCCCAAGAGCTTCAAAACCAAGCGTGCACAGAGTGAACACATGAATACCCACACAGGGGAGCGACCGTTCTCGTGCGCACACTGTGGGAAGGAGTTTGCTAAGTCTACTTCACTCATAAGACACAATCTGATGCACACAGGGGAGAGACCGCATCAGTGCACTCAGTGTGGCAAGACCTTCCTTACCTCTGGGGAGCTGCTCCTCCACAGGCGAATACACACAGGGGAGCGGCCTTACCCGTGCTCGGTCTGTGAACGGAGGTTTAGGTGTTCATCAGACCTGACCATGCATCTGCGGACACACACAGGGGAGCGACCATACTCCTGTCTGTTGTGTAAAAAGTCCTTCTCCACGTCAACGCGTCTCAAAAGGCACCTGCGCACTCACATAGGGAAAGGTGTGTAATCATGGCGAGAGCCTTTGAAAATATTGTCAAGTATATTAATTTATTTTCCAAATCATGTTTATGGACTGCATTACAGAATAGTATAAGGAGACATAATATATGCATTTTACTAAGAAACTCAGCCTTACAACACGCCTCTATTAAAAAATAAAATAATGCCTTCAATTCACATTAAACATTTTAATTTCAACACTTGGTGTGGAATTTTTCTTGGCTGATCTCGCTTTTGTATGTCTCTGTTAACATTCCCACACATACATGTTGTACACGCACATTTCCAACAGCAGACCTGTTAGATCAGCCCACTGCCCGTAAACTAGTCAACTGAAAAACAGTATGGTGCTCCCTCCCTGATCAGATTGCGTTCCTGTTTCGCTATGAAGTACTGCACCAAGCAAGGTTGATGTGAAATAATTATAAATGGAAAGGTAACCTCAGAAAGGGGTAAAGCAATGTGAGAAACTTAGAAATAAGCAACTGTTGGGTTTTATTTTTCTCATAATTGGATCTGTATGAGATGACTACCTTGGAAGGAATGCATTGATGTAGATTGTTTCACTTGGCAAGCTGTGATTAATGTGAGGAGCTGTTTTAGGGAGTAAGGGGAGATAAGAACTTGTGTCTCAAAGTACTAGACCTCACTGCCTCTTTGTATTCTGTGAAACTGTCCTTGAACATGGAGTACAGTGGGAGGATGTCTTTCTGGGTGCTGGCTCTGCAGGTTATCATAGCAACCATGTCTAGTAACAAATGGAGTGCCGAGGAGTTGGGCCCACCCCTGCGCCAACGGATTGGCTGAACCACACTCAGTCCTTTGCTCTGGTTGGCCAACAGAAGAAGGGACTGCTTTCTGTCAGAGTATTTGAGAAAGAATCTGAAAACAGATTCTTAGTTCTCTGTCGGCCCTGCGTGGTTTGTCAGTGAGCCCGTATACGAACCTTCATACTTATCATACAATACATTTTGCATATAATAAATTAAGCTTGGATTGAAGATCTCTTGATTCTTATTCCAATACCAGATTTGAATTACGCAATCTCGACACAACTAATGATTTAAATGATCATTGGGCACAATGGTAAGGTAATTATAACCTGAAGTTGAGTTGACAAAATTAAATTCTAACACAACTACACAAATAGGCAACTGATATATTACTAGGTTTTTTCTGATAATGACACAACCCATATCAATGATGAACATGTAAAATTTAAACATTTTATTTAGAATGCTTAGGTCATCAGTCTCTGTCGCGTCGTTACCATGTTCAACTTCTACAGATGCCGCAGCATATTGATGTCCAACTGATGCTCAGTCTTTCTGAACAGGGGGGGCCTAATGAATCAGGAAATACGATGACATTGCTAAAGTAGACAAAATTAGTAGAACACAAAATTGGCATCATTATGATGTCAAGTTTACTTTAGAGAGATGGCAATGTTGCCATGAGCTAGTAAAATTCGTCAGAAAAAGCTAGCAATGCTAACTAAAATGTCGGTGCTCTGCCCTCAATCGTAGCTAGCTAGTTAAAGTTATACTGCATCTAAAGTCAATCTGGCGACATTACAATGATGACAAAAGCTTGTCCTACTAATTATTTGCCTCCTTTTGAAATGTAATTGTGTTTCTAAGCACAGTAATGCACTTCATACGAGATCTCCAACACCAAGACCACATTGAGTAGAATGCTCAGCTGGGCATTAGTTCTAAAACGAACGTGCAACGTAGGAATATAATTAAACTACGTCATGTTATGACACGACATTTGCCGTGTTTAACTGTGTTCAATTTGTTTTGAATGTAAGCAACTGCTACAATGCCGAAGAGAGGGAGAAAGGTATGTCGATAACCTATATTTTTTACAGCTACAAAACTAGAATTTCTTACCGGATAAGATACTGTAGAAGTCGTGTTTCAAACGGTGCTAACTTGTGTGTGTATTTGTTTCTTTTAACATGGAACTAGAAGAAGAGGTCAATCCCCATAACCATCGAGAACGCCAGGTGAAATGACATTAGAAAACTGAGGCCCACATAGATAGTATTTAATTCTAATATCTAATTCTATGTTTAGGCCTATATGAAATGTATTCCCAGAAAATAATCAAATTAATTATCAAAAATTGACATTCATGTCATATGAAACCCTAGCTGACTAAACTCAACTCTATGGTGAAGGACATTTCTGATGAACTCCACCAACAGAGTGGAGCAGAGACCAGTCAGGCTTTGTGGAATTCAGCTCTGACTACATTGATTCGCCCAAGGTCAATATTTAAAAAATAAATAATAATAAAACGCTTACCTTGTACCTATGTTTGTCCTTTGTAGTTGTGTGCCTCTCTTTGTTTGCTGAAATCCATACTTTTTCAATAAACGTTAATCAAATACAGCCACCTACTGTTTCCTTAAGATTCAATTGGCACATGCGCATTTGTACTGAGTTGCCATCTTAGAGCAACAGCAATGAGCAAACAGTCAGTGGTTGTATTTTATTAGCGTTTATTGAAAAAGTATGGATTTCAGCAAATAAAGGCACGCAATTACAGAGGACAAACGTAGGTACAAGGTAAGGGTTTCATTATTTACATTTTTTGAAGTATTGATCTTTGGGCGAATCGATGTTGTCGGAGCTGGATTCCACAAAGCCTGTTCATCAGAAACTTCCTTCACCATGGAGTGGAGTTTAGTCAGCTAACACATAGCTGACTAAGACCTATATGGTCATATATCTGCAGGAACAATGAGAAGACACCTGACTCATTACGCCATTACGCAGGAACATTTGTGGTGAGCCATCAACTGTGAACTATGCCTTTGCTCTGTGTATGTGCTTTCACTGTATAAACATTTGCCTTGACTTTGTATTAATAAAACTGCATCATCTTAAACATACATCTTGCATTTACTTGTAGGAATGCATTGCCCAGTCAACCACTGCTTTCTCTCAGGAAGATGTTTCCGGTGTAGGCCTACATACCATCTTCGGGAAGACGGCAGAGGGCCTTCTCCAAAAAGTGTGCGGAGGGGTCTCAGGCGTCCTGAACAAATATTTGTTTGAGGCGGGGGCGTTGTCTGATTCGGTCATCCCAGTACATCTCTTGCCTGTAGCTCCAAATGGGGACAATCAGAAAATGGAAAAAAGATGGCAGGACTGCACTGAGGAGGACTGTGAACTTATAATTATCCGACTGACAGGGACTGTAATTATTGCCATGTTGGATAGCTTTATGGAGAGTTGCAGGACGGACACCACACACAGTTCATTCGTAGAAGAACTGGGGCTCACTGTGGAAATGGAAAAGGTCATACGTGAAGTAGCGGAATGTGCAGCAAACGCCACAACCTCCGATTTCAGTCAGTTCACTGTCGGAGGAGTTCCTCTCTTTCAGAGACCACTGAGCAATCTCTCTTCTGGGCCCAGTCAACCAGCACACCCCCAAAATGCCTTGCCAACATTCACTGTTCCCACACCTGTTTCAAAGGTGAACTCAGCCAGTCCCAAATCCACTGGCTCAGGGAAAGGGTCCTCACAAGTCAGGAAGCCAAGACAATCAACAGAAGGAGTTCAGAGACTCTCCGAAAGGCAGCAGGACCCAGGGGAGGAGATCACATCTCTAGTGATTGAAACCATTCTACGGTCTGTTGCTGATTTAGGCAGGCATGGACTTCTGCCAAGCTGCACCCAGTAGACAGGATGGCCCCTTTTTTATGGTGATGCAGAGAACAAATGCTTGAAGCCAATTCATAAAAGCACTAATTAAACAAATATGTTGTTAAAAGGCGAGTCAGCAGTTTTATTTCTATGGCAACAAAGACATGAAATAAAGTCAAATGTACTACTGTTTTTTTTTTTTTATGAAAGCCTTATGAAGGGATTCATCACAGAACTTTGTGTTAAAAGATGAATGTCAGTTACAGAACCAAGTATTGAATGTGAAATGGCAGTGCAGATATCATCAACAAAATAATGTTTAACCAAACTGTTCCCAGACTCCATCCAAGAATACATTCAGGTCACCAGATGGTATGCTCCTCTAGTAGAATAGCAATGATTATAGCAAGCAACACTGTATGAAAGCTCATATAGCCTAATAAAATCAAAAAAATTCTAAAATATGAAAGTTAAAACCAAAAAAGAGGAGTAGAAGTTACATGCAGCAGTTTCTCAATATGGGTTTCTGATTTTCTATATTCAGGAGTTGCATATTCCTTTCCCTTGGACCAATGGTGGGGAGTAGGCTATGCATTGGAACCAAACTCAGGGCTCACCAGCCATACAACCAACAATGCAGTTTTCATATGTGATTTGAGTCTGTACTCATAAAACACATGCCAATATGCTAACACTTGAAAGGTCTTGTTCAGCTGACACAATGTGTAATGTTTCCCAGTATATAGAGTCAACAGGTACAGGTATTTTAAGTGTTCCCCTCACATTAAAGCAATTTATGCAAAGAAAATAGGCTACAATATACACACACACATACACACACACACACACACACACACACAAAGGAAAAAAACAACTAGGTCGCAGTTGAAACACTGTTGCACATGGAGCCTGGTATGGCCTGGTCCAAATGAGCCAGTGGACAGCGCCTAGTGCTGAAAACGTGAACGCGCTGTTTGGATATTTGGCATCTGACGTAGCAAGCTAGCTAAATTCTACTAACGCGTCGAATACTTGAACACAAACAATCATCAACTAGTTGCTTGCTAAAAGAAATAGCAAAAATAGAAGCTAGCTAGCTTCCTATGTTTGCTTGATATCTTTTAACTCTAGCGTTTCAATGTGTTTGTTTGAAGGACGCTGTGATGGATATTGACAAAATAACAAAGGAGGTAAATTATCTTGTGTTCTGAGTTGTTTGCCATTTTTTTTCAATGAAAAAATGTTTTCCACTATAATTGCGTTGCTAATTTAGCTAGCTAACGTTAGTTGCTGACAATGCAGCATGTTATTTATTTTTTAAATGGCGTGATGTAATTGTTTGACAACTATTCCAATTATGTTCATGTGTAGAAAACATTGTCAATACTGAACCATACATTTTTCCTTGCAGCTGGCAGAGAAAGCCATTCGGGAAGCTGTGCACACAGTTCTGACAGATGAAAGCCATGGGGAGTTTTCAAGCCTAAGAAAAATGGAGCTGAAATGCATTGAGATGTCTAAGACACCTAAAGCCCAATCAACCTTGGAGTCTGTAAAGCTGCCCAAAGACAATGATGACAACTTGGAACCAGGATCCTGTGATGACTCCCTGATTGCTGAACCTCATGCTTACCAAGCTGATGCCATCAAGGCATCTCTGAACACTGAAATCCACTCAGTGGTTACTGAGGCCACAGTGGTCTATGCTAACCAACCCGAGGCACTGTCCAGTGAAGTGCTTCTGGGCACTGAAGGTAATGGAGATGATGCTGACCATGCTGTGGTGGATTCTCAGACTTCAGACTGTGACTATGACCTGGCATCGGTAGAATGGCTGGACCCTGGGTGGCACACTGCCCTGGTACTGATGGAGACCTTGGTGAGTCCTGGCAATGACCCTGACCTGACTGTGTCTGACTCCAGTGAAGTGTCTCTGATCACTGACAACCTGCCAGTGGTGGACTCAGCTGTGGACTCCAGAGGGCAGCAGAGGGCAGAAGATGACTTACAAGGCACTGACCAGCTGCTAATGAGGTCCTGTGCAGACTGTGTGACCACAGAGAAGCACTGTGCTGTACCCTCTGAGGACTCTTTGAACTCTGACAAGGAAATCTCCCTCAACATTAAAGACCATGATGACCGACCTGCAGTAGACTTTAACAGAGATTGTGTGAGCACGTCTGACCAGTCTTTGTCCCCGGTTGCCACTGCTCTTGGATCAATAGTCACTGTTGACTCTTTCAATAAGGCTCTGTTGGTTTCCAATAAGTTGGACCAGGGCAAAGATAACCCTATTGACCAGCCTGTAGTGAAGTCTCAGACCACTGAAAATCAAATTAACCCCACGTCGGTGTTAGAGTCCAACCAACCTCTCATCAATGAAACCCTGGAAGATAACATTATCTCAGCCCCTGATGATAGACCTCTGTTAACTACAGACCGTATAGGATCACGGGAGATTGAAATGCTTCTATCTAGAATGCACTTAGGCAATGTTATCACCTGTCATGATGACCAGTCTTTGGAGTCAGACAGTGATGACATTGTTGACTCTTTGGCTCACAACAGTCATAGCCATCATCTGTGTGAGTCAGTCGTGAGGCCCAAAGCTCAAGTCCAACTCAGTGGACACACTTGGTCACCCTCTTATGACACTGATGACTGCCGTCGTTATGCTCAAGACCGCATCATGATGGAATACAAATTCAAATACAGCCGGGACCAAAAGTCTGCATGGGTTTCTGTGCCACACTACATTTTGACTAGAGGGGAGAGTGTGACCCAAAGGATGGAGGGAGAGAAGAAGTATGGAGAAAAGGAATGGGAGAAGTGCTCCTCACAGTGTGACAGGCACTCTCTGATTGGTGAGTATGGAATGGGAGAAGTGCTCCTCACAGTGTGACAGGCACTCTCTGATTGGTGAGTATGGAATGGGAGAAGTGCTCCTCACAGTGTGACAGGCACTCTCTGATTGGTGAGTATGGAATGGGAGAGGTGCTCCTCACAGTGTGACAGACACTCTGATTGGTGAGTATGGAATGGGAGAGGTGCTCCTCACAGTGTGACAGACACTCTGATTGGTGAGTATGGAATGGGAGAGGTGCTCCTCACAGTGTTACAGACACTCTGATTGGTGAGTATGGAATGGGAGAGGTGCTCCTCACAGTGTGACAGGCACTCTCTGATTGGTGAGTATGGAATGGGAGAGGTGCTCCTCACAGTGTGACAGACACTCTCTGATTGGTGAGGATTGGAATTATTATGTAGTTTATTATATTTATATACATATTTTGATCACAGGAAAGGGGTAGCCTATGTTTCCATGTTACTACAAGGTAGATTCAATAGATTCAATTGAATCCAACATTTTAATTATTGTGATTCATGGTGTAAGGTTAGATTACAGGTATGTATTGATTGGATTTCATTTTTCCCTCTCACTCTTTAGAGCATAGTGGACAGTGGATGATAGCCAGAGCAGTAGAGGCAGACACTGAAGAAATAGTTCCCAAGCCGTACATGAGAGACCTAGTTATGTACGATGGATTCAACCAGCTAGATGAGGAGAGAGTGGGAAATCAGCTGGTCCTCTCCTCTCTCTCAAGGGCTCTCAATGAACTTAAGAAGGACAAGGCTTTTTGGAGGTCAATGAGAGAGGGGGACGATAAATTAATGAGGGAAAACGAGAGAATGAAAGGTGAGATGAAAAAGAAAGACATGACGAACTTTAACAGTGCCAAAGAACAGAGGGCAGAGAGAAAGAGGGAAAGGAGGAGGGAGAGGAACTGTGATGTGACTAAATGGATGTCCTCCCGGCCCGAAATAGAAAGTTCCATTATAGGACTCCGTCCCAGGCCTCCGTCCCGGCCACTGCTCAGAGAACCAGTCTTAACCAGAACCAGCTTCAGCCGCACCGACGCCAGAACCATAGAGGTTAGGGAGATGATCCTGCAAAGGAGCCGCATTGCCTACAAGATCAAGTGCCTGCAACGCCGGAAAGCGGCTGCTGAGGGGTTGACACTGACTATGGGAGGTGGAGGGCCTGAGGCTAGGGGTGACGGAGAGACAGTGATGGACATTACAGGGCAAAGTAAGAAAGCCTCAAAGGGCAAGGGGGCAAAGGGCAAAGAGAGTGGAAGAGGGGAAGGTAGTGAGTGGGCCAAATTAGGTCTGGAGGAAATTGCGGAGACAGATTACAGGAATAAAGAGAAGAAAACCAAAGTACGGACAGGACAGAGAAGTAAGGACAAGCGAAGAGAGGAAAGAGAGAGACAAAGATGTCGTAAGGAAACAGATTTGATTTCAGACGAATTAGCTAGAATGGACATAGAAAAAATAGATGGAGAGAAACAGGATGAGACTGTGAGCAAGATCTCTGAGGAAAAGCCTTCTAACAACGGTTGTGTAGAGACAAATGAGGGAGAAAAATATGGTAAACAGATGAAAGAAAAGACTAATAGAACAATTGTACTTACTGATGAGGAAGTGATGAGCAAAGCATCAGGGGAAAGAGAAGAAGAGGCTAGAGAGGAGAATGCTAAGACATTTCAAGAGAGCTTAAAAGTCCAGGGTGAGAGCATAACATTCATGTTAATGATAAGTATGATGTGTCATAACTGATGGCGATGTTGATATACAGTGGGGAGAACAAGTATTTGATACACTGCCGATTTTGCAGGTTTTCCTACTTACAAAGCATGTAGAGGTCTGTAATTTTTATCATAGGTACACTTCAACTGTGAGAGACGGAATCTAAAACAAAAATCCAGAAAATCACATTGTATGATTTTTTAGTAATTAATTTGCATTTTATTGCTTGACATAAGTATTTGATACATCAGAAAAGCAGAACTTAATATTTGGTACAGAAACCTTTGTTTGCAATTACAGAGATCATACGTTTCCTGTAGGTCTTGACCAGGTTTGCACACACTGCAGCAGGGATTTTGGCCCACTCCTCCATACAGACCTTCTCCAGATCCTTCTGGTTTCGGGGCTGTCGCTGGGCAATACGGACTTTCAGCTCCCTCCAAAGATTTTCTATTGGGTTCAGGTCTAGAGACTGGCTAGGCCACTCCAGGACCTTGAGATGCTTCTTACGTAGCCACTCCTTAGTTGCCCTGGCTGTGTGTTTTGGGTTGTTGTCATGCTGGAAGACCCAGCCACGACCCATCTTCAATGCTCTTACTGAGGGAAGGAGGTTGTTGGCCAAGATCTCGCGATACATGGCCCCATCCATCCTCCCCTCAATATGGTGCAGTCGTCCTGTCCCCTTTGCAGAAAAGCATCCCCAAAGAATGATGTTTCCACCTCCATGCTTCACGGTTGGGATGGTGTTCTTGGGGTTGTACTCATCCTTCTTCTTCCTCCAAACACGGCGAGTGGAGTTTAGACCAAAAAGCTCTATTTTTGTATCATCAGACCACATGACCTTCTCCCATTCCTCCTCTGGATCATCCAGATGGTCATTGGCAAACTTCAGACGGGCCTGGACATGCGCTGGCTTGAGCACCTTGCGTGCGCTGCAGGATTTTAATCCATGACGGCGTAGTGTGTTACTAATGGTTTTCTTTGAGACTGTGGTCCCAGCTCTCTTCAGGTCATTGACGGAATTAAAAAAAAATCCGAATCCTGCAGTGTTGTAGCACTCTCTATTGCGTGAGTATGGAATGGGAGAAGTGCTTCCTCGCATGTGAAGCACTCTCTGATTGGTGAGTATGGAATTGGGAATGCTCCTCAACATGTCTGTCAGGCACTCTCTGATTTGGAATATGGAAGGGAGAATGTGCCTCCTCACAGGTGACAGGCCACTCTCTGATTGGTGAGTATGGAATGGGAGAAGTGCCCTCGCTGTGACAGGCCCTCTAAAGATTGGTGTAGTTAGGAATGTGAGAAGCTGCTCCTGACAGTGTGAAGGCACTCTCTTGATTGCGTGGTTATGATGGGAGAAGTGGCTCCTCGCAGTGTGACCAGGCCACTCTCTGATTGGTGATATGAAGGGAGAAGTGCTCTCTGTTGGACAGTCTCTCTGATAATGGTGAGTATGAACTGGGAGAAGTGCGTCCTCACCGTGTGACAGGAACTCTCTGATATGGTGAGTATGGAATGGGTCATGAATGTGGCTACTCACAGTGTTGTCAGGCACTCTCTGATTGGTTGTATCGGAAGGGAGAAGGCTCTACGTGACAGAAATCTATTGTTGAGTATAATGGCAGATGCCTCCTCCACATGTGACAGCACTCTGCTGATTGGGAGATGGAATGGGAGGAATGCCCTCACAGTGTGCAGCACTCTCTGATTGGTGCAGTATGGAACAGAGGCTCACGTGTTGACAGGTACTCTCTGATTGGGAGTATGGAATGGCAAGTGCTCTCACAGTGTGACAGGCACTCTCTTGTGTGGTTGAATGGAGAATGCTCATGCACAGTTGTGACAGGCACTCTTGATGGTAGAGCTAGGATGGGGTAGAATGCTCCTCACTGTGACAGGCCTCTCTTGATTGTTGAGTATGGAGGGAGAAGTGCTCCTCACAATGTGACAGCACTCTCTGATTGGTGAGCCGAATCGCGAGAGTCCTCACATGTGTGACGGATTATTATGTAGTTTTATCTTTCTATCTATTTTGATGACAGGAAGGGTAGCCTATGTTTCCATGTTATACAAGGTAGATTAATTGAATCCAAACATTTTAATTATTGTGATTCATGGTGTAAGTAATTACAGGTATTATTGATGATTCAGTTTTTCCGTTCACTCTTTAGAGCATAGTGGACAGTGGATGATAAGCAAGCAGTAGAGGCAGACAGTGAAGAAATAGTTCCCAAGCCTACATGAAGACCTAGTATTACGACTTATTCAACCAGCTAGATGAGGAAGAGATGGGAAAGGCAGATCACTGGTTTCTCCCCCTCTCAAGGGCTCTCATGAACTTAGAAGGACAAGGCTTTTTGGAGGTCAATGATAGAGGGGGACGATAAATGGGGGAAACAAGAGAAGAAAGGTGAGATGAAAAAGAAAAATGAGGAACTTTACAGGCCAAAGAACAGAGGGCAGAGAGAAAGAGGAAAGGAGGAGGGAGAGGTAAATGTGATGTGACCTAAATGGATGTCCTCCCTTGCCGGAATGGAAAGTTCCATATAGGACTCCGTCCCAGGCCTCCGTCCCGGCCACTGCTCAGAGAACCAGTCTTAACCAGAACCAGCTTCAGCCGTACCGACGCCAGAAACATAGAGGTTAGGGAGATGATCCTGCAAAGGAGCCACATTGCCTACAAGATCAAGTGCCTGCAATGCCGGAAAGCGGCTGCTGAGGGGTTGACACTGACTGAGGGAGGTGGAGGGCCTGAGGCTATGGGTGATGGAGAGACAGTGATGGACATTACAGGGCAAAGTAAGAAAGCCTCAAAGGGCAAGGGGTCAAAGGGCAAAGAGAGTGGAGGAGGGGAAGGTAGTGAGTGGGCCAAATTAGGTCTGGAGGAAATTGCGGAGACAGATGACAGGAATAAAGAGAAGAAAACCAAAGTACGGACAGGACAGAGAAGTAAGGACAAGCGAAGAGAGGAAAGAGAGAGACAAAGATGTCGTAAGGAAACAGATTTGATCTCAGAGATTCTACTGGTGGTAGGTGACAAATAACTTATGTCATGCAATAAAATGCAAAATTACTTAAAAATCATACAATGTGATTTTCTGGATTGTTGTCCGTCTCTCACCAGTTGAGTGTACCTATGATAAAAATTACAGACCTCTACATGCTTTGTAAGTAGGAAAACCTGCAAAATCGGCAGTGTATCAAATACTTGTTCTCCCCACTGTAAATGTTTGTCCTGTTAGTGAATTATGAGTGAACTGAATTAAAAAAAAATAATACTTTCAGAGGTCAGAGATGGAGAGGAAGGTCCTACAGGAAGAAAGTTAGAGCATCAGGAAGCTAGAGAGAGTGTGGAGACACAAAACAGTGATGGAGATGTACAATTGAGAGAGATTTGTAAAAGAAAGGATGTAGAGGTTACAAAAATCGATACCTCCTGTGATGAAACGTCCATCATGGTTCTGGCGAGCCAAGCCCCTGGTAGGCCTATGACAGCCTCCCAAACTCCATTGAAGGGCAAAGGAAAGCAACAACGCAACCTTCCGTACAAGAGAAAGGAAGGACTTCAAGAGGAGATCAATTCAAAGGGTGAAGTGCTTGAGGGTGGAAGACAAGTAAACTTCCTTGAGTGCCGGGCACAGGAACAGAGAAGTCTGGGTGAGTTGGGCGAGGTTGCAGGCTTCTGGAGGAAGGAGAAAAAAGGCCACAAAGACAGAGAGGTCAAGGAGGAGAAAGCCCGAGAGGGTCAGACATGGCGAAACCAGGGGGGAAATGGCAGGGATCCATGGAATGGAGAGACAGAGAGGGGTGGAAGTGGTAGGAGTAGAGGAACTAGACAGAGGGGGAAAACAGTGGCGGCTTTTTTCTAAGAAGCAAAGGCAAAAGCACAGCAACTGGAATGACCACCATCCTTCAGAGAGCAGCTGTGACTGGAGGAGCAGGGAGGAAGAAGGGCCTGAGAAACATGTTGAGAGTAGGATGGACAGGCAGAGAGGTGAGAGGCCTCCGAAGGGGGAGAAGAGCCATTACTCAGCTAAAGGGAAGAAATACATTGATGTGTGTTAAATAAATAAATATTATTTCTGATGTCAGAAATTGGTTTATAGAAGTTATTGGGAAGTCCAGGCACATCATTGCATGGGGAGTTCAGAGATGCAGCCATGAAATTACAAGAGTACGATTAAAGAGTACACATGATTCAGACAACAGGAAATGCATTAATAGTATTATTACTAAGACAAAATATGTTATTGTATCCCTTTCTGCTAAGGGTGTGTGGGCGGGAAAACTATTTGATTAATTTCCCTCCTCTATTCGCGCTTCAATATCCGGCAAAGTTGAACGGTGACGGTCATTTCCACCTCCTACAGTTTCTGTGTGGCCACAATCAAGACACCCGCTGTAAACAAACTTCTCTAACGGTTTAATTCCAGAAGAAGTACATTTGAACAAAAAGATATGCATATCAAAACAGGTGAGTTTTGGGTACCAGTAGCACATTACTTTGTAACATTCTACTTTGCAACGTTAGCAAAACGTTCTGAAATTAACACTCCGGGTACGATGCGTTGGAGCCTGGGTGTTATGAAACTTTTATCTAACGTAACGTTAGCTAACCTCGCTAGCTAGCCAGGAAATTGTTTCTTGTTCAAATGCATACTTGAGGACTGTAACGTTAGATTGTATGACCTTATTGCAGAACTGTCTGCTCAATTGTACTATTTTCCTATTAATAAATGGCGTTTTGGCTTATTTTCTGGTTAGCTAACGTTAGCGAACTAGCTACTGTTAACGTTACAAACACGTTGCGTGTCTGTTTCTTAGCAAGCTAGCTAGTTAGCAAGTGGTTGGTTGGTAAGGCAATTCGATAAGGTTAATTACAGTTAGCTAGCTATTTGCTCATACAAAATACAACTTCCAGGAAATGGTTAACTAACTAGATAGCTAGTTACAAGTAATTTAAGTGTCATTATCAAATTTGCCCTTGGATTTTTTTCTGGATTCAGCTTAATCAGTAGCTAGCTAGGCTAACCGTGGCGTGCATACTAACTCTGCGTAACGATGTGGCTAGCTAGTTATCTAACCCCAAGCCCCAACAAAACTTAACACATTTTGATAGTTAGTTAGTTTTACCATTAAACCATAACACAAATGCGTAGTTTAAAGGGGTCCCATTTTTGTTCATTTATATAATAATTTTTAAAAAATACTAGGGGATTCTAACAATGTTCCTTTGCCTGTATATCTAGGTACATGGGAGGCCAACACAGTGTGCGAGTCCGACACACTGTGCGATCCTGCTGTCCTTGTGTCCTCCACCAACCCAGAGGCGCACATTGGCAACCGACGCCTATCACCTGGGTCTGGCAACTGCGGTGGAGGAGGTGGAGGCTGCCCAACTGGGGTTGCCCAGCAGCCCTGTCAGGCTTCTCCTCAGTCCCTCGAGGGCAACCTGAACGGACCCGCCCATGTACATGCCTTCACCTACCGTAGAGACAGAGATCGTAGAGGCCAGCACAAAGGCCGTGGCCCTCGCAGAGAGGGGCCCAGGGGTGCAGGGCGTGTAGCAGATAGGCCCCCAAAGCAGAGCCAGAAGGAGAGGTGGGTGGAGGACAGCCTGTCTCTACTCAAGCACCCAGCTGCTTTTCCAGTGCAGGATAGCCCTGCCAAGCTGCAGCCAACCATCAGCTATGCCTCAAAGGTGAAGTCAGGGGCTGTGGGTGGAGTGCTAGAGGAGGAGGAGGGCCGCCCAGCCATCGGTGTGCTGCTGCAGAACCAGTGGGGACTCAGTTTCATCAGTGAGGTCCTCCAAGCCACAGAGGGGTCAGTTCCCTGCCCTGCCCCCGTAGCACCACCTCAGCCCACATTTGGAGGTGAAACCGCCAACCCAACACAAGAGATGCATCACACAGTCCAGCCCAGTGGTGAAATCCCAGTTCCTGTCACTACCTCAATCTCCATTGACCAGTACAGAGAGAAGGAAGCAAAGGTCAATGGGAAGCTGCATCTTACCTGTCGCCATCTAAAGGAGGCCATGCGCTATCACACAATAGGTAAGGGCTGATGTGGTTGAGACCTCAATAAAACATTAATGTATTATAAATGTTATTTTTCCGTTGCATCTGTCATAAAATTGTGGTCGATGTTATAAGCAATACGCATCATAGTATGAATCCTAACTATACCTTGTTCTTGTTATTTTATTTTTTAGAATGGAACGTCACCTGCAACAAACAAAAAGAAGGTGAGATGAACTTGGACTGGATTCTCCATTCAGCTGGGCATTAGAATCTCTGAAGCAGGGCTCATAATTTAAAGGATTTGAAGGTGTTTTCAGACCTCTAAAGTAGTCTAATGTCAAGATGAAACCACATCCCACGACATCAGTGGTGTAAATTCAGTTTAGCTATATGCCTCCACCCCAAATTAATAGAAAATATGGTCACCCAATAAAACCAGGAAATTAAACTGTGCTTAATCTTTTTCCATTCATTTGGAATTGAGGCGTATAGCTGGATATACACAACCACTGTCATGGGACATGGTTTCATCTTTACATTACTTTCGAGGTCGGAAAAAAAGACAAACTTTTATTTAATTTATGAAATGTCTCTTTAATGGTTTGATTTGTTAAATGTTGATACATTTTATTATCCCACCATGGGGGAATGTGTTTGGTCATGTGCTTGAAAGGTCGTAGAACATAGTATGTAAAAACACCCAATAATACAAGACCGTTTAAACACAGATAGAACAATGACAGATATTTCACCAGATATATAAATGTGAAGCATCCGCTTGGACTACTATGACTAATTTGTTCCAATTTGAAACGGCGAGCTGTGGTCTCTTGGTTTAGGTATACAAATATTTGGTTTAAACGCATAGAAGAATAAGTGCAGTGAAGGACACTGTAGTTTCTGTCTTTGCGAGGACAGTCATTGCATTTCAGGTTGTCTGTCTCAATTCCAAGGTATTTATTTATGTTGTCACTATCAACTGATTCCCCGTTGCTCTTCGTGGGGGGTGGGGGGGGGGTAGTGCAGTTTTATTCATTTTTTAAATTATTTGCCATCCCCTTCATTTTTCTTAATGTTTATTTTTTAAGGACGTTGTCTGCGCACCTCTGGACGAATTTGGATGTTTTTCTGTCAAGACCTTCAGGGGAGGCTTGATCTGATTTTAAGGAATCCCACCAGCGGAGTGTCGTCCGCATATTTAAAGAATTCATGGGCTGGGTCAGAGGCTTGGCAATTGTTACTGTATAGTAGCATAGTTGATAGAGCATGGCGTTTGCAACGCCAGGGTTGTGGGTTCGATTCCCACAGGGGGTATGAAAAAATAAAATAATGTATGCACTAACTGTAAGTCGCTCTGGATAAGAGCGTCTGCTAAATGACTAAATTTAAAATGTAAATGTAAAATGTAGTGTACACAGTATCTGTGATTGTACGCAACCTTACAGGGCTCCTGTGTTAACCTTTCTAGATGAAGAGATGGCAGGGTTAAATCTCGCCTGACTACGGTTTACAAGGAAACTAATAATCCACTGAAGTTCACCAGCTTGTCAATAAGTAGATGGTGTTGAAAGCGCTACTGATATCAATGAACACACTTTTCACTAGGCTATTTGCATGCTCTAAGTGTTTGTTGTTATTCCGCATGACCAGTAGGCACGGTAGGCAAAATGCTTTGGATCTAGGAGAGATCCTAGTAGTAACATAATTAGAAATTACTGCATCTTGTCTGCAAAAATAAAAGTAATAATATTTTTTATCATGCACCCTGCTGGTTCTAAAGAAGGAGGATACAACTAGAGATTTTTTTTTAATCTAGTGGGTTTCCCTTTTCAGAAGTCCTTGCTGCAGCCCCAAAGGGCTAGATTGTATGAGAGGTTTAACAATGCTGCCTATCACTAAATGCTGTCTTTTATTTTCTGTTTCAGATCCCAATAAGGTAGTTTGGTATAAGAACTCCCTGGACCAGCCAGCCTAGCAACGCATGGACCTGTCTGCCACAACCCCCCCCCCCCCCCCCCCGCACACATGCACTCAGGTCGATGTCTTTACACAAAGCCACACTGAGACACTTTGGACTAACTCCTTGATGAGATCCACAACTAGGGACTTTTCTAACGCCGTCAAAGGCCTGCCTTAATGAATTGGACCTGGAGTTCCTATCAGCTCAAAACGATTAGTTTTAATGTCGTATTGAGCTGCTCTTCTTTCTTTTTAAACAATCTTAAGAGCTGTCATTTTATTGTGAGGAACTGCAGTTTTATCAGACATGTTTTTTTCTGTTTTGTCCTCTGTTGTGTGAGTGATCCATCAAGCACTTTCTAATCCGTTGTGACCAATCCTTGTACGCCTACCATACCAGATTTTAATTTTTTCCCCCACCAATTTGAAAATGTGTTGTACCTGCTTCCATTTCACCGTATTTGACACGGGACAGATGTGTAATTATGTCTCAAGTTTACAGGGGTGCAGACTGCACAATAAGAACGCACCCTTCCCCTGTCTGATCCTAATGCTGTTTTTTGTTTTTTTGTACCCTGGTTGGGTGAATGTTATTCATGTATCGATATGATCACACTAGCTCAGTTTTTCTGATTTGAAAAAAATTATAATAATACACTGGAGGATAAGTGAACAGTATTGCATAATAAATACACTGGAGGATAAGTGAACAGTATTGCATAATAAAATTGAATGAACTTGACATGCCCCAAGGTCTTACTTCATCGTTTCTTTTATCATATTTTCACATACATAAAACCCACAGCATTATTAGCTTTGTTAAAACGGACAAGTTTTAAATAATTAATTTACCTTTTTTGAAGTAAATTAAGGGCTCTATTCATTCCGTGTCCCCGAAGTTCAGCATTATAGCACGATTGAAATGTAACGGTTATTTCCAATTGAGCTGACATGCAGCGTTTATGGTGAACGTAGTCTCCGCTGACGCAAGAACATTGCCTTTCAGTTTCTATGGTGCTATAGCACTGAATTTCTGTGATACGGACTGAATAAAGCCCAAAAATAATTGATTGGTTAGATAAATGCTCAGTTGGCGAAGCATAGTGACATGTCAGTGGGCGGCGTTACAGGTGAGAAGAGAAAAAAAAAGGCCTTGAGGGGGGTAGAGGTTGCCAGTTGGAATCCGTTGCCACTTTCGATTTCCAAATTTATCGAACGTTCTAAACTAACTTTCTGCATGAACAGCTTTAAATATGTGAAAAAAAACAGTCATAGTGCCGTCACCTCTGCTTGTGCAGTGGACTAGGCACTGGAATAGGGACCAGAAGGTCACAAGTTCTAATCTTGCCGATCCCCTTTCTCAAAATTTTTTATTTCAGCTTTCAGTGTAATGCTAATTTTTATTTAATGTATCGCCTCGAGTCAATGATGCCACCTGTCAATGATTTTAGAAGGGACGATTTAAATGGTTTGATAATCCAGATCTGTTTACAGTTGTAAGAAATCTAGCTACATTACAACGCATCACCGATTATTTCCAGAGGTGGTCTGGAAGATCTGATTACAATCACTTCTTTTAATTGTCTCCAAAAAATGTGGACAAGATCAGGACACATGTTAACACCAGGTATAAATGTGGCTATCTTGTAGACTAGGGGCTGGATTAAATCCATATCGAGGAAGATCCGCATTATAGATCGATTGAAATTTAAAGGCATAGTTCCCGCGTTCGCGGTAAATGCTATAATCCTAAATGACTATTATTTTAATGCGGATTGAATCCAGCGCTAGTGAAAGCCAAAACAAATCGAAATACAAAGGTGTTTTTACCAAATGCAATTTAGGGCTAGATTCAATCCGGACCGCAGAAGAGCTGAAATGTAAATGTAATTTCCCACAGCCGACATATGCAGCGTTTACCCTGAATGCAGTCTCTGCAAACACGGGAATATTGCCTTTCCATTTAAATCGCGCTATAGCGCAGATCTTCTGCGGTCCAGATTTAATCTAGGCCTAAAATCATAATGCGTGTGGCTAGAAACTGTTGTGTTGAGGGGTTCTCAACAATAGAAGTGAGGCATAGCATATTTCTACATTTTTTCCCTCCATCATGACACAATGCATACAATCCAGGTAAAGGGAGGGTGGGTGCAAGTTGCAGCCTGTTGGGTAATGAGCTGTCAATCTCTCCAGGTCACCTCCACTTCATCTGTTCTGTACCTGCCAACAACATAACGTTTCTCTTGTCACTGGATGACAGCACAATATGGTACAGAGAGGGAGACCTGTTGTCAAACATATCCAGTTAACATCTCAATACACTTTAGTAAAATAGACAAGAACTTCCTGTAACATTTTAGTTAACATTTGTATGTAAAGGGAATCACTGTACAATATAATATAATGAAAGGGAATCACTGTACTGTACAATAGAATATAATGAAAGGGAATCACTGTACAATATAATATAATGAAAGGGAATCACTGTACTGTACAATAGAATATAATGAAAGGGAATCACTGTACAATATAATATAATATAATGAAAGGGAATCACTGTACTGTATAATATAATGAAAGGGAATCACTGTACTGTATAATATAATGAAAGGGAATCACTGTAATGTACAATAGAATATAATGAAAGGGAATCACTGTACTGTATAATATAATGAAAGGGAATCACTGTACTGTATAATAGAATATACTGAAAGAGAATCATTTGAGTTGCACGTATAGTGGAATTACCTTTGAGTGATCCATGAGTCTGACAGCTCAGTCGTCTGACCGGACCGGAACATCTCCCAGCCAGCCTGTGCAATCATTGCTCCATTATCGATACAAAAGCTGTGACACAACCAAATAGAATATCACATTTTAATAACAGAAGGATGTACAAAGTTAAAGTACATTATTAAATGACCATCAACATAAGCCATTTTCCTTTTATTAGTTCATAAATAATAAAGTAAGCATTGATTGCCTGAGGTACACTTATCAGATCCCTTGTATTGAAATTGTCGTATGTAGACCCTTACCTCTCATCAGTAGCAAAGAGCTTCGCACCTCTCTCCTTGCACATGACCTCCATCATCTCCTGCAGACGCAGATTACCTACAGAGCAAAACCATCATCAGCATTCCTGAACGGTTGTGTTTGAGTTGTGTCTGTCCATAATGAGTGGTAAGACAGATTTACATGATATTACATCTTATTATTGTTATCATTATGTGTTTTAATGAATTACATTGGAAAGCCCACAACCCCCACAATGGAGTACAGTTGACTTACAGCCAACGCCTCCAACGATGAGCACTTCCTGGGAGCTGCAGTGAGCCATGGCCCTCTCTGTGATCTCCACCAGCATGGAAAACAGGGTCTCCTACAGGACACACAAGTAGTGAACGGATCATTACACAGTGGTGTGCTCTGCCACCTCTCAGACAGTGAGTGATGCCACCATGTAGCCGGCATAATTATGAAGGGGAAGGGTGTTGCCGTGCCAATGCAGGAAACAGGCTGACAACAATGCACTGGAGCAGTTTATTGCTTTTGTTCTGACCTGTAGGGAGAAGCACAGGTCTTCTGCTGTACACTGATTATATTTCAACATCTTCCCAGCTGCTTCCTGAAAGAAAATGGACACATATTAACACATCATACATGCATCCCTTATTAGAACCACAATCCATCTAACTATCACAAAAACCCTGTCTCTCCCCTACAATGCAACGCAACCCAATACAATACAACCCAACCCAATACAATGCAACCCAATGCAATGCAACCCAGTACAATGCAACGCAATGCAACCCAATACAATACAACCCAACCCAATACACCCCAATGCAATGCAATACAACCCAACCCAATACAATACAACCCAATCCAACCCAATGCAATGCAACCCAGTACAATGCAACCCAATACAATACAACCCAATGCAATGCAATGCAACCCAATACAATACAACCCAACCCAACGCAATGCAGAACTTTATTCCCACTTAGTGGCGCAGCATTTTACCTCGATATAGGATAAAATCCCAGAGAATGACACGTCCATCCCCTTCACTGTGTATGGAAGCTCCACATACTGTGTACCCCTGACAAAACAAACAGGAAATCAATGGTGTAAATATATACATTTGAAAACATCTACTGGTTGACAGCAATTCCAAAAAAACACATTTACTCACTTTTTGGCCATCTGCTCAATGTTATACCCAGGGCTGGGATCATTGGAAATCTGAGCACAAACAATTTTGATTCATGAGAATGGTAAGACAATTTATACAAGGTATAGTCAGAGTCCACAATAAATCTTAAAGAGGAGAAAAAATGATGTTGCTATCTCACTTTTAAATCAAGATGCATGAACAGAGGAGCAAATTGAAAATTATATTCAGCAAATTGAAAATGATATTCAGCAACTCTTATAAGACAATGGAAATGGACTACATGTTTCGGCATGTGGCCTTTATAGGAGCATTACTTAATCAGGTTAGTTTCAGTTTAGTCCCCTGTAGACCCATGCATAACTCACCTTTATCACCCTGGCAAACCTGTCCAGGCAGTTGCCCACTGCAATGTCGATGGTCTCACCAAATATCCTGTAGCGCCGCTCAGAGTATGCAATCACCTTCATGAGGAAACATTGCATTAGAGCACAACTAAACCCAGAAACCTCAGCTGAGAGGGGTGAGAGTGCTAACTAAGGGGAAACCCTAAGAACTCTCAAGTTGTGCGGGACATTCCAAGTCTGTCCTAGTAAGTATGTATGGGTGACTGACCTGTGTGTTACCCCCACTGACATAGAGCACAGTGGGGTTATTGGCTTGAGTGATGAGGCGGCCCATCTCAATGTGGCCAATACAGTGGTTGACACCCAGGAGAGGCTTCCCCCACAGCTGGGCGACTGTGCGCGCCACCAGAGCCACCGTCACCAAGGGGGCACCCATCCCTGGTCCTATGGTAAATAATATAATGTTGGTGAAAACTGAATGGTACTGCAGGTCAGGAAAGGCCATTTCAGCTTTATAGGAATCAGTGACATTGGAGTTCCTGACCCTTTGTGTATGCCACGCAATCAATGTCAGCAGGCTTCAGCCCTGCCTCCTCCAGCGCCTCCTTCAGAACTGTTAGGATGACACTGCGGTGATGTCTGGCTGTCTCACTAGGCAGGAACCCTGGGATGGAAAGTCAGTCAGTTACTGCAACTACACACATTAGGATAAACATAAGATGTCAGTTGTCATTTGAGTTTAATTTGAATTCAACCAACTTGCCTTGACCAGGGGGTGTGATATAGGTGCGTCTGGGGTTTGAGAGTACTTCCCCATCCCTCACAATGCCCACACCAATCTTGTTGGCACTGCCCTCAAATCCAATCACTACAGTCATGGCAGCTAGAAAGGTTGAGGGAGATGGAGAATGATATGGCTATGAACAAAATAAAAACGTGTGCACATTGAAAGAATGTCGTAAATGTCATAGCTAGTGGTCTTGTGTGCATCTGAGAAAATAATGTTCAGAATGCGATGACATAGCTACAAATACCAGTTGCATACGTCCGTTCATACAAGAATAAACAGTGCAATGTCAACGACAAAAAGGTCCAAGTGTTATTTTATTTATTCTTCAAAAGCAATATGAAAAGTAGAACATAAGCACTAGAATACAGACACCAAAACAGTGCCATGTTTGGTTAAAACTATTAGAAGCATTAGTTAGCTAACACTTAGGTTGCACACCAGGTGGCGATCTAGATCTACCATCAATTATTCATTTCAAATGCCAAAAACTAAGGCCTATTAATTGCCAATTTCACGTGTGTTATAAACGGAAAAACATAATTTCAGATGAGAAAGCAAAAAGTTGAATACGAACCTTTCAGTTGGTGAGTATTTCGGGTTTCAGACAGTACTCTAGGGAGTGAGGACCCATAACAAGAGGTCGTTTGATGATTTCCTTATATAATTGTATCTTTCAAGGTATTGTAATAATAATAAAAAATTGGAAGCTAATTTTAGACATTTAAAGTTTGACGTAAACAAATATATAACATGCACAAAGAGCTGATAACTGGTGCGTTCACGGATTCAGAGGAAAATCACATCAGGCATAATATAGGACAGCCTAACCGCACATAAGTGTCTGTGTGACAATGTTCCTCAAAACCCACTGCTTTGTTGTGGAGGAGTGACTGACTGCGCGAGTGTGACACGGTTGAATCCTTTGTTGTGAAAAAGCAAAGTAAGAATACTTTGGGTTCTCTCTAGTTCAATTCTTAATTTGCAATTACACTTTGTAAATAAGTAGTAGTAGCAGCATTAGTTGCATTCATTTTCCCAATTTATTCAGACTCGATCTTCATTCGTCATGGATTGAGTCATAGGCCGCACATAACGTTATTTATCTGTCCTAGCTAACTAGCTTATTCCCCAAGATTCGCCTGTTTTTGCTCTCTTGTGGCAGTAGTTACAGTGTTGTTGAAGGGATATGTGATGCAGTAATGGAAACATAGTTATCACATATTTGGCGTACAAACTAGTAGCTATTGTGCCAGTAGCAGATGAGCTAAGCATAGCTATTGTATTTGCTAAATTGGCTGCTATAAGTAAAGCTAATAACTGGATAAAAATAATAATTATTATTATTAACTGGATCATGTTTTTTTTCCCCCAGCGGCGGCGCGTGTGTACTTGTGTGTGCGTGTTGTGTGTCTTCGGGGTGTGTGTGGTATTAGAACGAGTGCAAGTATGTCGAAAAGAGCGAAGAAAAATGAAGAGGCTGGAGATGACGAAGACAACGGCACAGGTGAGACGTCTAGTCAACTGATGTTTCCTGTGTTTCGCGATATGTCTCTTACAGTATGTCTAAAGCAGAACTAAATAAAAATGTCAAGATCATTGTCTGTTACGTCAGTCTCATTACCCCTCCTGTTTTCTCTCTCACCTTATAGCTCCGGCTGCCAAGAAAGGAAAGAAGGTAAAGGAACCAGAGGCCCCCATTCTGTACAGTGACCCTCCTGATAAGATGACCAGCAAAGATGGTCGTGCTGCTAACATGAAGATCACCTCCTGGAATGTAGATGGGCTCAGAGCTTGGGTCAAGAAGAAGGGCCTTGATGTGAGTTTGGGAACCACAGAGTCCAAAGCTGCATGAACACTTGGCATTGAGCTATAGTGCCTAGAATTGTTAACTACATATGTGAAATAAGTCCACACACTATGTGCATGATTTAAAAGTTGAATGTGTTCTTCTATGAACTTCTGTTAAATACTATTGTCTGGTTCATTAAACTGGGTGGTGACTTTCACCTTTTAAACACTGATAAAAGGCAGTGCACTGTGAAGGAGCTGACTGGTTATATTCCCCTTGCCCAGTGGGTGCGCGACGAGGCCCCAGATGTGTTGTGCCTGCAGGAGACGAAGTGCGCTGAGAAGTCCCTTCCTGATGATATCACCTCCATGCCCGAGTTCCCCCACAAGTACTGGGCTGGCTCTGATGAGAAGGAGGGCTATAGCGGGGTGGCTATGCTGTGCAAGACTGAGCCCCTCAAAGTTACCTATGGCATTGGTGAGTGAATGGCTGATCCTGGTTACTCTAGTTGGCTATGAATGACTTACCTTTACCCATTAAGACTGTTCTCTCCAGGTGCCCTAGTTAACCTGCCTTTCCCCAATATGTCTGCAGGTAAAGAGGAGCATGACAAGGAGGGCCGTGTTATCACTGCTGAGTTCCCCACCTTCTTCCTGGTCACCGCCTACGTCCCCAACTCTGGTCGAGGACTGGTGCGCCTGGACTATCGCAAGACCTGGGACGTGGACTTCAAGGCCTACCTGAGCGACCTGGACAAGCGCAAGCCCCTGGTGCTGTGTGGCGATCTGAACGTGGCCCATGAGGAGATCGACCTGAAGAACTCCAAAGGCAACAAAAAAAACGCAGGCTTCACAGCAGAGGAGCGCGAGGGGTTCAGCCAGCTGTTGGCCTCAGGCTTCACTGACAGCTTCCGCAAGCTGTACCCCGAGCAGGCCAACGCATACACCTTCTGGACCTACATGATGAACTCTCGGTCTAAGAACGTGGGCTGGCGGCTGGACTACTTTGTACTGTCCTCTGCTCTACTGCCAGGCCTTTGCGATAGCAAGATCCGCAACCAAGCTATGGGCAGTGACCACTGCCCCATCACTCTACATGTGGTTGTGTAGATCAAGTCTGGCCAATGTGCTGGCCATGCATTGTTTTCTCATGTTAAATGATGTGACCTAGGTGGCTGACCTCCCATTGAAGTCATGGCATTCCTAACTACTGTAACTAATCTGTATGCCGGTGTGCACACTCAACATGAGTGAATCATCAGAACCTGGAAACACATTTGTACTGAAACTGGGATTCCCAAATTAGTTTACTTTCACCTCAATCTTCAATTGTATAAACTAGTCACAATTGTCCTGTCACCCATTTGAAGCGATTATTCAACACTGTCCTTTACTTTCCCACCCACACAGTGTACTCCGAAGAGACATCTGGTAACAAAATGCATAATCCCTGAATGTCCTATTTGAGGCACTGTTCTTTAAATGTGAAACTGATGTTGGTGCTAAATAACTGCTAGTCTGTCATTGAAACATTGCTCCTTTGAAGGGAATGTGAGTCCAATTCTTACATTGTTATTTATATAACGGTAATGAAGTTATTACCATTGTGTGAATATTGATACATTAAATCATGGTACAGATTTTGCATGCAAACATTCAGACCCAGAGTGAGGGCCAGTATTAAGATGGTCATTGTCAAATGGTGCAACCTCTGTTGCAAAGCTGACATGAGACCAATTATCAGTGGTATCTCACACCTTACTGCCAACTTCTGGAGCAAAGTTTCTAAGACATGCCTGTTTTGTAGAAAATAAAATCCCAAACCATAGCTGGAGTTTATAGATGGTAAATGCACTCATGCATCTAATAAAGTTTAGTTTTAAGTTAGCTTGCGTTTCCTTTTTTATTAGGCTTTTAAGTTTAGGTTTATTACAAAAGATAGTAACAATTTGTATACTTTTAAAACAGTCTTTTCAATGAAACTCATTTGGGCTACAATCCTATGAAAATACAATGCACATATGAAATGCATTTTAGCAGAAGATAAGGATACGAGGCACAATTATTTAAGTACTTCTACATTGTTATAATCAACCAAAAACAAAACAGTCCGGGATTCATTGCGGCCAGCGCTCTACAGATTTAATCCAGGCCAACGTTTGTGTCACATGACTGATTGAACTCACAGAAGAGCTGTACAGTGAGGGAAAAAAGTATTTGATCCCCTGCTGATTTTGTACATTTGCCCACTGACAAAGACATGATCAGTCTATAATTTTAATGGTAGGTTTATTTGAACAGTGAGAGACAGAATAACAACAAAACAATCCAGAGAAACGCATGTCAAAAATGTTATAAATTGATTTGCATTTTATTGAGGGAAATAAGTATTTGACCCCTCTGCAAAACATGACTTAGTACTTGGTGGCAATCACAGAGGTCAGACGTTTCTTGTAGTTGGCCACCAGGTTTGCACACATCTCAGGAGGGATTTTGTTCCACTCCTCTTTGCAGATCTTCTCCAAGTCATTAAGGTTTCGAGGCTGACGTTTGGCAACTCGAACCTTCAGCTCCCTCCACAGATTTTCTATGGGATTAAGGTCTGGAGACTGGCTAGGCCACTCCAGGACCTTAATGTGCTTCTTCTTGAGCCACTCCTTTGTTGCCTTGGCCGTGTGTTTTGGGTCATTGTCATGCTAGAATACCCATCCACGACCCATTTTCAATGCCCTGGCTGAGGGAAGGAGGTTCTCACCCAAGATTTGACGGTACATGGCCCCGTCCATCGTCCCTTTGATGCAGTGAAGTTGTTCTGTCCCCTTAGCAGAAAAACACCCCCAAAGCATAATGTTTCCACCTCCATGTTTGAAGGTGGGGATGGTGTTCTTGGGGTCATAGGCAGCATTCCTCCTCCTCCAAACACGGCGAGTTGAGTTGATGCCAAAGAGCTCGATTTTGGTCTCATCTGACCACAACACCTTCACCCAGTTCTCCTCTGAATCATTCAGATGTTCATTGGCAAACTTCAGACGGCCCTGTACATGTGCTTTCTTGAGCAGGGGGACCTTGCGGGCGCTGCAGGATTTCAGTCCTTCACGGCGTAGTGTGTTACCAATTGTTTTCTTGGTGACTATGGTCCCAGCTGCCTTGAAATCATTGACAAGATCCTTCCGTGTAGTTCTGGGCTGATTCCTCACCGTTCTCATGATCATTGCAACTCCACGAGGTGAGATCTTGCATGGAGCCCCTAGGCCGAGGGAGATTGACAGTTCTTTTGTGTTTCTTCCATTTGCGAATAATCGCAACAAACTGTTGTCACCTTCTCACCAAGCTGCTTGGCGATGGTCTTGTAGCCCATTCCAGCCTTGTGTAGGTCTACAATCTTGTCCCTGACATCCTTGGAGAGCTTTTTGGTCTTGGCCATGGTGGAGAGTTTGGAATCTTATTGATTGATTGCTTCTGTGGACAGGTGTCTTTTATACAGGTAACAAACTGAGATTAGGAGCACTCCCTTTAAGAGTGTGCTCCTAATCTCAGCTCGTTACCTGTATAAAAGACACCTGGGAGCCAGAAATCTTTCTGATTGAGAGGGGGTCAAATACTTATTTCCCTCATTAAAATGCAAATCAATTTATAACATTTTTGACATGCGTTTTTCTGGATTTTTTTGTTATTCTCTCACTGTTCAAATAAGCCTACCATTGAAATTATAGACAGATAATTTCTTTGTCAGTGGGCAAACGTACAAAATCAGCAGGGGATCAAATACTTTTTTCCCCCTCACTGTATGTGCTGTAGCTCAGTTGGTAGAGCATGGCGCTTGCAACGCCAGGGTTGTGGTTTCAATTCCCACGGGGGGCAGAATGAAAATGTATGCACTCACTAACTGTTAAGTCGCTCTGGATAAGAGCATCTGCTAAATGACTAAAAATGTTTTTTAAATGTGCTTTGAGATGAGTAACAATGACAGTATTTCTATGATCATTTCAGCTGAGGAAGCTGTAAAGAATTCAAATGCATTTCATGAATCCTTAGATTAGGAATTATGATCACTAACCTACTGAACAAAACTGCAAAGTGTTGGTCCCATGTTTCAAGAGCTGAAATAAAAGATCCCAGAATTGTTTCATACTCACAAAAAGCTTATTTCTCTTAATTTTGTGCACAAATTTGTTTACAGCTCTGTTAGTGAGCATTTCTCCTTTGCCAAGATAATCTATCCACCTGACAGGTATGGCATATCAAGAAGCAGATTAAACAGCATGATCATTACACAGGTGCAACTTGTGCTGGGGACAATAAAGGCCACTCTAAACTGTGCAGTTTTGTCACACAACACAATGCCACAGATGTCTCAAGTTGAGGGAGTGTGCAATTGGCATGCTGACTGCAGGAATGTCAACCAGAGCTGTTGGCAGAGAATTTAATGTTCATTTCTCTACCATAAGCCAATGTCATTTTAGAGAATTTGGCAGTACATCCAACCGACCTCACAACCACAAACCATGTGTAACCACACCAGCCCAGGACCTCCACATCCGGCTTCTTCACCTGCGAGATTGTCTGAGACCAGCGACACAGACGGCTGATGAAACTGAGGAGTATTTCTGTCAGTAATAAAGCCTTTTTGTAGGGAAAAACTCATTCTGACTGGCTGGGCCTGGCTCCCCAGTAGTTGGGCCTGGCCCCCAAGTGGGTGGGCCTTTGCCCTTCCAAGCCCACCCATGGCTGCGCACCTGCCCATTCATGTAAAATCTATAGATTACAGCCTAATGAATTTATTTCAATTGACTGTTTTCCTTACATGAACTGTAGTCACTAAAATCGTTGAAATTGTTGCGTTTATATTTTTGTTCAGTATATATATTTTAACCCTCGTGGTTGCCTACACAGTGGATAGCTGACTCACCATTACATTCTACCAAATCATTTTACTTAAGTCTGGACAGAGACACAAACATGCCTCAGCAAATCTTAGTGGCATGAGTCTGCTGGTGCACCTTGAGGTGATATGACTGTTTGAACCCTTTCCCACACTCTGAACACAGGTAGGGTTTCTCTCCTGTGTGGGTTCTCAGGTGTCTCTTTAGACGGTTGGCGCTGAGAAAGCTCTTGTCACAATGGGTGCAGGAGTAAGGCCGTACCCCTGTGTGGTAGCGCAGGTGAATGGTCAGGTAGCAGGACTGGGTGAATTGCTTCCCACAGTGAGAGCACTGGAAAGGCTTGTGGCCTGTGTGGAAGCGCTCATGCTTCAGAAGCTCCGCGTGGGAGAAGAACCCTTTGCCACAGTCGGCGCACAGGAACGGTCTCTCCCCCGAGTGGGTTAGCTCGTGTCTGGTCAGTGTGGCCTTGTACACAAAGGTCTTATCGCACTGGGAGCAGCTGAACACGTTCTCCCTGGTGTGGCAGCGCTCGTGTTTCTTCATGTTCCTCTCCCTCTTGAAGCTCTTCCCGCAGAATGAGCACATGAAAGGCATTTCTTCGGAGTGGATCTTCATGTGACTCAACAGCCCTCCCTTGTAGAGGAAACCCTTCCCACACTGCTTGCACTGGTGTGGCCTCTCTTTCAGGTGGGTGCGCTGGTGCGCGGTCAGAGCAGCCTTGTAGGCAAAGGTCTTGCCACAGCTGCAGACGTGCAACCTCTCCTCTTGGTGTGTGAGCAGGTGCCTGTTAAGGTACGTACTACTGCTGAATCCCAAGTCACACCTGGTGCATTTGTAAGACAGCTCAGCCTCGGTGGCGTTCGCCGTGTGAGTCCGGAGGTGTCTCACTAGTGCAGACTTCCAGGAGAACCTCCTGTCGCATTCAGAACACCGATACACACCGTTCTCCATGTGGTTCTTCCTGTGCTCTGTGTATGCTGACAAGGACTTGAAGTTCTGCCCACAGATCAGACAGTCATGCTTACACCCATCCTTGTGTGTCTGTTTGTGCCTCTCCAGTGACTGCTTGAAGGAGAAGCGCCGTCCGCACTGAGGGCACACGTATGGGCGCTCGCCGGTGTGGACGCGCCGATGGTATTTCAGTAAGGACTGAAACTTGTAGCTGCTGTTACAGTCTGGGCAATCATAGTGTCCAGCTTGGCCTGTTAGGTGCGGAGCGGACTGAGAGTCTTCCTGCACTTCCCCCGAGTGGTCCGTCTCAATGTGCTGCTGGACGGACGCCTCATCTGAGTGGACGAATGAGCATTCAGGACATGAGAACGCACACCATCCTGAAGGAGCAACAAAGTAGAAGTGAAAACCTGATGGATTCAGTTAGGGCAGGATACAAACTATTATTTAAGCAATGTATGTAACAATAAAATAATACATGTGGGTAACCACTCAACAGACCAAACAATTACACACTTGTGCAAAACTAATAAGGTAATACATGCACCTGTATCTCCTTCCTTTGTTGAGACCACTGGTGAGCCATAGGAGTGTTCCTCACTGTTGAAGATAAACAAGAAGGTAGAGGGCAATTCCACGGTAACAGAGTGACACAAGAGACTTTTCACTTTAAAATGTCAAACAAAAAACAATGATTGCAAAGTTAAACAAACCAACTCTATGCACAAAAATACATTTATTGAAGAACAGTGCGGAGTGACACTGAGACTTTGATTTTTCACTTAAAAATGTATGTCAAACAAAAACCAAAGTTTGGTAATAGAATCACGGTTTGTGCTGTTCGTGCCGTCATTCTGTTACTAAACTTTGGTTTTTGTTTGACATACATTTTAAAGTGAAAAATCAATGTCTCAGTGTCACTCTGTTACCATGGAATTGCCCTCCTAGAGCATTAATACCATGTGATGACAGTTAACTTACATCTTATTTTTCACTTAAAATACAAAACTTGTTATTTAACCTTAAACTGTCTGCATCCATCTACTTTACCTCTTAAAATGCAATGGTGTGAAACCCTGGGGGTTCATCAAGCTTCCACCCGTCCTCCTCTTTGGGGTGGCAACCTTTCCCTTGAGCTTCTGCAGGTTCACCATCTGCACCTTCAAGGTCGGTCTCGTTTTCCTACCACTGGTACGGACCTTGACAAGTGTTACGACCTTGTCCAGAAGTCCAGGCACCAACACAGCAGGCTCAGATGAAGTGGATTGACTAGACTGACCATCTCCTCTCCTTCCTGTGGATTGTGAGGGGATTTCCCTCCATCCTCAGGGGTTTCAACAGCCACCTCTCTTACAATCTCTTCAATCCCTATATCCTCTTTCTCCGACTTTAGGCTTTTTGTAAGTTCCTGGGTTTTGACCCCAGCGCCCTCTGTATGAGCCTTCAGGTGTCTCACCATGGCCGACGCCCAGCTGAACTTCCTGTGGCACTGTGAGCACTGGTAAGCACCTTGCTCCATATGACTCTTCTTGTGCTCTGTGCGGGCTGACAAGGACTGAAAGGTCTCCCCACAGATCAAGCAGTCGTAAACGCGCCCGTCCTTATGCGTCTGTTTGTGCCTGTCCAGAGACTGCCTGAAGGAGAAACACCGACCACACAGATGGCACACATATGGGCGCTCTCCTGTATGGATGACCTGATGGGCTATTAGTGCAGAGGCAAACTTGAAGCTCTTCTCACAGACTGAGCAGATGTGGGGCCCAGAGGATGTTTGGTGTTGGGAGGATGCTGGGTCATCCTCGGCTTCGTCTAGATGCGAGTCGCTCTCCAAGCCCCCCTCTACATGGTCCTCCATCACCCTCTCCTCTTCCTCCACCTCTTCAGCGGACGTTTCTTCTTCCTTGTCCTCCATGGTCTGCCCTTCATCATCGTTCCCATCCCTCACCACCTCCTCCTCCTCCTCCTCCTCCACCTCCTCCTGACACAAACCCAATTCAACCTCTGCGTAACCGGTCAGAGTTACAATTTCCACCTGGAGGTCATCCACCGAAAGCACTGGGCTAGTGTCTTCCACAAACTCCTGCGAGGGTTCTGACTGGTTGTCACAGGTGGTCTGCTCAGTGCTGATCACCGTTCTACTGTGGGGAGGGATGGAGAGAGAGGACAGGATGCAGTCGCCCATGGCACAGAGGGGTACTGTTCAACGAGAGGATGCTACAATTAAAGTCAATCCATTTGGATGAATGCCATGTGCAGTTTCTTGTGTTTTAAAATATGATGCATACATTTGCTACGTGTCACCCACCATGTTGCTCCAAATGTCCACGACGTTTATGGTGCTGGAGCAGACGCTTCAGATCCGCTGGATGAGATACAACATGGGCACAATCATCCAAGACTGAGGGGGCAGTACCGAGCCATGCCATTGTCTGGGGGATAGATAAAATAATAGATAGGCATCTACTGAATATTACACTTCGCATGGTTCCCTACACAGTTTAATTAACCTGGTATTGCGCGATTAGTATTATTATTAAACAGTAGGTGTTTCCACCACAGTGTGAATAGAAGGTATTCTTTCCCTCACCTGTGCAAGGTCAGGAGTTGGTAACAGCTGGACCAATCTGGACAGGAACTCCCACAGTAGAGTCTGCAGCTCGATGTCATATTGTTGTCCATACTCCACTGGGAATATCTCCTGAGGGACACAGATGAGGAACAAAACCCCTCCACTTTATTTCATTGACAGGTAAATGCAATGCAAAACACTATTTCATTGATCTGTAAATCCAATACAAGAGGAGGTGTTCTGTGCAGTCTCACCGTGAAAAAATGCTCTCTCTCATCAGGGTCTTTAAGCAGGGTCTGGACCAGCTCCAGAAAATGAGTCTCTGACGACTCCACCTCTGTGTCACTTACCTGTAGGATACATCAAATAAGGACACGTTTGTCCAACATATAGTTTATCTGTAGCAGTGCATTTAACTCCACAGTTCTTCCAGTTTACTCTTCCTGGAAGAAGGTATTCATTGAAGATCAACTTACATCATTACTGTAGGGGGTAAGTGGTTGAATCATGTACAGGTGGGTTAAGATGACCTGAGGTTCTACTGGATGCTCACCGCGACACAACTCCAGAATGTGCTGCAATAACACACCCCCCATGCACCGTTATTCATTTAGTTATATATAGTTATAATACGTCAGACTGTTACCATAGTTACCCAGTCTGAAAAATGTCGCCCTAAAAAAGAAGATGCAAGCCAGAATGTTGAATAAAATTATATTTACACTTCCTTTACCGGTTGTCCGTGCTGTTGGTCCTTTTGGCGGTAGGAAATGGAGCTCAAATGTCTACGGTTTGTATTTTCTATCTCCTGACGCATTGCACGTGATGCACAATATGTAAACGATAGATGAACGTAACCTAATGTTTTCGACCGAAGCATGTCCCCTCGCAATCAGCTGGAAGTGCTTGCAACTTACTGCAAATTTAAAATTGTCAACGTTTGGTCTGTGGTTCCGTAACGCTTGTCCATTGTTTACATATTGTGCAAGAGTTTACGTCGCATGCGAATTGCATCAGTATTGGAAACATATACAGACCAGAGCACTGAAAGTCGGGCTAATAACACTTCCCTGTGGATATTTTGTCTCAGATTACCTCCGAAATGAGCAGACAACAGGTAAAGTATGTCCAAATGAAGTTTATTCAACATTCTGACTTGTAATGGGACTGTTTCGAAATTATTGTGCCTTCACGTTAAAGACCAGACAAAATCTTCCATGCTTGGATTCTAAAAGGGATCCGAATACATCAGGCCTCTATCTATGCCTTTACGCTCACTCATTAGGGTTGTAACACTCACCCTTGCGCGCAATCCCAAAATAAGTTGGGCCCTCTGCCTATAGATCAGCAGCTCAGGGACCATCTCAGTCACCAGGGAGACAAACTCTGCCAGCATTGCATAATTCATGGCATCTCGCTGTTGCACCACCTGCCATATGGATGCTGACATAAGCTGAAGGGGTGGAACCAAGAGGCGGAGGGAGAGGAGAGGGAGACCTAAAACAGCATGGAAAAATGAATAATAAGGGTGCAAGTTAGCCAGAACGTCAAACACATGCACTGTATATACAAAAGTATTTGGACACCCCTTGAAATTAGTGGATTCGGCTATTTCAGCCACACCCGTTGCTGACAGGTGTAAAATCGAGCACACAGCCATGCAATGTCTATAGACAAACATTGGCAGTAGAATGGCCTTACTGATGAGCTCAGTGACTTTCAACCTGGCACGGTCATAGGATGCCACCTTTACAACAAGTCAAGTTTTGCCCTGCTAGAGCTGCCCCAGTCAACTGTAAGTGCTCTTATTGTGAAGTGGAAACGTTTAGGAGTGGTAGGCCACACAAGCTCACAGAAAGGGACCGCCGAGTTCTGAAGCGCGTAAAAATCATCAGTCCTCTGTTGCAACACTCACTACCGAGTTCCAGACTGCCTCTGGAAGCAACGTCAGCACAATAACTGTTCATCTAAGATCACCATGCGCAATGCCAAGCGTCGGCTGGAGTGGTGTAAAGCTTGCCGCCATTGGACTCTGGAGCAGTGGAAACACGTTCTCTGGGGTGATGAATGACGCTTCACCATCTGCCAGTCCAATGGACAAATCTGGGTTTGGCGGATGCCAGGAGAACTCTAGCTGTCCCAATGCATAAAGCCAACTGTAAAGTTTGGTGAAGGAGGAAAAATGGTCTGGGGCTGTTTTTCATGGTTCGGGCTAGGCCCCTTAGTTCCAGTGAAGGGAAATCTTAACACTACAGCAAACAATGACATTCAAGACGATTCTGTGCTTCCAACTTTGTGGCAACAGTTTGGGGAAGGCCCTTTCCTGTTTCAGCATGACAATGCCCCCGTGCACAAAACGAGATCCATGCAGAAATGGTTTGTCGAGATCGGTGTGGAAGAACTTGACTGGCCTGTACAGAGCCCTGACCTTAACCCCATTGAACACCTTTGGGATGAATTGGAATGCCGACTGTGAGCCAGCCCTAATCGCCCAACATCAGTGCACGACCTCACTAATGCTCTTGTGGCTGAATGGACGCAAGTCCCTGCAGCAATTTTCCAACATCTAGTGGAAAGCCTTAACAGAAGAGTGGAGTCTGTTATAGCAGCAAAGGGGGGGACCAACTCCATATTAATGCCCATGATTCTGTAATGAGACGTTCTACAAGCAGGTGTCCACATACTTTTGGTCATGTAGAGTTACCTTCATTGGCTTGGAAAGAGTATTTCAAAAGAACATTGAAAACGATTTTGAAATCAATCTGCAACATAGCTAGTGCATTATCTTAAATTGTTAAATAACGTTTCACAACAGTATTGTGTAATTGAATGTAGCTTAACCTTCTAAAGTATGGGTACTGGGGCATATTCAGTGGAGCAAATGTTCATAAATGTTGGCAAAATATACAAATACTGCTAGTCTCCGTTCTGTGGACTTTTTGACTGCAAACAAGCTGTGAACATAGCCCTAAATAACTCAAGTAGCAAAAATAGTATATTCAGCGGCTGGCATGTTTGCATGGTCATTTATTAGAAATAGCCTACCTGCATTGTCCGCTGGCGAAAATTCCGAGTCCATTTTGTCGCGTGGGCCAAATCCTGACCGTTGTTGCAAAAGAGGATTCCGTTAGACGACGGGATTTAATGCGTCGGTTTCTTCCTGAACGCGACACATTGTAGCAAATAATGTTGTGTACAATAAGTTTGCTTTGTCTACGAATGTTTTACTAATTTAATTGTAAACGAGTTAGTAACATGCTTGTAGCCACGAAAGACAAGCAAGCAATCCGGAAGTGATTACTGCGCGTCACAACGGGTCCTGTCATCGGAAATGCAGCAGATAGTTCATCACCAAGGAATTATTAAATCCGCGTCCAACATATCTTATGCCTAAAGCAATTGTTTTCACTACATGGGCCTAACATGTCTTCCCCCCCCATTTTAATTACTGGTAAGTGTGTCCAAGAGCGAGAGAGGGAGGGCTACAAAGTTGAACAAAATACATTTATTGTGCTGGGAACTGTCAAGACAAGGAGACAAGTTGGCATCCACCTAAGGCTGGTTCAATAACGTAACAGAACATTTTACTCTGACATTCTTCTAAAGTTATTGACAAACATTTTAATTTACCAGGGCTTCCAATATACCAGCAAATGATTGACTACTAATTGGATGATCATAGCACTGATTTTACTGTTTAAAACTGTTGCATTCAAGATGCTGAGCATGAATAGTTTTACAATAAAATAAGTCAAGGACATGATTGAGTTGCTACTCACTTTGATCAGACACAACATTATAATTGACAGCTATATTTCAATGGCCATGAGCCAGACTGAAAATATATCTTATAGTTTTAGAGATCTAATGGTGTTGAAATATCATCCTTTACAGAGACATTGTAGCATATAATTGCTGTGAAGGCAAATTTGCTTTAATAGTGTCTACAATTTTTGCCAATGTGCTACTGCACTTAATTCACGCTTGGTTGGAATTTTCTCCAAAGTCTGATCTCTGGACAGCCTCTGTCCCTGAATGGTTCTCCATGTGTTTCTTCAGTTTGGATGAGGTGGGAAAGTTTTTCATACACTGGTTACAGACAAATGTCTGCACCCCTGTATGAAAGCGTTTGTGTCGTGCCAAGTCTGACGAACTCCTAAACTTCAGCTGACAATCAGGGCAGGGATAAGGGCGTTCCCCTGTGTGAATGCGCATGTGTAGTTGTACTTCTGCGGGGGTGAGAAATGTCTTCCCACAGTGGGTGCAGGAAAATGGTCTTTCCCCTGTATGTATGAGATGGTGCCTGGTCAGAGCGTATGGTTTGGTGAATCCTTTCCCACAATAAGAGCAGGGGTAAGGGCGCACGCCGGTGTGGGATATGATATGTTCCTGTTGGGATTTTTTACTCTTAAACCTCTTGTCACACTGATTGCAAGCGTACGGTCTCTCATCAGTGTGGGAGCGGTGGTGCTTGGACAGCTCCCCCTGGGACAGAAAGCTCTTCCCACACACAGAGCAGAGGAAGGGTCTCTCCCCGGTGTGCATCCTCTCATGTCGGCTCAGGATGGATATCAATGTGAACCTCTTGGGACAGTGGGAGCACTGGAAAGGTCTCTCGCCTGTGTGAACTATTTGGTGTTTCTTGAGCAGGAAGAGGAAGGAAAAGCACCTCCCACACTGGTTGCACTGGTGCGGTCGCTCGCCGCTGTGGGTGAACATGTGCCTCTTCACATCAGCTTTGCGTGTATAGCTCTTGTCGCAGTGGGGGCACTTGAACTGCCGCTTTACCAGGTGGGTCTGCCGGTGTTGGGAGCGAGCCAGCAGGGAGTGAAAGCTTTCACCACACTGCTGACAGATGTACTGTAGGCTGGTCCCGTGGCTCTTCCTGTGCTCCAGCAGCTCTGAGGAGGAGGGGAAGCTCTTGCCACAGATGGAGCAGAGGTGGGGCAGGTCGCTCTTGCCCAGGTGGGAACTTCTGTGGTGGGCTGTCAGAGAGCGGAGGTTGGCAAAGGAGCTCCCGCACTGCTGGCAGGGGAAAGAGATGGATGTCCCACCATGTTTCTTCTCATGCTTGGTCAGGTCCCACGAGTGCTGGAAGGTCCTGTCGCATTGAGAGCAGTGGAAGGGTCTCTCACCCGTGTGGGTGAGCTGGTGTCTCCTCACATCTGACGAGCGAGTGAAGATCCTACCGCACGTGGCGCATGTGTGGGACTTATGGTAGCCTTTTGCTTTGGTGCGAGTCCCAGCATTATCTGTTTGATTCTCAGAGTTTTCAGTTATTAAGGGGTTTGAAGAAAGGAGAGGTTTGATTGATGTGAATATCTGGTCAGTGTTGTCAGGACATGGTGAAACCTCTGCTCTGTTTTTCCCAGACGCATTGAGCTTGTTGTACTCCTCTGTGTGAATGCTTTGCATGTGGAGGTGAAGGCTCTTTTCCTCCAGACTGTGGTAGGCACACTTGGGGCAGGTAAAGAGGGTCACCTTGTCAGATTCACCTGGAGACAGAAGTCAGACAAGGCATGTTTTATTTGCATGACTTGGGAATGAAATATAAGGTATGCTCATTGAAAAATAAGTTGTTGAGAGACCACAGAATGAAAGACCTGTAGATATACAATACATCTCTTACAAACCATTAATGTCTTTAGCAAATGTTGGTCCCTCAGTTTTTCCTACTGTAAATATGTACAGTGAGGGAAAAAAGTATTTGATCCCCTGCTGATTTTGTACGTTTGCCCACTGAGAAAGACATGATCGGTCTATAATTTTAATGGTAGGTTTATTTGAACAGTGAGAGACAGAATAACAACAACAAAATCCAGAAAAACACAGGTCAAAAATGTTATGAATTGATTTGCATTTTAATGAGGGAAATAAATATTTGACCCCTCTGCAAAACATGACTTAGTACTTGGTGGCAAAACCCTTGTTGGCAATCACAGAGGTCAGACGTTTCTTGTAGTTGGCCACCAGGTTTGCACACATCTCAGGAGGGATTTTGTCCCACTCCTCTTTGCAGATCTTCTCCAAGTCATTAAGGTTTTGAGGCTGACGTTTGGCAACTCGAACCTTCAGCTCCCTCCACAGATTTTCTATGGGATTAAGGTCTGGAGACTGGCTAGGCCACTACAGGACCTTCATGTGCTTCTTCTTGAGCCACTCCTTTGTTGCCTTGGCCGTGTGTTTTGGGTCATTGTCATGCTGGAATACCCATCCACGACCCATTTTCAATGCCCTGGCTGAGGGAAGGAGGTTCTCAACCAAGATTTGACAGTACATGGCCCCATCCATCGTCCCTTTGATGCGGTGAAGTTGTCCCGTCCCCTTAGCAGAAAAACACCCCCAAAGCATAATGTTTCCACCTCCATGTTTGACGGTGGGGATGGTGTTCTTGGGTTCATAGGCAGCATTCCTCCTCCTCCAAACACGGTGAGTTGAGTTGATGCCAAAGAGCTCGATTTTGCTCTCATCTGACCACAACACCTTCACCCAGTTCTCCTCTGAATCATTCAGATGTTCATTGGCAAACTTCAGACGGGCCTGTATATGTGCTTTCTTGAGCAGGGGGACCTTGCGGGCGCTGCAGGATTTCAGTCCTTCACGGCGTAGTCTGTTACCAATTGTTTTCTTGGTGACTATGGTCCCAGCTACCTTGAGATTATTGACAAGATCCTCCCGTGTAGTTCTGGGCTGATTCCTCACCGTTTTCATGATCATTGCAACACCACGAGGTGAGATCTTGCATGGAGCCCCAGGCCGAGGGAGATTGACAGTTCTTTTGTGTTTCTTCCATTTGCAAATAATCGCACCAACTGTTGTCACCTTCTCACCAAGCTGCTTGGCGATGGTCTTGTAGCCCATTCCAGCCTTGTGTAGGTCTACAATCTTGTCCCTGACATCTTTGGAGAGCTCTTTGGTCTTGGCTATGGTGGAGAGTTTGGAATCTGATTGATTGAATGCTTCTGTGGACAAGTGTATTTTATACAGGTAACAAACTGAGATTAGGAGCACTCCCTTTAAGAGTGTGCTCCTAATCTCAGCTCGTTACCTGTATAAAAGACACCTGGGAGCCAGAAATCTTTCTGATTGAGAGGGGGTCAAATACTTATTTCCCTCATTAAAATGCAAATCAATTTAGAACATTTTTGATATGCCTTTTTCTGGATTTATTTGTTGTTATTCTGTCTCTCACTGTTCAAATAAACCTACCATTAAAATTATAGACTGATAATTTCTTTGTCAGTGGGCAAACGTACAAAATCAGCAGGGGACCAAATACTTTTTTCCCTCACTGTACAAACCATTTCCCTGATGACATCAATGTCAGAATAGTTGGAGAGCTCATTATTACCGGCTTCTCTTCCCCTGGGTAAGATGACGTAATCCACGCTTGAGGCCTCACCATTGTTCCTGTGATTAGAAAACAATACAAAAATATCACTAATTTGATGACAAAATGGCTGATTCTTTGTTAAATGACAGCACTCCTAATCTCTAATCATCACTCATACTTGTTCTCTGTGTTCCCTTTCCTCCGCCAATTTCTTGGTGTCTTCGACTGCAGCCGTGTAGACCGCCTCACATTTGACGACGCAGGTTGTTGGGTTTGAAAGGTGACCCCATGGGACGTGTCCTTCCCTTCCTGGTTCACACATACATTCACAGTCTCCGATTGGCCATCCTGATCATCTTGGACATCCTTTTTGACTGCTACAGTCTCTGTCGCAGTTCTAATGTCTTCACTGATATTAACGGCTTCATCTGCTTGCTCCACCGGAACACTCGCTGTGTCCATCTCTTCCTCAGCTGCACTCATCTCCTCCCCCACGTAGTCAAATTGTTCAACGACGGTCATCTCCAGATTCATATCCTCAGCTTTAAGTTCAACCACCTCCTCCCGCAGTGGAGAGGTGTTCGACGGTACGTATTCCTCGTTCATTGTCTCTACAATCTCTTCTTCAACCTCTGTTCCAACCTCCACTTCAGTGTAAACAGTTACTACTACAGCATCAGTGTCCTCTAAAGACATGGGGCCCAGCACGTCTGCAGAGTTATGTGATGACTCTGACCGGATGACAAAAGTGGTCGGCTCAGTGACGACCACCATTTTAGGGGTGGACAGAGAGGAGAGGATGCTGTCGCCCATGGAGGAGGAGAGAGCAGCTGAACGAGAGAAAACAAGAACTTTGTCATAAAAAGACCTGTGAGTTGGAAACCGTACTGTGCTACAAAACGTTGCATCATGATGTGGTAATCATTACAGGAGACTTACAAGATACTTTTAAATGTCCAAAACTCTTATGGTGCTGGAGAATGAGGTTCAGATTCTCTGGGGTAGACTGCACACACTCCTCCAGGACTGAAGGGGCAGCGCTGAGCCATGTCGCAGTCTGAAAGGGAATGCATTTTAGAAATGCATTTTATGTTCAATCAATGTAGCCTAAAGAATTGTCTTCCCAAAATGTACTATTCCTAACCTGTGCTAGAGTTATGCTACATCCTATATCAGAAAGGCTACATTGCCAAAAGCTATATATGCCATAATGCTCAATACCTGCTTGAGGTCTGGTACTGGAAACAGTTGTTCCAGTCTGGAGAGGAACTCCCATGTTAACGTCTGCACCGCTGCGTCATAATGTTGGCCATATTGTTCCGGGAACACCTCCTGTTGGAGTAAGATTATTTAAATGAAGGCAAGGCGATGGATTGTAACTTCAAGTACTTTTTTTTCTTGAAGGCCTGGACGAGTAACTTTTGCCGGGCGTGAGACACTCCCATTGTTTTCAGCGAAACCTTGGTGTACCGAGCGTAAAATTACCTGAAAGAAGCACTCCCTCTCGACTGGGTCCTTTAGCAGGGATTGGACAAGCATCACAAAATTGGATTCAGATGCTTCCACTTCTGCATCTCTGTACTGCAAGACAGTAAACAAATACAATCATCTCATCACATTGTGGCTGAGTGCACTCAAATCCACTTGGAAAACAGCCAAGTTCTGTTCTAAAAGGACTGTAGCCCACTTACTCCTGTGCACCCTGGAGTAACAGTGGGCATTCTGTCCAGGTAAGGTTGGATGGTATGAGGGTCAGCAGGGCCTCGGCACAGCTCCAGAACCAGCTGAATCACACCCAGTAGAAACAAGTATTAACTGTGGTACAAACCTTTAGCTGGAAAAACAGTCATTGTTATCTTTCAATCAACTCAGGTGGGGAGAACGATTCATAGGATCGCAGACAGTTACATAATGTATAGAACAGACCCAATTCTCTACTCATCATCATCATCATAGGAAATTATATCTCTTCTGTTCAATATATTGGTCCTCTGTAGCTCAGCTGGTAGAGCACGGCGTTTGTAACGCCAAGGTAGTGGGTTCGATCCCCGGGACCACCCATACGTAAAAATTTATGCACGCATGACTGTAAGTCGCTTTGGATAAAAGCGTCTGCTAAATGGCATATTATTATTATATTATTATATTTCATTTGCGCCTTTCAGGGCTCTCCACCCAACTGAATAACCCTATGCCCCCTGGCTGGTCTCTCACCCGTGCTCTCAGACCCAGAATGAGCTGGGCTCTATGTCTGTGGCTCAGCAGCTCTGGAATGGCCTCTGTCACCAGAGTCACAAACTCCTCCAGCTTCTCATAGTGCCTCACATCTCTTTGCTGAGCCACCTGCCACATGGCAGCAGACAGGAGCCGCAAGGGTGGAACCAGGAGGTGCAGAGAAGAGAGACTGAGAACTGGATCTGAAATGTAGATGTACAAATTGACAAACATTCAATCAGAAGTCGGAAAACACTGTTCGAAATATACACAGTGGTAGTACATAATTATGTCTGTCAGCTAATGATGGCGGGCATGCATTTCTCATCCAGTCATTACAGGATGGGGCTCCATAGAATAGAAGAGTAGCATCAGATATTCGCCTTTGTCAGGATTAATTTGCATTAAGCAATAACTTTGTACTATTCACATTGTCTTTATTTTAAATTGATAGCTAGTTAGATACGATTACAAGCACACTTAGCTTAACAATGCAGTCACAACAACCGACTTTAGCCGGCCATCAACTGATAGCTAGCTATCCCATTTTTCCATGGGGCTTTTGATATTAGTTTTGCAGATATTAGCTAGCAAGGTAGCTATAACAACTTATTTTCTTACAAACCATTGATATCTTTAGATAGTCCACATGTATCCATGGCTATAAATGTAGTTGTGTAAAAGCGCAGAATAATGTGAAAACCAAATTATTTGACTGCTCCCTAACGAGCGAAGTAACATCGATCTACTTCCCCAAAACTTCCGGTACCCAAGGCTAAAGACTAATAATTTTCATTCCGCTGTACCTTTTCCAAAATAAAATTCATAGAATAGAAGTGGCCCTCCAAGCTGACTGCCTACGTTCATACTAACATGGCTCTGATGTGTTAGATTTTAGTTGACTTTCTTTTGAAAAATATTGTAGCCAACTGCAAGACAAAAATAAGCAACGCTACTTTTATTACATTTTCTCTTCTCTTTTAATAAGGAATACTCCGTTAAACAAACAGAAGTGTTGCCTCTGGGGGTGCTGATGAGCCAAAAGGGGTCCCTTAGAAAAGGAAATACTGTATTGTCTATTGACCGAGATAGGAGATTGATTAATATTATGTATATCAGCCATAAAGACAACACTCAAACCTACATTTGAGAATACATATTTCCCCTCAGCTTTGAACGTGCAGTAGAAGCCTGACACTCGCCTCTCCTCAACAACCAGCCCCAATGTCATGTGTGCCGGTAGCAACTGTCCTCTTCATTCTACAAAGGAAGGTGCACAATACTTCACTCTTTTTAATGTCAAAACAAGGTAAGTAATCTAAATAAAATAATATGCCCTTTGATGTATGATTCCTGACAGCAAAAAGCACAACTCAAAAATACATAATCAAATTCCAATGTTTCGTTTTAATTGAGGTTGTATGTACTAAGCACAGCGGGACAGAATTAACAATTCACAGTATCAGGCTCAACTCTTGTTACAGGCCTCTAATACAAAGGTCCTGTTTTACTTTAATTTCCAAAAAACAACAACAAATGATCCAAAGACACTACAACATATGAATAGCAAATGACACACCAATATCCTCAACAAACAGCCTCAACTGCTGCATGAGTTCGCTGGTGTGTCCGCAGAAGATGCAATCTGTTGTAAGCCTTCCCACATTCAGTACACACGTATGGCTTCTCTCCCGTGTGGCTGAGCATGTGTCTCTTCAGTGGAGTGGTGCTGTTATAGCGATTACCACACACGCTGCAAGAGTAGGGCTTCTCTCCTGTGTGTATCCGCTGATGTACTGTAAGATAGCAGGACTGGGTGAAACTTTTCCCACACTGCGCACATTTGAATGGTCGTTCTCCAGTGTGGTACCGCTGATGTTTCACCACTTCGGAGTAAGTTAAGAAACTTTTACCGCACTGAGAGCACGTATGTGGCCTCTCCCCTGTATGTATGCGATTATGCCTGGTCAGATCAGTCGACTTGGAAAATCTCTTCCCACACTGGGAGCAGGGGAAAGGACGATCCCCTGTATGAGTCTGTAAGTGTTTCTTTAAAAACCGATTGGCCTTGAAAGTCTTTCCACACTCGAGACAAGGGAAGGGTCTCTCCTCTGAGTGACACTGAAGGTGTTTTGACAATTCACCAGAGGACAGAAAACTTTTTCCACAATCAGGGCAAAGAAATGGTCTCTCTCCTGTGTGAATTCTCTCATGTCTAGTCAAGATCTGTAGTTGTGTGAATCTCTTTGGACAGTGAGAGCACTGGTAGGGCCGCTCACCTGTATGAGTTCTCTGGTGTTTGATCAAGTTCGATAGCCTTGAGAAACTTTTAGGACAATGGGAACACAGAAATGAACCATCTTCCTTATGAGTATTCAAGTAGTGTTGCCTAAGACAAACTAGCTGCGTGAAGTTAATTTTGCACATAGAGCACTGGAATGGTCGAGCTCCATCGTGAATTTGCATGTGTCTTGTGAGGGCATCAGAGTTTGGGCATTTCTTCAAACACTGGTTGCACCGGAGTGGGTCACCGTCGGAGTGAATCAGCTGGTGTCGCTTCATTTGGGACATCTGACTGAAAGACATGTCACATTCTGGACATTTGTGTTGACCTTCTTCGCTGGGACACTGGTCACTCTCAAGGCCTGCTGGGAGGTTTAACTTGATCCCAACGTCATCATCAGAGATTGGGGACTCTGCTGAATGATTCACTCTGCAGTGCATCTTTAGATCTTCCTCCCGATCGAAGCCCTCCCCACACGCACAGCACTGGAACGGCCTTGACCCTTGGCCCTTTCGCTGGTGTCTTTTCAAGTCGAAGGAGTACTGGAAAGTTTTCCCACATTGAGTGCACTCATAAGGCCGCTCCCCAGTGTGGGATCTCTGGTGTCTCCTCATATCCGTCGCTCGAGAGAAGGTCTTTCCACACACAGAGCATGTTTTGGAGCATGGTGTATGTTTGCCATACTTCCCCAGTGTGTGGGGAATGTCTGAGAGACATGGGTTCAGAGGGGTGCTGTTGGAAGACCCTGGAGGTATTTTTGTTTCATTTCCTCCAGCAGCCAGCAACCTTCTGTACTCCTCTGGGTGAAGCTCTTTAAGGTGCTGCCGGAGGGTCACCTTGTCGGCGTGGGTAAAAGAGCACAGAGAGCAGGCGAAGACAAGAGAGGGAGCCTCCACCGTCCCACCTGCAGGGGAACAGAGAGAGGATATTTAGAAAATATTATCAATAATTATAATCCAACATATTCTGAGTCAGGCATCTGGACCATATTCAACATTGCCAAATCTAGTCATTTAAAATGATTCAACATTCAGAAAATTCTAACGATATCCAAGAGTGCCTACACTTACATTGTTGATACCAAGTGCCATAGAAAACTTGTGTTGATATAACATTGCAAACCTGTATTTCCATTCATTGGGGAGCTGTCAGAAGTGGCGCTGAGGTCTTCAGAGTCTTCCCTAACGATAGCGATAAAGCACAATTGATGTCCAATGACACTGCACTTGATTGATTTATTTTATTTGTAAGTAAAAAATAAATAAAATTTAAAAAGTACAGAGATTTTAAAAACTAGGCAGGGATAACACAATGAAGTCAATGACTTATTTCCGTTGTGGTCCTTTAAAGTAAATGGTGAAATTGCTTTAAAACCTTAAGTCCCCTCCCACCCCACATTCTTACCTTGGCTCTGGAGGCAGGTGTAACGGGCCGGCCCAGGTCCCATTAGCCTCCTCCTCCAATGCCTTGAGCTGCCCTCCATTGGATCCTTTTGATCCCACATTCTTCATCCGCTGCCTTGTGTTTCTTCTCATTGGTTGAGAGGGTGAGGACATTGGGAGTGGTAAGCCACTGAAGTCCAGTCTCTGGAACCCTAATGTGGGTTTTTGATGCAGACAGGATGTGACCAGTTCAGGCTGGTTCATTACTTCTTGTGGTGTACATTCGGAACGTCCTTGGTCCGTGTCAGTTTGGGGGACATAACCAGCTTCATTTCTCTCCTGCTCATCCTTCTCAATCCCCTCCTCTGTGACCCCCTTCTCTTCATTTAGGTTTTCTTTGTGGGTGGACGGTCTGTCAATTGTATTCTCTGCACATATAGGCCCAACTAACTCCTGATGTTCAGGATTGACATTTTCAACATGCTCCACCTCCTCATAAATAATTTCCACCTCTCTATTCATTGACTCCAGATCCACACACACATCCCCCACCTCTGCGCAGAAAACGTCTACCTCTGTGTTCATGG